TTCATGTTTAGATGTTTTCACACGCCACTTCTTACTCACCCAAGGATTGGGTGTCTTATTAAGAATACTCGTATTTCACTTTGAAGCAGAATCCCCCTTGCTCTCCCAATGGGCGCCCATGTCTACAAGTAATCCAAATATAGCTTAGAAAAGACTGCTTTCAAGAAAAAAAGAATTTACATCCAAAAGAAAGGGATCGCCGCTATCACCGGTAGTAACCAACTTATACTCAAGTCAATCGCCATTAAAAACTCAGATATTAAGTCAGAGGTTTGACTTCAATGGGCGGATGACACTTTCGTAATTTGGAACCTTGGAGAAGCGAAATTTCAAGCCTTTTTCGAACACCTAAAGAATCTACAACCATCAATAGTGTTTACAACGAAAGAAGAGAACAACAGCCACCGCTTCTTCTTGGACGTCATGGTAACATAGGACAATTCCGTAATAGAAGTCACTGTATACAGAAAACCATCACATACAGTATAAAATCTAAATTTCTCTTCCAGTCTTTCAACAACCACGAAGAAAGTCATACCTAATTAGACCTGGCACAACACGCAAACACATCTCCAGAAAGAAACTAAGCGCAACGAAGATAACCTAATAGGAAATCGCTGCCCAAGACGACTGATAAATAAAGTTTTCAAAAATAAACAAATCCAACAACATAAGAAGCTCGCAATGAGCCACACTATTCACTCGTTCTACCATATGTTAAAGGAATAAGTGATGCAATCAGAAGAACAGGAAGACATTATAAAATCGAAACTACACCACACTTTGCAGTATCCTCACAAAGACAAAACCTATGAATGAAAACCAAGGCCTGTGTATACCAGGTGCCATGTGGGCACGGAGTGATATGCATAGTAGAAGCAAAAAGACCACTTTCGGTAAGAATGAAAGAGTATAAATCTAACACTGAACAGGAGGAAACAAATAAATCTGAGATAGCAGATCGCTAGAGAATACTTTAGGAACATGCTGAGATATTTCACAAAGAAACACACTGGCATCATAGAAAATTCAAGGAAGCGTCCTTCATATCAATGAATGAAAATGTATACAGTGATGCAAGTGTGGAAATCAAACAGTACGACAACCGATTGTAAGATACAGCAAACAACTGCAACTCAACCAGAACAAGGAGCACTGCAGAACCAACCACCGGCCACGTCATTAATCAGTACCAATGAGCAAGAACGGAGCATATCCACCGCAAACTTTATAAACAATAAAAGTAAGAGATACACCTTTTTTACACCGAAGCATCCGCGCAGGTAGAAGCCTAAATGCCAGGCCACCGCGGCTGCTATGGGGAGCTTAAATAAAGCTTGGCTAATTCTGTTAATCTGATTTTTGTACTATCTAAGGTTAATAGAATTGAGACGAGCCTCCTCATGTAGAATCTCTGTACCCTAGGGACAACGGAGCGGTCGTATCCGCAGGTTATGGATGTAAGAATTTCGACACGGTTAGGATGTGAAACTGCGGGCCTGTCTGGCAGGCACCGCAGCATCATGTAGGAGTGCTGTTTAGCAAAAAGGAAGAATCTAGGTGGTGGCACCCCAAACATATGAGCAGTGCTCAAGGCTAGGTCTTACCTGGGCCTTGTACAGAGTGAGGAGGTCATGTGGAGGAAAATACTTCTTAGCTCCAAACAAATAGCCTAGGTTTTCCCAGCAGCTGTCGCTATAGAAGAAATGTGTTCGTGCCACGTCAAGACCTCGATGGACTCTGACCAGCCGGAATAAACGGCTCTTTGGTAGAATCCGACCATCTATCGAAATCGGATGAGCGCTTGGACGTTTCTTGTCCGTCAAGTACTATATTTCAGAAGTATTAAACTGTCAGATTGTTGCATCCCCAAACAGTGATAGCCTCCAGCTCTCGTCAAAGAGTCACTTTGAATTTCTCCATCTCGAAGCCAAGACTTGAAGACCCGCGTTGACGATGTGTGATGAAGAGGAGAACCCGCCAATTATGACGGATATCTTGCGCCCAGAGGGTAAGTCGGCCACTTATCTACAAAGCTTCTCGATGAGGCCATAGGATGGTAGTTTGCATAAGAGGGCAGCCACATGTGGTCGAACGCTTTCGTGATATAGACAGCAACGTCATGTCGATCATCTAAATCATCCACATTATCATGAAGTTTCCAAAAAATTTCCACGGTTGCGGATATACCTAATGTTTTGAATATCTTAAATGTACGAATAAGGTGAATTGTTCTCGGCCTAACACAGACACAATACTAAAGTTAGCGAACATTGGTAATGTCTGTGCCTCAGCTCACAAAAGGTGTGTCTACAATGGGAAACTTAGGGTATGACTTGCTCAACCCTTCCCCTATTCTCTTGATTTGACATCCTCAGACTTCCATCGGTGCCCAGACTTGAAGAAATGTCTCCCTGGAAGTCGCTTTGTTTCTGATGAAGAAGTTGAGAGGGCCGTAGATGAATATTTTTACCGCCTTCCAAACTTCCGCTTCCTAGAAAGAATCCAGATGTTAGAGAAACGTTGGACCAAGTGTATTAGTGCCTAAAGAGATTATGTATAAAAACAATATGTTTCAACTTAAATTCGCAGTGTTTCATTATGGGCCTTCCCTCGAACCCAATATCAAGATCGATGCCAGTAATCGCAGGAATAGCGAAATGAGAAATGAATACTTTAGACATACCACTTGGATTTTGATGAAATTTTTATACAATGTTACTACCATGCTAAGAACGGAAAAGCTTTGTATTTACTGAAACTCGCTCCAGTGGCGGCGGTGAACAAGGCCAAAAACGAAAACAAATAAAATTGCTCAAACTTCGTGTTTTAATGTTTCAGAGAAACCCGATCATTTCATTGAAACATTTTTGTATGGTTCAAAAATTGGGGGTTAAGGGTTGCATGGGGTGGGGAGGGTATATATCAATGTGTTGTCGTTGGTTTATTTATACTACTCCAACCACAATAATTATTCACACCTATTAGCCATATTTCACTCATCGTAGATGTGATACATTTACTGTTAAAACTAGAGCCTACACTCGCATGTCGATACGTGCGAGACGGACCCACGATGGACGTGCGTCATACGTCATAGACAGCAATCGCTTCCTCACTGTTGTGTCTGAACTTATGCGCCTGCAGGAATTTCTTTCCGGTGCAGGAGGAAGGTCTTTTAATTTTTTGTTATTCATACGGATAGCTGACTTTCTCAGACGTGCCAAACATAATCCTTCAAGAACTGATAACAGCGTTGCGTGGGAAGTTACAGAGTAGACTTATTTGACACCATCTTTTTGTTGGTAAAATCAATAGAATCATGTCTCTCTGCTAGGCACCCCGAGTTTAACGTTTCCGAACTTTGATTTAAATTGAATCTGAAGTAAACCGTTATGGGATCTGGACCTCTTAGTAACAGAAGTCGGCACTGATATTTGTATCCACGATTGAGAAGCTTTGTTTTAAAACATATCCTGAGTGATCACAATCAGCACGATGGATCTAGCGGACGATCTATGCAACATTTACCAGTCTGATAAGCTGAATTCCAATGTGTGCCGCTAGTGGAAATCACTTTATCCGCAGTCTTAACGTGTTTCGCGGCGTAATTGAACTTTGAAATATCGCTGTAAGCTCCTCCCATTCTTCGCTGTCTCACTCCACGCTCAGTTTCTTTGCTCCCTCCCACACCCCGCCATCACCTCTGTGGTACCATCGGCTGTACCATAATGGGTATTCAACCACTTTCCGCGGGATCGTACCATTCGATATACGCGTCAGCTCACTCCGAATGACGTATCATTATCCCCGATCAGACAGAGTGGTGATGGGCCAGTTATTGGCGTCCTCCAGCATCCATCTTCGGTTTGCTCAATGACAGGTTGAGAGTTTAGTGTGGACTTGAAGAGGTTCATGGAAAAACTCTTCAGAGAAGCTCTAGGTCGAACCAGGAAAAATTAAGGTCATTGAAAGCTATAATGTATTCAAATCTCAATTTATTTTCGCTAAGCATAAAAACCGGTAGTCCCGAACGCCACTGATGTAAGTGCTTTAGAAAGCAATTTTGTACATGGCATTGTAGCCTTCCGTAATTCATATGCGTGTTCCAAAATGTATCTCACTGTTTCAATATTTTTGGGAGAAACGTATGATGAATTATCAAAGACGGAAAATTCTGAACCCCTCAAATAACAAATAGAATAACACCCAATAATAATGAATTGCGAAACGTGCACGGCAGGCGCATGGCTTTGAGGTAGCTGGTGTAATAAGAAACTATTGTGTAGCGTGCCTTTGTCGTTTTGAAAAAAGTTTTTCACGTTATTTCGACTACCATTTTAAGTGTGTTTCAAAAAATAGGTAACTTCTTCATTCACCTTGTGAAGAAGAAACGGTCCCATGGAGCCAAAAGCCTTAGGCTCCGATCTTGGTGTGAGGCCTTTCCATGCCCGACAACAAACCAACACCGTATTTAGACTTCTATACTCCCTGGTGGCTATTTCTCTAAAGGTCTAACCAGGTCCACTATTCGTCCCCTATCAAACTCGCTAAGTTGTTGAAAATGTTCTTCTCACTCTAAGCATAATGAACAGATTAAAAACCACTTTATCGATATATTTGTAAAGTTGATCGTCAAATATTTGTAATAAATTCGTTATTACTGGGTGTAACATGGTATATGCACCTAGATTCCTGTTTGAAGGTGATGAATCGACCCTTCAGTTTTTCAAAATATCTAGCAGTACACCAATACAAAGACTCAAAATTATCATACTTAAAACGCATTTCCTTCGCTATCTCGTGCAATGTAACTGCAGTCACGTAAATATTTATAATATGTTGCAGTGTTAATATTATACTAAAGATACAAGTTTTCGGGTGAGCATGTCCAAAATGATCTACCATGATATCAGAAGATAAAGAATGTCATTGTTAAATGAGCTTAAAGAATTAGTTATTATCTGAATTCAAATATCGCGTCTGTTCCTATTTGTTAACGTATTCAGAAGCATGACATTAAAATGAATACCATAAATAGTGTCAATGTAGTTTTGGAAGTGTTCGATTTCCAATCATGACAGAAACCACAACTCCAGTTTCAGACCAAGCAGATTTGAAACTGCTAAAGAAGAAAGAGCCCAAGTTCGAAGTTAAGGCATACAAGAAGCGATGGATTATTTTGGCTATATTTATGTACTATTCGGCTATCAATTCCTTTCAGTGGATCGAGTACTCCAGCATAACCCATCTGGTGGTTAAGTACTATCAGGTCAGTAGCCTGACAGTGGACTGGACTTCAATTATTTATTGTGCCTTGTATGCACCGCTGTTCGTTCCCTCTTCATATGCGATTGACAAATGGGTGAGTACAAAATTACGTCATGTAGTTCGACTCAGTATTTCCAGTGCATTGATATTAGTCTGTTTAACATCTTAACTGACTCAAAGGCTAGTGCTTGCTAAGCTCTTTGCTGCCAACTCCACCATACGCGTACCCCCAACGCCCGAGTGCTGTCGATTCAAAAGGCACGTTTCCAGAAAACTGGAAATTTGTTCATGTCCAATCCATCCGAAAAAAAGGATCCAAGATGGACCCGTACAACTACAGGCCTATACGTCTGCTCTCTGTTATAAGTAAGGTAATGGAGAGGTGCATAAATTGGAAGCTTATGGAGTACCTCGAACGTCACTGCTTGATCAGTGATAGTCAGTACGGTTTCCGGCTCTAGCGATCACAGAGGACCTGCTAGCTTACGTCTTACGTCACGCAACTGCGGAGTAAGCAAATCCAGTCTTATGGAGGGGCTCATGTCGTTCACGACAGCGTTCGATCAGCTGTGGCAGGCTGCCCTCTTATGCAAACTTCCATCCTACGCCTCTCAGAGAAGCTTTGCAGACGGATGGCTGAATTGCTCTCTGGCTGCAAGATACTCCTATTCGTCGTAATCGACAGGCTCTCTACTTTATCCCTTAACTTCAACGCGGGTGTTCCACAGGTATCGCTCCTGGCTTTAATATTATTCCTCTTGCATATCAACGACCTCATTTCCTGCATGATCAATCCATTGAATCCACAGCTTTGCTGATGACAGCACTCTACATGCAGCAATTCAGAGTGACAAGCCGATCTCTGTCGGTGAGCTGGAGGAAAGAGGACTAGCAGCGACTTCCTCTTTGACGAGAGACTTGGAGTTAATTACTGCTCGGGGACACAACAATGTTGTACAGTTTAATGCTGTATTGTACCTTGACGGACAAGAAGTGTCCCAGCGCTGATCCGGATTCCATAGATGGGCGAGTTCTACCGCTCATTCCGGCTAGTCGGGGGACTTGATCTGGTCGATAGAGGCAGCTGCTGGGTAAAAGCTAGGCTATTTGTTAAGGGCAGGAAGTACTTTTATCCGCATGACCTCCTCGTTGTGTACAAGGCCCAGGATAAGACCTAGCTTCGAGTACTGTTACTCTTTCGCACCGACGTGTTGTCTTCTACCCTAGGAAAATGGACTTTGCTCCTCAGAGCTTTCCTCCATTTTGCTGCCGCGTGATGTGCCATATGAATACCGCTATGGTAGAGTAAAAGATATCTGCTGTGATGATTTTATGTTTATCACATTTGCATAATATAATCCCTAGCTATTAACTACAATATATCATTATTTTACTTGTATTTGATATGATATTTGTAGATAAATGCACAAGCAAGGTAATCGGAAAATGTTCTTGAAGGTTTTCACTTTCCTAAACGGCATAGTCGTCAAACTAGTAATATGGCTTTTATCCATTCAACCACAGAGAGCCAACCGTGGACAGCTGTTTCGTGTTTGGCAACTCCTCAGCACTTGGTGCTCTTCCTCCGAAAGGCCTTGTATCCTCGATAGAGAATAGTAGTAGCTCAGCTTTCGTTTCTGGTCCTACCCGAGACCAAGCCTAGACCATGCTGAGAAGTTGATGAAAAGCACGAAAGAGCTGTCCATGGTTGACCAATTGTGGTTGGATGGACTGTTTCACTCTCGCAGTGGTCAATTCTGGAAATAGATGGCAACTGGTGCTATCTTATTTAAGCCTAATCGTGATTAAAAAGCACGACATTACTGAAGTAAGGTTTTCTAAGGCTCTATTATTTTAGGGACTTAGAACAGCTGGTATAATAGGATGCACAGGAACGCTAATAGGGACGTCAATAAAAGTGTTCTCTATAGGAAGGGAACTATTTGCAGTAGTTCTTCTGGGGCAAGTGATAGTATCCGCATCGCAAACTGTTATAATTTGTATTCCACCAAAAATAGCTGCCACTTGGTTCAAGCCAAGTGAGGTTTGTATATTCAAATTGACTAATTAGTTTAGATCTATACAGTATGTTACCGCTAATATTAGACAACCCAAGCGTATTAGTAACGCTTTTTCAATTCTTCGAAAAACCTTGATGTGTTGAATGCTGACGTACTGAAGAGTGTAAGTTAATTTTTAATTCAACCCCTTACATACCTTTGAACCTTCCATGCGAGAATCTATCCTGAAGTGTTCAAAGTAAATAAAGTAGTGCCCATTCATGGACAGAGTGATGTATCCCGCACGGAAAATTACAGGCAAATCTCAATAATATTATAGTTAATATTAAAGAAAAAATTAGTATCTTTTTAACAGCACGGATGTTTACGATGAGAAACAGTATGGCCTTAGACGTTCAACTATTCAGACAGTGTTGTGACTTGCGCTTGATTACATATCTGCTGATATTCTTTGGACACAGATGGAAATTTATGCGATCCGTGGACACGGTTTTCGTTTCTTGAGATCATTTTTAGAAAGCCGGTTACAACTTGTTGATCATTTTTGAGTACATACCTATTAATCAATATCTCAACGATATTCACATGAGTGTGTATGTTTTGCACACAATGCGACACTAATAGTCGAATACCAATCGAGGGTCCGTCTTTGATGGAGTCGAACAGACTGCAAACAAGGCAGAATTGTGGTTTCCCTCTACTTTCCTCAAACTTAAGGACAAATCACTAAAAATTCTAAATTTGTCTAATAATTAATAGAAACAAGGAATGTGTATCTTTATTACGAGGATTATTTTTAAGAGCTGGATTGGAATGTAGTAAGAGAAACTTTATGGAAGTAAATTATATCAGAAACTCAAATATGAGCATATTTTCATTCACCTGATCGTTACATGTCATCATTTTCAAGTTTTGAAAGAGGATGGCGCTAAGCCAGAACTGTTTGGTGGATGATAAAGTACTTCCCAATGGAACTTGTACAATTGCGCCTGCGCTCTTGTCGCTTCGTAAGGTCGAGCGCTGTCGTTAAGCAGAATGGCGCCGCTAGGAATAACAGAACAGCGCCTAATTCAACAAGCTGCTGGTGAATTCCAGGAGGACCTCTTTCTCGTTTAAAAACCCAATTACTGAGCACACTTCACAACAATGATTGACAACAAACACCGACAGCGACGTGAAATATGTCGACGGCGTAGTGGGAGACTGGGGTTGAACGGACGTCACAACCAGTTTTCAGTTCAAAAATGACCCTCGTGAGAATAACTGTTGATACTTCGTTTAAATGGGATGGCCAAATAGGGTATACGCAAGTAACTAAATAGTCAGATATTTGCATTGCGACAATTGAAATGTAGTATTACTAAAGAAGCATTGCTAAATGCTTAGGACATAACCACAGACATAACTCTATGGAGTAACTCCAGTGATGCTGGGTGGTGCTTAAATTACAGAAAATGGTGGTCAGAATCATTGCCTGTGTTGTCATGTTCATATGCTTCAAGCTACTTTGATTCCTTTCACGGTTTTTGGCAATGCCATACGGAATAAGTTAGCAAATTGACTAACAGAACCGTGTGCGCACATGAAGCTCCATAGAAAAATTGCACACTGAACAAACCGGTCTTTAATGCAGCTGCTCTTGCACTCTTTAACTGATTAGTAAAAGAGCACTGCTTTCATTCGCTTTCTCGAAATAATTTTTGCAGTAACAATCGATATTTTCCGGTAGTCGCATTTTCAGGTACTGCTGCTTTATATTACGAAAGTCAATAAACGGTAAACCTAAAGTGGTACCCCCATGTCAAGTGGGCTGTCACGCCAACAGTTTTGGAATTAGGAATACTCATACGCTGGCACGAAAATTCTCGGGATGGCGAGACGAAGCTAAAGAACATTTGTCTAAGCTTACACAAGGAAAAGTTTGCGCACAGAAGCAGATTGTGTGTGAGATGGAAAAGATGGAATTTAAAAGTAGTTTCAGTGTGATCTGCCAAAGATCAATAAATATCCATCAGAACGTCAAAAGTTCTGAGACTTCCTGGGTTCAGATTAGCAGTTTCTGATCACAATTTTAATAAACTACCTGCAGACATACGTGCAATGAACAACTTCAGATTTAAAAAGATACTACTAAAAGTAGCCGAGTTAGTGTTTCTACACTACTGATAAGTTTCTAAATTATATGTAATCGTGATAGTTTGATGTTTCACTATGCCTTAATATTTCTATGTATGTTGTCGCATACGTACTAAACCAGTTTCCTTGTAATTAGACTTATACATTCTGTGCATGAAATAGTCAATATTACACACATACATACACACGTTGCTAGGTCCTTGAGTTTATATAGTGTTAATGAAAACATGCTGAACTATTTAGTAGTCATATTTGAAAGTAAATAGGGTGATTTTGTAACAAAAACATATACTTTTTTATTTGAACCTTAAGGCCTAACCTTACCAACTTCGTTGAACTGAGATCAAGCTCCTGAACCGAATTCATCAACTGTTGAATGATATATGGAATTTATCAATGTCAGTATATGATATTACTAATTCTGGCTCAGACTGTTTCACCTGCTCTTGGTGTGACTCCTAATAGAATGATTGCGGCAAAGAATATCAGTCAATTATAAACGGAGATCACATAAACTTAGATCAAGCTCCATATATTGTAATTCGGCATAAATAACCGTTTGGATTGGCTTGTTAATAACATACTTGTTTTGCAGCTATTAACAAATTCTAAATTAATAACTTTCTGTGAACACCGCTGATAAAGAATTATAACTTTTTTAATGTTCATCATCAGAACTTGTTTTCAGCTATCAACAACATGCTCCTTAGGAACCCTAGGAACCCAATTAGGTTGCGCGGTGGGCTTCATCCTACCTCCAATGATTGTCCACGATAGTGATGACCCTGCAGTGTTAGGACAAGGTTTCAAGATCTTATGTTGGACACTCAGCATTGCCATGGTACCTGTGACAGCGGCTGTATTATGGTGTGAGTTATTATGAATTTCGAAATTTTAGTGTGTCAATTGATAAGTATCCCTATTCCAAAAACAAGCCATCTAAAATCCATGTAGTCAGAATGAACTTAAAATTCGCTTGTCACACGCTATCAATCATTTTAAAACCGAAGAAGTGTATTGAACTTGTAAGGCTGCAGGCTGCAAATCATATCTTTCATCTTTAAGCGGCAGGGGTATTACGCATCGTGAAAAGTTACATTATGTGCTTTTTCTTGACATTATACAGGGTTTTCAACAAGTTATCAACTTAGCACTAACTCTTGTACACTTGATGTGTACTCATTCCGCAGCTGTACGTGTTGCCTAAACGTCATGATGCTTCAGTTATCAATGTTTGGCTCTGATGTCATGTAACATGATGGCATTATTGGTGGTCTAAGGTGTAAGTTGTATACTATAGCTGGAAGGAAACGGCAGTACATAGGAGCATAGTGAGGATTTGTGTGCTAATAATTTGCATTGATGATAATTCCATTGGTTTCTTGCCTTAAATACAATTGAGATGTATGCAAAGCTAAAAATTATTTGCGCATCCACTTTTTCTTATTCAACCTGGAAATTACATATGCCAATTTACTGAATTTCAAAAAATAAAGCGATAAGGAAAGAATATTCCTAGTGAAATGTATTAAAACTAACAGGTGAGAAAATATGGTACATGCAGGAATATTTATGAAAGGTAAAAAAGTTATTACATTTTATATTAATCTTCATTTACAGTCATTTAAATTTTATAGAAATGTATTTTACGATCTCATGTAGAATTTCGGCATTCTGCAACCAACAAAGCATGACTTGCAGCTTGCTGCATGGTCATTGAGCGTGTCGTGTCATTGAGTCATTCCTCCATAGATGGACGCTTTTGATGACGCTCACAGCGGCACCTAGGCAGCAAGTTGACATTTTGTTGGATTTTTGACGTTTTATAGGCTTTTTATGTAATAACCTTGCGTGTGGTAAGGAATGCTTTATCAATAGCCTTTCTAGGCATTGAGTCCCACTTTTTTGTTCTCGGGCTAGAGTGGTGGAGAACCTTTAGCACCCAGTATATATAATCTGATATACCTACGCTGAAAAGCACAAGAATTGACATTACTCATTTTCGTACATCCGAGATCATTCGTTTTTGAGATATTTATATCTTAAAATATTCTTATGAAAAGACAGCCTTCTCTATTCTGAAAACACTATGAAGCTGGAAACACTATGTGGCACCTAGAGAAAGCTATAGCACCCCATCAAAATATGAAGTGAATAATATTTGTGTCTTATCCTCAAGCAGTAGCGTAGTAGCGTTCATTAATCCTTATCTATGCACGCCACTATTTTTCATGGTATACTTATCCTGGAATTACTCATATTAGATTCTTCTGTTTGTCTAAGGTCACAACTAGTAAATGTGGAACCAAGCAGTTTGAGTGAAATTCTTAATAAGTATTCTACTTGTGAAACTATAAGCCTTTTTTCTCAAAATTATTTAGCATTTCGGATTAAGTGAACTAAACAAATAAAATAACACAAATCGTTACCAACCTCGGACACGAGGTATGAGAAAGACGTATACAGAAGGCTTTCAACACTGTTCGTTCTACGCCAGGTATTTTCCAAGGCTCAGAGAGCCTTTGTGGCGTATAGCACGGGCTAAAACTACATAATTCAAAAATATGTAAATGCTTTTTCGAATTAATTATATTTGCTATACACATATGATTTTTGTTAATAAGATATATAATTGACGCACAGATTTTTTATATTTACCTTGATAAACAATTTCGCATTTTGGCGAATAAATATTATTATCATTATTAATAATTAAATATGTCTGCAGATTTTCCAGATCAACCGCCTCTTCCACCCAGTATCGCTCAAGCACAGTTGAGAGCAAAGAAAGACAAGGAGGAATTCAAGAGCAGCAACTTTTTCAGATCCATCAAGCAGCTTCTTATGAACAAAGGTTTCATTGTACACATGTCTGCATATGGAATCAACATTGGCGTATTTTCCGCTGTTGGAACATTATTGAGTCAGTTTATCTTGCAATACTTCGAGGTAAGCAGCGCAACCGAAAATTTATTGCTTCCCATTTTTGTTGAAAAAATAGTTTCAATTATAATTACTTCATTCCTGCTATCAGCCATCATCAGCATCAAACAGCTTACCGCTATAGATCTTCTAGGAGAGATGTGAGATTGTACAAAAATTTTCGGATAAACACATTCGAAATGCCGAATATACTTTTGAAAATGCCAACTTGATATTTCTGGAAAGTGGGCACTGTCAAGATCCATCCGGGGCATGCGACCTAACCAGTCGGCCTAACACCGCTCTCAACCAACTTCTACGAAATGCAAATTACATCTTACCTCTCAAATTTGTTATTTTCAGAAGATATCAGATAACAGTGTTCAAAAGCTTCCACATACTTTTATAGTTCACGAGTTATCCGTACTATGATATATGATAGACTAATCCAATTCAAAGCTCCAGTTTCTTTTCGAATGTTGTCAAACTTGATCATATCCTACACCTGCTATAATAGTTGACCAACCTCAAACATCTTGTCAAAATTAGGATTTTGGACAACCTTTAATTTCTATTTACCAATTATTGTTAGCCAAAACAAAAATAAAAACATTGTAATGGGCACTTTTACGTGATTTTGCAACAACAAATAGAATTTTTGCAAATGTTCTATTGAGTGGACTATTGGTTGACTGGGCGATTTATAAGTACCAACGAATTTAAAATATATAGGAGGAGCAAGCCTTCGATTTTTTTATCTCCTGTAATCAGGATGAAAAAGCATACTTCAAGTGGACTTAACATAAGTTATTTTTAAGACAATTCTGTCACTAACTTCATATTTCTAGTGTTATTTTTGGGAAGTTCGAGCACCTGCAGATGCGACGCAGACATGTTAGCTTGCAACATGTGCCGTTCACTTTTGTACGGACAAAATGTTACGCTAATGAAGCGAACGGCTGGATACTTGTTGCGCAGCATGTGCTAGACATCCTAACAGTCTGCAACATATTATTTTGCATGTCCCTAGGACCCCCATTCTTGAAATGGGGGAATAGAATGACTGAGAGAAAGTGGGCGGGGTTCTCTTACATTTCTGTGAACTGTATTCCTGAACTTTGATAGAATAGTCGCTCCCTTTTCGCGACTTATGAAGTTGCAAACACATGCTGGGCAACCCAGTTCCGACCCATGTGCCTGCAACTTTTTATATTGGAAACGTACCCAGATATATCGTATCGGAGGTAATCAATCTCCTTTTTTCAGGGAGCTCATGAGGATGCTGGTAGAATGGGCTTTGTAATGGTTATCACGGGAATGGTGGGAATGGTGATATTTGGTATACTTTTAGACAAAACTCACTGGTATAAGTAAGATTATGAATAAGCATTATTACTTCAAACTATAAAGGTTTTTTTCAGGGAAGTGACACTGTTCATTTATCTCTTCTCATCAGTTAGCGTAGTATGTTTGATGTATTCATTACAGTGGAGGTCAAAGATCTTGACGTACATCTCATGTGCAGTCGTAGGGTAAGTGTTCGATAAGAAAGTTTTAAAACAACTGCAAGCAAGCAATGCACCTGTTGCAATTTTCTACATGGTTAGCATCATACTATATGCTAACCATATCCTAATATAGATCTAATTTGGTGTTTTTATCAAGAAACATTAAAGAATGGGCATTTCCATAGATTTTGATGCACTGTTTCTGACGATCCCTTTTACTATCTCATGATTGTTTGCCACTCGAACGACCATATTGGAAATATCGCGTTACAAAACAGTATTGCTAGTCTATATTTCTATTACCAACCTTTTAACGATTTCTTCCAGTCTTATCTAAGATGAAATATAACCCCCTGCCTCCCACAACCTCAAACCCCCATCTACACCCCTTCAAAGACTCCCTAGGTAAATTGGATATCTGAAACATGAACAAAAGAAGCTTGAGCAATACCAATGTTGTTCGATTTTTCGCTTCGCCCTCACTGGAAAGTAATAACATTTCGTCAAAAATTCATCAAAATCATTCTTTCCGAGTTATAGGGAGCCGAGTAGTATTGGACAGATAGACATAAATAGAAGAGCAGACCAGCAAAAAATAGTGTCTTGATTTTCCGTGCTGTATAATTATGTCATCTAACGCCTAAAAATATGTCTTATTTTCAAGCGAGAGAAGGAAAAGTACGGCTATTCGTATAAGGTTGGAGGAATTTATAAAACGGGTAGATACTGTAATAGACATCGATGTGGTCTGCTAGCATCGTAGTACTGAAAAAATAGCGTTCAAAAGCCAAAAAGGCCCAACGAAAACCATATACAAATCGTGACCAAAAATGAAACATCATAGATAGGACCGCATTTTAAGGGGGTCTTCTATTTAGCATGTTTTCCTCGAGGGCTTCATTAAAAAGTTACGAGGTGTTGGAGTTTAAAAATGAAAAATATTTTTTTTAAATCTTCAAACCGTCAACTAGATTGAACTCAAATTTGGTATGTGGATTTATCTAAGTATCCACATTGAAAAGACTACTTAAAATTAACGTGCACCAGTGGCAGTGATACAGGGGATTAGTGGCTCTCTGGTCCCCCACTGCTCCACGTTCCTGATGAGACGCCACGTCCAGCGACCCTTCTCAGCTGTGTCCCAAGCTTCTTGCTATCGTTAGAGCAGCAGTTCCCGAGCATCTGCTATTGCAATTCCGTCTAGCCTATCCGATCGTTCTAATATTTGCAGCTCTATGGGTGGAAAATCTGCAATTACTGCGAGAGCTACAGTGGAGACTGTGCGATATGCGCTGAATACTCGCAATGCCATTTTCCTTCCAACTGCTTCAAGTTTCTGCCGTAGCTTCACGCGATTCAGTGCTGTGCGCCATATTGGTACTGCATAGAGGAAGGCTGATAGCGCCGCCGCATATAGAGCCTTCCTTTTGCTGGCCCTAGGACCCCTACAGTTTGGCATGAGTCTTGCCGACGCCGTCACACTTTTGGACGCCTTTTGTACCATTTTGTCTATATGGTGTGCATAAGTTGCCGTTTTGTTTCTGTTTTGTTGGTTTGGTGTGAACCCGACATAACAAAACTATAATTTTTCTTTTTGTATTCACAAATCTGGTGAAAGTACAAACAGAAAGAATCTAATAGCTAAACATACCTAATCAAGTTTCGATTCCATCAGATTGTTTCAAATAGATATAACAGATTTTTTATTTACATATCTACGCAGTTTAGGAGCACCTAATTTGTACGCACATGCGCTTCAGGGGCTGTAACCAATAAATTACACTAAATTATATAAGCAACAGGTACTAAATTTTTTAAAAATACTAACTATCCGACTGTAGCAATTGAACAGGATGAAGGTGCAATTGTGCTGTCAAGAGAAACCTAGAAACGCCTCACACGAGTATGTCATAAAGCCATTTAAGGTGTAGCCCATGAAATAAGAATTTCAAGGTTGAATTTTTTTATTAAAATCCGGCGTTTTACTTTCATAAAATTTTAGCATAACCAGAGTGTCTCCCAGTTTAGAAACAACTTATATGTCAAAATCCATCACGCCTTTTAAGCACGAGCCAGTGAAATAGAAATTTCAAGGTCTATTTACTAAAATCCGTCATTTTGCTTATAGACAATTTTAATGTGTCACTTTTTAGTCAAACCCAGAAACACCTCATTTAACAAAACTTATAAAGCTGTTTAAGCTGTAGCCTGTAAAATAGAAATTTTAAAATTGATTTTTTATTAAAATTCTCCATCTCGTTTTTATAGAATTCTAATAGAGCCAGTGTCACTACCACTGTCTAGATCAGGAGTTCCCAACCAGGGCGATGCTCCTCCCAAGACTGGTATAAAAACGAAAAAAATAAACAAACAACATTAACAAATAACATTACAATGTAATGTTTAATTTACACGCAGAGCAAAAAATGAAGTCTATTTCTCTTTCGAATAACACAGTCAAGCGTAGAATGGATGACATTGCAGCAGACATAAAGTCACAAATAATTAACAAAGTAAAATTATCGAATCCACCGACATCGTTAATTGTGCACAGTTAATAGTTTATGTTCGTTACATCGGCGTAGATATCATTCAACAAGAGATTTTGTACTCCCAATCTCTGACAGCAGGTATATTTAATTCTGTATCAAACTTTTTTGAAAAAAATGATTTGGATTAGATGAAACTCATTGGGCTTTACACAGATGGTGCACCTGCAATGATAGGTGTACGATTAGCTAAGCTAAGAAGCTCAAGTCAAAAAATCCCGCAATGGTTGGATGATATTTCTGGCAAAAACAGAACCTAGAATCAAGCAACTGGTACAGAACATGCAATCTCAAGTGTCTCATTAGTACCTACTCCTATGTTATTCAAGTTTTTCGATGAAAAACATTTATTAGTTTATTTAAACTTTTAAAGTTTCTTTATTAGAATTAAAATAAAAGTCTTTGTACCTATATAATGTGCGTATTTTGTATTTATTGAAAAAGTAAAGGGGGGCATGAAAATATAGTTTATAGTCCGGGGAGCCTCAACAAAAGAAAGGTTGGGAAACCCTGGCCTAGATGAATCTAGAAATACCTTATACATCAAAATGCATAGAGCCGTTGAAGCTGTAGCCTGTAAAAAAAGAATTTCAATCTTGATTTTACCTATTTACGGGCCATTTTGTTACTATAAAGTCTCAATATAGACAGTGTCACACTGTTTTTTTTATTTTCAATGGGAAATATATGTGAGGTATATCAATCTGCACAAGTTAGATAAAAAATAATTAAAGTTATTGGAAAATTCACAAAAAAATGGTATGTTTCATATATGAAGCCTTATGCACTAACAACCAATCTTATGCAGTTATTCGGTGTGTTATCGTAGGTAACAATTTCTGGTATTATTTAGGCAGAGCGGTACATGACATTTTACACAATAAATATAATAATATTACTGGATTTACATTCTGGATGTTTGCATCGATTTCCTTCATTTTCTCTCCGTTCCGGCAAATGATGTATTCCTAGTTATTGCTGATGTAATTTTCTTAGTTGAGAAGAACTTGAAAACACTGATAGCGCTTCTAAATTAGTAACTTTTGGAAGAATATTCAGATTACACGTTAATTCTAGAAATCAAGATCCTTTGATCTTTCACGAGCTTTCCGGTTCTCCAAGGCCCTGGATTCATCTTCTCTGCAATTTCATGTAGAGACATATTTTCACCATCGTCAGACTCTATATCTGTTTCAGAAATGAAATATTTTTAGGAATTATTGGGTTATTTTGGGTCTTCGTCGTCTGACAAATCGGGATCATCACTTTCATTATTTTCCGGTACATTTGTGACATATTTACTGCTTCCGTAAAATGTTTTCGGATCCATCTGGAACCAAAATGACCTTTACTACTGCTTATAACCGCATGATTTCCCATATGTGAATCAAAACAATTTTTGTACGTAAAAATTTAAATTATTGCCTAACTTATCTTGAAATGAAACAGTAACAAATAAACAGTGAACAGCTATTTTTTATCGCCAAAGAATACTTATTACTTAACAAAAATGCTACATAAAGCCAAAGATATCGACTGTATCACGAACCGCACGAGTGTCAACTTGCCAACTGCTCCAAGAGTGCACACAGCTCTTTTAATTCTAGAGCTTCAAAAAATAACAATATTTGTTACATATCACATATGACTCAGGATGCAATAAGGATCTGGTAGCAGGTGAAACAGAAATTTTTCAAACACAGATACATATCTCCGCGCGAACAACATATTCCTCCGTCTGGGGCAGTCGGGTAAAAATAAAAGACGGTAGAAGTTATCCCAACTAGCAAAGTAGTGGTATAAGATTTTGGTAAAAGAACCGTTCAGCAATAAAAGCTCTCTATTGTTGTTGCCTGAACACCAAAATGCTGGCTTAATGTTGTGTGGAATGCAAATTTGCTTTCTGCAACATATTTGCTCTAAAATGAGGTGTTTAAAATATTCTTATAGCATAGTTATACAACACCTTAAAAGGAAAATTTTTAACCGTTGCATAAACGTTTATACAACTATTTTATACGGCATATTTGCAAGTTAGTCAAAATGGTTGTGTTGTAGCATCCACGGTAACGTTTATAAAACAAACCCGAGCCTTGTTGTTTCGCTGTGCAATTTACTACTTTAGGCCCGTATCGTCAGTCGTCCCTACAATTGTAGGGCGCCTTTATGGCCTCCTGGATTGTCATAGTTTTATACTTCTCCGTCTCAGCGCTCTATTTTGAGGTTATGTCACAAACATCAATTTGCATCAAATTGTGCTTGGGTTTGAGTTACATCATGTTTTATCAGCCTGAAATTTCCTACAATTTAAAAGGAAAACAAATCTTCACATTAGCAGAGCGCTGACGCTGACACGGGACAAGTGTAATCTAGAAATTTTTGAAGGAGAGAAAGGAGTATGACAATCAAGGAGGCCATAAACGCGCACTACAATTGTAGGGTCGACTGACGATACGGGCCTTAGCTAACAAATTGCTCCCCACGGAACCACTTATACAACTGTTGTTTAGTAACTGTTAAAGGCTGTACATATGCTAAATATGTTGGTAAACAACTTCACCATAACCTAACTTTCTGCTGTCATATTTTTGTTAAAATGCCATAACCAATGTTTTAAGACAAACAACGCATGCATATTGGTTTAAAAGGTTTTATCAACTGTTCAAACAGAAGATATAGATCTGGTACAAATTCTGGGTAAATCATTCGACTCTGTCGGTATTTCATTTCAGACATTTCTCAAATTGTTGTATAACACCTGCAGGCAACACCAAAATATTCTAATAACCTAAAGACAACATGGACGATGCCATGATTGTACACAACTACCCGCCATATTGGGCAAAGATTTATTCCTCTATTTAATATTAAATAATTATATTTCAGTTCGAAATTATAGATATAGACTGATTTTGATCATTGTCAAAATATGAATCAAATACGAAGCCCGTAGAAATTGGGTAACTAATTTGCACGATAAAATTTGCTGCGCAAGTAATTCAATAGCCCTATATCACAGTGAAGAAGTTATCATATACCTGTGTATGAAATTCACAATAGCCGATATGTAAGTAAACAAGATGACTGTAATGTGTTAGTTATATATTCTTCACTTCGTCTATACAATACATAAGAAATAGTTTGGTTGCAATAAAGTAGAACCACGTAACAGAATAGTTGTATAGTTGACAAAAACTGAATCTTGCACTGACGCAAATGTCCTATAGCGGCTGCAAGAGGCTTACACTTTTGTTTTATAACTGTTACCTGCAGCCCTTATACAACCTTTTAAATGACTGAAGTGTCCTATTAGGTGTGCCCATTCCGCTTGTATAGCTGTTCTAAGAGGGTTTTGCCAATGTTCTTACAGTATACAATGCTGTTTAAGGAATACTGTATAATCATTCTTGCAACTCTAATATGAGTGATTATTGTTAGTTGGGATGTAAACTATTAGAAATCTGTTCTGAACAGGTTGACTATATCTCACATGCAATTGCTTCGGTCGGTTTTTTTTAAGTCATAGTTTTGAGAATTAACCAAAGACAAATTCATGACAGAATTTTGTGTGAAGTACAGTCTTGATGCCATCTTTGAGCAGCGAATTATTAAGTTGTTATTGTTGTTTCAGCATTTTCACAAATGCTTACATGCCAGTCGGTTTCGAACTGGCTATCGAACTAACATTCCCTTCTGAGGAAAGCACTACGACAAGCATGCTATTGATGATGACACAAATACTTGGAGTGATATTCACAGTAGCTCTGGGCTACGTAAACCTCTTGATGGGCTGCTTCTGGTCCCTATGCATTTCAGCACTGCTTCTCTTCATTGGTACAGCCATAACAGCATTCATTCCCAATGACCTCAGAAGACAGACAGCGTTCAAGAGGAATCCAAATTTGAAGAAAAACTCAATGCATGGGTCTAGATTAGTTTTCATTGAATAGATAATGTAATTTAAACTGTATAATTTATTATAGTGCTTATGGAATAATAAACAATGTGTTTTATACATTATGTAATATATTAGTAATTATTAGAACCAATGTTGTAATCGTACCTAGGCTGGAAACATTTCTTAGCTATTCTTAAATTAATGAATTTTGCGTTTGTCACAGTTAATTTAATGCTATCTAAAAAGATAAAAAGTATACATATAAAAATTACACACAAATATACGTCTTTCTCGCGGTTTTCAACTAGTAACTCTAGCATGGAGCTTAAAAAAAATGTCCCAAATCACAGTTATTAATGGGAAGAGGTAGGTTTGGATCAAATAGCGGGGAGATGCTTTCTATCCGCGAGACGTGTTATTTCCCCAGAATATTATATCCCCAAAAAAATCCCCAAGTTAAAATGCCGCAAATTTGTGTGAAAATCTTCCAACATTTCAACCCTGTCAAAGAACCTCTAGTAGGTACTCTAGGCGTCAAGATTCGGGATTCTCTTAAAAGCGCAAACAGCAGCAGTTGTTTCTCCTGAGCCGCTTTTCAGTGCCACATTTGTGTTACTCGGAGTAACTTGAGTGTCATGCACCTGAGCTACTCATCTTTGAAATACCCTGACCCCTCATGCACCAGCTTTTTATTCGGTGTTATACGCTCCGAAGTAGTGGTGATAACGAAAACGACAGTGTATGACGATTGTTAGGTCATGTTTTTTTTCATCGTTTTTGTCTTTTTTTGCATTAAAGCAAATTAAACTCACATTTAACCGATACCATACAATGGAGGATGGTAAAAAAAATGATATTGTTATGACCCAGAGTTACAACGTACATTTGAGATGTTCCTGAATAATAAAGATCACAAGAGAGTGCAAGAATGCAGGTTCATAGCGGCTTGTAAATGGCTTCATCCATAACTTGACACTTTGAAAATAATTTTGAATATCTGCATCAAAATATGAATTGGACACATTTATTAAGAAGCTTCAAACTAAAAATGCAGACCTCGTGTTGCGCCATCGTTCTAAAAGCATCATCAGGCAACAATTGGATATTCTGACAATGCTTCTAAAAATAAATGCAAAATGTGTTTACATTTTCATTATTTGGCAGTGTCATACAAATGGTCCACGTCAAAGCAAAACAGCAAAAAACATGTTAGGCTCTTATCGTCGCATTCCCGTGCAAATTTGCTAGAACAGTTCAGGAGCGAATTCAAAAGCACTGGAGAGCGGCTTTGATATACAGACTCCATGAACTATAACTTGGAAGTTAACTGACAGTTACCAGTAAGATTATTTTTCACGTCTGAACTATCCTGTTCTGTGCGGTTTTGTGATGCTCGATAATCGTGTCTCCATGACACCGTTATTACTGGGTGTTTATTTTTGTCGCTTAGTATATAATTTTGGCGCTCTCAATACCTCGTCGTGTATAGACGGAATAAATACCCAAAAATGAAAATAATCCAGGAATATGAACAGTCATGCATTCGAAGACTTTTAGACTGCCTGAATGTTACAGAGTAATGATTATTTTCTCCATTAGAAATACACCAATATTGTAAATGCCAATAGTAAGATTTTCAATGCAGTTGTTGATTAGATTCACTTGGTGTATTTGAATATGTGTTTTTTAGACAAAGGTAAAAATAGCTTAAACCGGTGCGATTGAGTTATCAAATGTAATCACCAATTAAGACTACATAATTATACATTGTTATCATCTAGATTGAACCATTAAACCAATGTTCACTAGTTGTAAGTTGTTTTTGACAGTTTAACCAAATTGCAGTCAAAACATACTCAAACTGACATGGCAGAAATAAAAGTTGGAGACTATGATCAACCAGACTCCAATTTATTAAACAAAAATGATCAGAAAGTGAATTTGAAGGTTTACAAGAGAAGGTGGATGATATTGTTGATTTTCATGTACTATGCTGGTGTGTGTTCTTTTCAGTGGATTGAATACTCGAGTATCACTCATCTAGTAGTAGAATACTATGAAGTTAGTACACTTGCAGTAGATTGGACTTCTATTGTTTATTTGGCACTTTATCCGCCATTGGTAATTCCGCTGTCGTATGTTATCAACAAATGGGTGAGTTTTTAATATTCTGATTTAACACGATCTGATTTTTCTGATTTCATGGTGGCCTTGAGTTTATCCTTGCGGTCGAGTGAAGGTCAAGACGATATTTTTTATGGAACCCTATTCATTTGTCCCCAGAAACGGATACTAACAAAAAATTTTTCGTCCAGGTGAAAATTGTTTTGACCCCGAAGGCCTTGGTCAAAGCTATTGTGAAAAACACTCATTTGAAGAGATTTCAGATATTTAGCAAAATATATATAAATAAAGAAGCAGAAGCTTCAATTGTATACTAATGACATTAAACCATGAAAAAAATTGTCCGGTCCTTGATTTGGACAAGGTCATGGCTAATGTCAGTTTCAAGATCACGAGGGAATAATATATTGAATCAGTTGCTGTCTTTGAGCCCTTACTTTTCCTTTAGAACTGTACCTGAAATGTTATCAGTTTGTTTTAAACGGTGACCTCGACAGTGACATTCAAGGTAAAAATGATGTTCACTCAAGGTCATAGCTGAATGTATACTTTTCTGTTCTATCCATTACCGGGGACCAAATTGTAGGACCCCATTTAAAAAAATCGCGTCGATCTTGATCTTACCTTCACGGCCATGACTAAATTCAAATTCAACGTGGCCACTAATCATCCAGAGAAAAAATCCCTAATCTCTACTATTTTACTTTCGCCATACTCCTTGAATATTCCCAAATACCTTGCAGTTCCGGGACGTTTAGATACACCTGTATGAACCGTGTAAGTAAAACCCGCAACTTTCTTTGATTTTTCCTAATTGAAAGATTATGTATCTGATCTAACATGTTTAGTAACTGCCATATAAATATCCTAGCATGAACTGCATTGCTTGTTTGGTACGTCAGGCAGTTCTGGTTGTTACTACTTTAAACAGCTTTGTACAATGTCATATGTTAAATTGAGTTTTGTGTTTGCCTTATTTGCATTGTTTTATGAACTATAATCTGGTATTTCCATTTATTGCGACCTTTTTTATGACACATTTGCAAATTGGCAGATAATAGATAAATATTTAATTTAGTTCTCATGAGGAGTTCAGATGTTATATATTCTTTATATTTGTTCAAGAAATTGTTATTTCATTAGTGAAGTAAGAGAGTAGAAGGGATAATTAGATATCCTCAAGCTTGCTGATGTACTAGTACATACTGTATAGAAAATATTCAGAGAGATTCTGAAGAAAACTCATTTTCTCGTTCTAGTTTCACTAATCTAAAATTTGATTGTGAGGGTAGTTCTTTTCTGTGGTGAAGTTGTCCATACCTCAGAAGACTATAAGCTCAAATAAGTAAGAAAGCTATGGGAATGCTAGTACATAAACATAATGCGAGAATGGTTGTCAAAATACTGAATGTATATGCCTCAATTTTTTTTGTTCTGTTTTTGGCACTGGTCGATAAACAACTGTCCAGATCTTATGTTCAGTATCTTGCTCTAATAGAAAATAGAACATCCATTACTTAATATTACCACTTCTATTATAATGTAGTCTGCGAACGCAATTATATTGCTGTTTTTTTACAGTTTTTTTTTCAATCAATACTTTGTTTTCAATATTGTTTTTTTTCTTTTGCTTGTCTATTGTTTTTTTTTTTAATTTTAATATATTTTTACTTTATACTGGTCTATTTCTTTTTTCTTAATTTTTTCAAACTTACTGTAATTTACATCTTATAATGTTACACCTATTTTCAGACAATGCTTTTATAAAAGCTGGTGGTTCTAAGAACTGAGAATTGAGTCTAAATTTAAAGGAAAAGAACGTGTTCCGCTAAAATTTGATACAATTCAGTATTTTCTCTACGAGGGATGTCTTTTAAGTTTTGCATATAGAAACATAGTAGGCCACCCGGATCGAACGTGAGTACTGAATCTTAACCTCACTCTTTAGTAAACTTAAATTCAAAGTTTCACAACAATACGTGCAGTGTTCTCACTACAGTGAATTTTTAAGTGTCACCAAGTCATTAGAAAAATGGAACTCAACCGAGAACATTTTCGCGCCATAATTTATTACAACTTTCGGAGACAATTATCGCACCAAGAATGCCTTGCTGGTTTTGGCAACGAAGCACCACATCAGTCGACAATTTCCCGTTGGTATGGAGAATTCAAACGTGGACGGGTGAGTCTTAGCGACGATTCCATGGTGGGTGCACCAAAAACGGCAGTCACCCAGGAAAACGTCGATGCTGTGCGCAAACTCATCATTGAAGATAGACATGTGACATATCGCGAGATTGAGGCGTCCTTGAAGATCTCAAAGACCTCAATTCAAAAAATTTTACATGAAGAATTAGGAGTAAGAAAATTAGTTTCTCGTTGGATACCCCACCTGTTGACTGAAGAGCAGAAAGCAGCCAGGGTTAAGGCGGCTCCGACGCAGTGAGTTTCAGGCCATTTACAAGGGTTTAGCTGCTTCGGAATTGACGCTCCATTTTTCTATATATTTGAATAAAATTTATACAGTATATTCAGAAGACAATTGTCCAGGGTGCTATAGCGCCACTTTTCTAAAAAAAAATTTTTTTCAGGAGTTATGGTGGGTGGAAGTGCAGATAATTGTTGTTCGACTTCTCGATTTTTTTAAAAATAACCCAGAGGAAAAAACGAAAAAGTGGCTCTATAGCACCCTGTGGAGTCTTGTTTTTAGTGCACTGTGAAAATTTCATTGAAAAATATTCAAAAATGAAGCGTCAATTTTGAAGCGCGAAAACCTCTGCAAATAGGCTTTTACACAAATTTTATCCACTATCTCGTGCTGCCAGTCGAAGCAACGCGGCGGTGTGTACGGACTAAGAAAGGACGTATTCAGATAATTTGTTGTCCCAAGTTAAACAGTAGCAGTTTTAACGTCGGTCGTTCGAGATAAACATCGGACCATTAAGTGATATTTTTAATAGACTTCAATGAAAGAGGGGAAATTTTTAATCGATTTTGATCATTTCTTTTTATACAATAGGCCATGCTTCAGAGGTGATACCACAAAAAATCATTTTTGTTCAATCACCCCAATATGGATATCAAATGGAAGCACTTGTACAAAACAGTAATACGAAAACAGTTTCAAATCAAGATGGCGGCCGTTACAAAATGGCGGATAACATACTTGCTAATATCTCAAATAAGAGTTGTCGCCTTGTAGAATACAGTACTTCACTAAAAATTTGATTCCAAGATTGCCGCCGTTTCGAAATTGCGAGTTACATATTTTTGTACAAAACCCCCAATTTACATATCAAATGAAAAGACTTGACATGTGTGGTAAAATACAGAACTTTGTGACCAAAAGTTTCCAGGTGGTTCCAGGGTCATTGGAGGCGGTAATCTTTTTAGTTAAAAATAATAATTATAGTGAACGCATTTACCACAAATAAAATGTCACTTGCTGTTTAGCTTTAACCTTATGGAGTATCGTAAAATAAACTTAACACGATAAGCATCATGAGATATAATGCGTGTGTCGCACCTCATTTGACGCTTTGGGCCTCGTGACACACATGATATGTCTCACTGCTGGCAGTTATATTTGGCCGCGTAACGTAAGACGTGTGCCATGCTGATGTGATTTTCTTACGGGAACCAAGAGTCCGTGGCCTGAGGGACCAAATTATACTGAATTGGAAATGAAAACATTAAAAAACACGTTGTTTATAGAATTTTACAAAAAGAGTATATTCTACAAATCTAAAACAAAAAGCAAATCTTATAATCAGACATTCTCATTCATAAATGAACAAAGTAATTTCACAGCAAATCAGTAAGTTATGGTAAATGTCGATATTCTAACGAACACAACTATGGAGGAACTCTTATAAACTAAACAGATTGACAAAGTCTTATGCAGGAATAAACAAAATACCGGTATAAATAAACAGTAATACAGATAAATATGGAATTACTACAACTACTATCTGATTCACTACCACTTGGAGAATACGCATCAGATAAGTATACATCCCCACATAACTCAGTACTGCCACTCTCTTCATAGTATTTCATTACACAATTGTTCAAGCCTTTTTTGCTCCGCTTCGTAATGCGACATCACAAATTTGGTATTCAATAATTTATAAACAGTAAAGCAATTTGGACAAGATGACGCGCGACATGATGCAAGTCTTGACTTGCAAAAAACGCGACGCGACTTATGTGCCACGCGACCAGACTGGTCTGTGCGCCACGCGACATACAATTAGTACCTCAGAAAAAAAAAATCAAAAAAAGGGAAAAATCATAGGATTTGAGAAAAAAGTCGAGTCAAAATATTAAACCGAAACTTAAAACAAGCTAATTTGACAATAATAACAGTTTGTCCCAGTAGACTGGATTTTCAGATTCTACTGTGGCGCTTAACGTGTCAATGTGACATTTCAATATTCGCCATCTAACAAACTAGATAAAGCTAGCCGATGCTACGTGCTATTGAGCCTGACGATTGACTTTTATTTAAATAAACAATATATACATAATATACAATAAATAGTGAACATCTGGTACTAGTACCAAAATGGAAGAGATTAGCATAACATCTCGCACATCGCTGCTAAAGCGAGATCTGCACACCGCATTTGCCGACACGAAGGGGTTAGTAACGGCGTACAATGTAATATGCTAATCTCTTCCATTTTGGTACACGAGTACAGCAAAAATAGCCAATTCTCAAGAACTCTTTTTCTTGTTCAAACGGTTCTCTTGTGCCTTCAAGATCACATCGGGATCGCGGATTGGCATATTTCTGCTTTTTCTGGGATCGACCAGTTCTGGGAGCAAGCAGTTCATGTAGAAGAATTTCAATTTCTCTTCCATTTCATTTTTCCAGAAAACGTCATTCTTTCGAATGACGTCTATTTTCAAACCATACGGGGTCCAAACACCAAGCATACAGTACTCTCTTTGTGCAACGTGTGCCCTTGAATTTGGTAATAACACTTATGTTTTTTATTTATTTCATCGTTTATCCAAAACGTAATTTTTTTGTTCAGAATGCCCTCTTCAGGGGTCATTTCTCTAGCCGACCATGGACATTTAATTTCTAGCAGACCTTTTTCGCCTATCAAACCATCTGGCGATGCTGCCAGAAATGGATGGGTCCTATCAATAAACAACCCGCAAGATTGTACTTCTGATTGCGAATATGATTTCTCTATTTCTGATTTTGCCACGCTTTCATGCTTTTTTCCATAGTCACATGCATTGCTAAATAATTCGGTTGGGTATATTACGGCGTTTACTAGAGCTCTGCAACTTGTTGTATCTCTTCTTCTACAAACCTCACCAAACCGAGACGCAGTCAACCTCATTCTTCGATGAAGACGCCACAAATTGCAATCCTGAGATTTTGTGGCTTGCTCGATCTGGGAAATTTTGGAGTCGGTTTTTGCAAGTTTTTTCAAGAATTCTACCTTGGCAGCCTCTATATCTTCGTTGCTCATGTCAGGCTTCTCACAGAATTCCCCATAGGATGCGTTCTCTTTAGTATCATTATCTCTGATTTTAATTTTCCTTGGTTTCAGCTTCCTTTTCAGATTTTTGTGCGCTCTCCTTTCTTCAACTTTAGCAATCAAAGAGGTTGGACTGAAACTAGGGAGTAGCCGCTTTTGGATCACACAAACAGGTCGCTGTGTATTGTGGCTCACTACGGCTGCAGCACATCTTCCTTGGTAGGATCTCTTCTTGCAATAATTAATCCGTTTACCCCCAATGAATTTAGCTATGATTGAGTTAAACTGCTCTACAATACTATTATCGACGTCATGAAGTAAACTTAATGCATTTTTAATCAGAATTGCCAGAAATGATATCAGCCTCTGGTGCAAATCTAAAAAAAAAGGGTATACACACCTGAATTTGAAGATCCATGCCATCTGTCTCTGTTAGAGAATACATATGCGAAACCTTGCTGTCATTTTTAAGCTAAAATAACATATAAAATATAGTTATAATACTAACTACGTATAGTCTAATTTATTGGCAAAATGAATGCTAAAATTCATAATTGTTTTGGTACCTACTTTTCTATCTGGAAAACGTTTTTTTTTTCCTGTGCGTATTTAAATGCGGCTTCTTCGAGACGCCACGTTTATTTCTCTTATTGTTCATTTTTGATACCTTGATAAGAAAGACACTCAACAATAACAGCACAACAATAACAACACAACAATAACAACACGATAATACAACAATACAATAACGGTAATAAGAGTAATAAGGGCTGAGTATACTATGCGCCAAAATAGGGAAACAGTCGTACGCTAGATCGTATATCCAAATCAAATCCGACTCTGTGCAATATGCAAATTCAACCAGGCACGCGAACAGCACACCTCTGCGTACTACTATCCTTTTCTAACGTAGAGCGCTTGCCTTGTCACAACGCCGTCCTACTAGCGTTTCCCTATCACCCCCCCGATTCCCCTCAGAAACTCTGCTTGACTGTGAGAGCGCCGTTAAATGGTGTCAAAAAACGCTTGACCGTTTCAATTCCGGAAACTCAAAGAATGTGCACAGCATAGTTAGTGGTGACGAATCGTGGATTTACTGTTATGAATCAGAAAATAAACGACAGTCGGCTGTTTGGGTGTTCCAAGGTGAAAAAGAGACAACAAAAGTCATCCGTTCTCGAAGTGTTTCGAAAAAGATGGTCGCGACATTTGTGTCAAAAGCGGGTCATATTGCCACAGTTCCTCTTAATGAGCAAAGAACTGTTACTGTATACCACCATTTGTTTGCCAAAAGTCATCACCAAACTTCTAAAAATCAACCTCCACCAAGACAATGCAAGCTCGCACACAGCCCAAAAAACAAGGCTGTATTTAACGGAAGAAAACGTGGAATTATTGGACCATCCTCCATATAGTCCCGATCTAAGTCGTAACGATTTCTTTCCCGAAAATTAAAAACAGACTGCGTGGTCAAAGGTTCCAGTCACCAGAAGAAGCAGTTGACGCATTCAAAAATGCCGTTTTGGATCTGCTAGCAAACGAGTGGGATAAGTGCTTCGAAAATTGGTTCGAGCGCATGCAGATGTATATTAATCTTCGTGGAGAATACTTCGAAAAACAATAAATAAGTCATTTAAAACTGCCTACCGTGTTGTTTTATTTCCATATGCAAGACTTAAAAGACATCCCTCGTATTAGAACTTGTACATTCTAATATGAGGTGCTGCAAGGTTCCTTATATATCCTCAGATTTCCACAAATGCTTTTCTCTCAACCTGAAATCTTATGTGTGGTCAGGTTGGATGATATAGATTGGAGATAACTACAAGAGAAGTCCCATAGGTTCCGTTTCTGCAAATGTATTTATTTTTTCCACACTTTTAGATATAATCAGAATCGTATTTGAGTTTAAATTTTGAAATTCACTTTTTAAATAGTTAGCACTTAGTTTTCTTTTCTAGGGCGTAAGAATGGCTGCATTAATAGGTTGCATTGGAACACTGGTAGGAACTACAGTAAAAGTATTTTCTATTCGAAGGGACTTGTTTTCTGTGGTTCTACTGGGGCAGATCATTGTAGCTGGTTCACAAACCGTAATAATATGTATTCCACCAAAAATAGCATCGACTTGGTTCAAACCAAGTGAGGTTTGTAGACTTTCATTCACTGCTACCATTAATATCCATCATAAACAGGTCAAAACTTAAAAGCCTAAAGGGAAAGTCCAAATACACAGGATGATCCAAAGGAACAACGGCAACGTTTCTAAAGCAGGAAGTACATCCAAAAATAACAAAAAAAAATTTTAACATAGGTCACAAAAAGCAGCGTGCAGGGTATTGTAAACTTCTGTGCCACTGGCGAGACCAATAGGACTCCGCTAATCGACCAAATAAAGTTTTTACCACACTTCGAGGCAGTAGCATCAAACATACTTTCTTTTTGCTTCTACGGGGATAAAAATATCCTCCTACCTCACGAAAATTTTCGTACTGATTATGCTGTTTTTATAATTATAAATCAACACCCTGAATTTTATTTAGGGGACATTTTAGTAAGGTCCATGTTTTGTGTTCTCTATAAACATTGCCACTGTTTTTTGTGTCAAGCTATATTCTAATGCTCCTTTCACATTACACCATTTCGCTCGTACGGAAAAAAATCGCCCGGGCACGTTTTCTAAACGCGTTGCAGCCGTCCAGTGCCACTAGAACCGTACAGCTACCGTATCGCCCTCTAGCTCAGTGGTCTACGTGACCGCTTTCACACTAGACGGTTTCAGTCGTGCCACGATTAAAAATCGGGCGATTTTTTCCCGTACAAGCGAAATCGTGTGAAAGGAGCGTAATGACAAGGAGACAGTTCATAAACTTTATCGATAGCTTTGCCTCTAGCGTATGATGTAAAATAATCAAAACGTCTACAATAAACTAGATTACAGTATGGAAGCGTTTTATTAAGGCCTAAGTTAAGGTGCAAAGGTCGATGAACAGCGTAAATCTCTGCAGGTCTTGATTCTCTTAGAGAAAATGTACCTATGTTGAAAGTAAGTCGCGTACTGTAAAGAGAGAAACTAAAACAACTTTTATTTTTTCTCATGATTAAAATCCCTCAATTCTTTTGTTCGGTTTCAGTTATCTACAGCGTGTTCTCTAGGGACTTTAGGAACCCAACTAGGTATCGCTCTTGGATTCATGCTACCTCCTATTATTGTCCCAAACAGCGACGATCCAAAGGTCATAGGACAAAGACTGCAGTTTTTATGTTGGATGCTCACCATTGCTATGATACCTGTATCCATTGCAGTATTATGGTGTATGTATTAAACGCTACAATCAATATAAAGCGGTTTAAGAGTCAAATCAAAAGATGCCAAGCCGCTGGATTATTACGTAAAGCTCAGCAACATCTGTCGCTCGACCCTCATTAGCTGAGATTCAACTAATTGGATTTATGTACTCATCGAAACAATATTCATAGCTATAAATAATAATTCTTGATCCTATCAGATTAATAGAGTCCTTTGAACGCGTAAATAGTGTACAAGAAATGTGTCAATATCACAATTCCGTATCATTTATATGTCTAGCCACTCTTAGCTAGTTTGTTGCTTCAAAGAATTAAGCCCAAATTTATCGAAGACGACTTAAAGATCGGTATTTATGGCTCTTAAAAGGGCAGAATTAATTAAAATATTTGCATCGTAAGCTTGTCCCTTGTCAGCATTGCTTGTAAAAACATACCAAATGTTGCGCGTAGGTACAGGAGGGTAAGATGACGTATCTGCTAAGATGACGAATTGTTTATTTTCGGAAACTCTTACTAGATAGCGCCACGTACGTGAAATATATGACGCATTGGCATCACTTTTTACTCTCTAGTCTATGAAACCTGCATTCAGTCTTATGTGTGCGGTATGCTAATGACATTTATGTGTTGTGTATATGTCGTTGTAAAAATCATGGTCGAATAAATAAGATTTTGTTGTTGTGAATTAGGGATTTTTTCTTCGCAGTAAGTATTTTCATAAAGGTTTAATTATTGTATGTGCAATATCTATTAAGTTTTCTTAAAATACATGTGGGTTTTTGTTTATTGTTAAATTTGTATAAAATGTTGGTGTCGGGTATGTTGACGAATCTTCCAAGCGGGTAAGATGACGAGTTCGTCATTTTACCTGATCTCTGTAAATCAGTATTTGAAAATAGGGTTTACGATTTATTTGCAGTAAACAACATGGTAAAAATATATCACCGAAAGACGAATCGGCAAAGCTAGTCTAAGGAAGCGATGATGATGCTGTAGAAGAAGTAAAGGGTGGATCGTCTGTAAATGGCACAGCAAAAAAATATAAACTTCCAGAAACTACATTGCGACGCTACGCTAAGAAATATTCTGAAGAGGTAACTAAATATTTAATAACGTCATTGTTTATATTATTATTGTCATTGTTTTTGTGCAATATTAGATAACTTTTTTGTATGCTTAAAAAAGTTAAAAATTATTTTTAGAATATGCCAGATAGTGCCGGAAGATTTAGATGCACATTTACAAATGAGCACATGGAAAATCTAAGGCAATATATAGAAGATGTAAATAAAAGAGCATTTGGCATAACTCGAGAACAGTTTGCAAGAATTGTCTATGGTTATGCCGAAACGCTTAGGATTTCTCACCGCTTTAACATTATTACTAATGAGGCAGTAAAAGACTGTATTCAAGACTTTATGCAAAAATTTAGGTTTACATTAAGAAAACCCGAAGCTACTTCCGCAGCATTTAATAGAACAAGTGTCGAAGCATTTTTTACTTTATATCAAGAAGTGTTGCCCAAAACAAATTACGCTCCTCAACAAATCTTTAATATAGATGAGACCGGCTGTCCTACTGTGCCTACTAAAACTCCAAGCGTGCTGAGTCCTATTGGAACCCGTAGAGTCTTCTGCCGAAAAGGGCACAAATGTCAGTGTGGCATGTTGTTTTAGAGCTGTGGGCCAATATATTCCTCCATTCTTCATTTTCCCGAGAGTAAGAATGCAACAGCATTTCTTAAATGGTGCACCTACGGGATCTTCAAGCGTATGTAATGAATCAGGGTGGATGAACGCTGACAGCTTTATTTTGTGGTTACAACAGTTTATAAAAAATGTAAGGCCTTCCAAGGACAATCCTATTTTACTTTTATGGACAACCATTCGTCGCACGTAACTTTACCGGCAGTAACTTTATGTCGAAAAAACTTTATTGATGTTTTGGGTTTTCCTCCCCATGCAACCGTTGGATGTGCCTTTTTACGGACCCTTTAAAACCGCTTATAGCCGGGCATGCAGTGATTATTTAATGCAACATTCAGGTCAAGTCATTACAATTAAAGATGTGGCAGGAATTTTTAGTGTGGCTTACAATAAAGTTGCCACAACATAAAATGCTGTTCAAGGTTTTAAAGCAACTGGTTTAGTTCCACTAAATTCTCAAATTTTTGATGATTCTGACTATGAGCCTTCAATGACAACAGATAAATCATTCGAAGTCTCAAACGATCTTAATAGAGAAAACCCCTCTTCTGACAATGATATGTCAATACAAACTACAGCTACTACTGAATTTAACCCAAGCGATACTGATGCTTCTTTAGTACTTGTCAACTCTGAATAACTTCAGGATATATAACTAGCAGGACCATCTAAAAAAGTTCACTTGCTACCCTCGAACCTACAGCTGGACCTTCTAAAACATTATTTGGCTTGCCTCAACTCCCTGTTGCTATTCCTACGACAAAAAAACCAAGAAAGAAATTGCCGTCATTGTATATAACTAGTACTCCTATTAAGGATGCCTTGGAAAGTAAAGAAGCTGAGAAAAAAATAAAGAGGAGAAGAAAAAAGAAAGTCAGAAAAGAAAAGCTGAAAATGCTAGAAAAAATGCTAATAAACCGAAAACGATGGCAACACAAAAGAAAAAACAGCAGAAACATGTTAGACAAATAAAGTTTTATAATGACAGTGTGTGTGTCTTCAGATTCCTCCATATCAATAGATACATGGAAAGTGATGATGGCATCGATTACGTCGGAGATACAGAAGAAGTTTGTTTAATTTGCAGTGAATCAGGCAAAGATGAACTTTGGGATGCCTGCTCCTCTTGTTGTAAATGGGTGCATGCCGCCTGTAAGGCATGTTTGTGACTTTTGTCAAGTTTAATAAAAATATAATTAATTTTTAAATATAGTTTTTTTTCGTCATCTTACCCACCTAATATTGTCAACTTACCCACCTACGAGGGCCAGATGACGAACTTGACATCCAATTTTTAAGGTAAAAAATTAAATAGAAAATCTTAAAATATTTAAGTATTTGATAATTCTCTTTATTTCTTAATGTTTCAAGTTAATGTTAAAATTGAACAAAAGATGCCAAATTGAAATTGCATTGAGAAAAATGTATAATAAGCTTACTATCGTCATCTTACCCCCCTTTCCCCTACTTCGGTGTTAGCATTTACTTCGGAAAACGAAACAAATCTTTGAAGTTATCTAACAATATCACTTGATCTCTGTATTTTGGATTGTGGATAAAATGAATGATGTATAGGAAAATAGTTACGTTTCCAATGGCGAGCTTATACAGATAGCCTTTTAATAGTCACAGTCGTAAGCATAGGCATAACCATAATCACAGTCACAACTCGGAGTATGGTTATTCAACTGTTTTAATCATAGTCATAAGCAGTTGTACATTTGTGATTTTGACGGATGACAGCCTCCTCGTTTCTCATTGTTGGTCAATTTTAATAACGGTGAGAACCAAAAAAAAATAAAAAGTTGTACTTGCAAACGGCGAACATGGCAAAAATCAAAAACAAATGGGGGTAGAGACAACAAAACGCAAAACATCGTGAGCCCACAAAACTTTGACACTTGATAGTACACCTTTGACATTTTTGACACATTGACTTAGTAAAATGACATTTCAGTCATAAGCATGACCATAGGAGTTAAAAGCTACAAACTCCAAAACCATCTCATTATGCGTATGGATATGATTATAACACGTTGCATAGACGCGTTCATAGAAAATACGAATTGTAACTCTTATGCTTATGTCTATGAATATGTCAGTGACTATAAAAGGTAGTATAAACTTGACAAAAATATTAGAAGATGACGTTTATTGAAGGTGTACCGATCTAAATGTAATAAAACTGAAATTCTAAATTTGATTGAAGTTCGTGACAGCGCTTCATAATAATATAATTATCGCATTTTAATTTTACGTATAGGTTTTCCAGAACAACCGCCTAAACCTCCCAGTCTTGCTCAAGCAGCATTACGTTCCAGAAATGGAAGCCAGCAATTTAGGTCAAGAGACTTCTTTGGATCGATTAGAATGCTTCTAATTAACAAAGGATTCGTGGTTCACATGATTGCCTATGGTATCAATATAGCTGCTTTTTCTGCCATTGGGACATTTTTGAGTCAGTTTGTATTGCAATACTTTGAGGCAAGTAGACATCCGACAGTATATCGATACGATATCAATATCCAGCCTTGCTTTTACTACATAGTGACGTCCTGGTTGCTACTAAGGTAAAGGGATCACGATTCCAAGAATGATGCACTTTCGCGTACCAAGAGTATTATAGTCATATCTGCAAAAGCTACTAGGCTGCAGCATGGAAGTCCACAAATCAAAATTCAAAGGAGGCACATTGGTGGTCCGACATAATTCAAGTTTAGGAAGAGGCTATTGAAAGTTGAATGATCTTCATTTTAATAAAACAAACAACCTTAACATTCCTATTTCTCGGGCTACAGGTTAAACAGCTTGATAGCTTGGACTATAATATGACCTGTTTATTGATTTATAAAATCAAAATTTGTTGTCGAAAATCTGAACTTTGAGGTTCCTATTTCACAGGCTATAGCTTGAGTGGTTTGATTTTGACAAATGAAGTGCATTTAGATTTCTCTTGACAATACGATTAACACAAATATTGAAATTTTTCAAAATAAAAAAAACTTCAACTTTGGGATTTATATTTTTTGTTATGGGCCTGAGCTTCTGTGGGGAAAAGGGGGCACATCTCCACAATTCAGATCTAGCAAACGAATTTTAGCGGATGTTGTCAACAAAAAAAAACTCGCCACTCGTTGTTTAAGAAACAAAGGAACGGTACGTATCTTGAAAAGTGATATTACGTCGATTTTTTTGACATTATATTGTTTTTTGTGACATGTAGATTTTACTATAAGGTGTTAACTTAGCACTAGCTGATGGACACGATGTGAGCTCGTTTTGTACTTGTATGTGTTGCCTTAACGTTATGAGGCTTTATTTATCAATGTTTGGATCTGGTGTGATGTAAAATCTGCTTCAGAGATGGCATTACTGGAGGTAATGGCAATGCATAAGTACATAGTGAGAATGTCTGTGCTAATGATAATTCCATTGGATTTTTGTCTCAAATACACTTCCATTCTGGAAATTACATATGCAAATTTGCTGAATTTCAAAAATGAGATATAAGAAATTACAAGTCATATACATACTAACAGTAATTACACACAACGCAGGCGCGGTGTTGACTCCCGTAAATCACCTCAAAGTTTTTGAAAACACAAAAAAACCTACAAAATCGTAATTTATAACCCGTTGGCAGTATATTCAGTAATGATTCTCTCACGCAGCAAATATCACTGACTTTATACACGTGCAGACCAATACACACAATCATCCAGATGCGATCTTGCTATTCAACCAACTTCTCAGAGATGAAAACTATAAACTACTCTGCTTCACATAACATATTCAATCAACAATGAGTGTAGTTGAACTATTCCTCCATAGATAGACGCTCACAACAATCCTTGTGAGCAAACGTGGAATGACTGATGCTTCACCCTAAAAACTACCTAGTCTGCAAGATGACATTTTATAGGTTTTTTTTTTGACGTTTGATGGGTTTTACAATATTAAGTATACTGTACTTCTCAAGCGGAAGACGGGGGAACACCAGCACCTCTTGCCACCCTCGTAATGGGCGCCCATGGGCAGCAGACTAGCAGCAAGTTCCTTTTTATTGATATATCTAGAGATATATCTATGAGAACTAGTCAGTAAAACACTGCTTTACTTATGGAAATCGACACAATCTAGCACTTTTTTGAGCACCACCCACTTTAGAATTTGTATGAATTTTATCACGTTCGTTATTTCACCTATATGACATATAAATATTTAGGCTTTGGATTCTTCACCCTTATAAACATATTTTTGTAGGATGCTAATGAAGATGCAGGGAGAATGGGTAGTGTAATGGTAATAACAGGAATGGTAGGGATGATAATGTTTGGAGTTCTGTTAGACAAAACTCACTGGTACAAGTAAGTTACACATAGCACTCTTGAATAACAGCCATACAACAACCTCTTACTTTTTAGAGAAGTGACACTCTTTGTTTACTTATTCTCGACGATAAGTGTGGTGTGTTTGATGTATGCCCTACATTGGAGGTCCAAAATATTGACGTATATCTCTTGTGCAATTGTGGGGTAAGATACTTTCATATTACTATCATTTCTCAACAACAACTTAAAGGACCGGAACATTATTGCATCAAAAATTAATAGTGATTTTTTCAAAATAAAAAGTGATGCAGAACCCACAAACGAGCATTACATACTGCCATACTAGGCACATTTTCAGCCTTCGTTATTAATTTTTTTAAGCAGAGAAAGTTGAATTTACATTAACATACCAACCAAATTACCAAATGTACAACTTAATAAGTCGATATTTGCAACAGTAATTACTAACTTGCTTTTAAGGTTAAATAACGCTAACGTAACATCTGATACTTATCATGTGGTTTACATGTCGATAATCACCTATTCTTTGATTTACCAGGTATCAATAAGCAAATATGACCTAAAATTGCAGCTACTCCCGTTGTAAGCACGGCAGTATAAGGAGCCTACATGTTTCTCTCTTCAACTGAATAATGCGATAGTTGTGCAATAAATACCAAAATTAGATTCTTTCACATCTAAGATTGTCTAATGTAGTTCAAAAAGCCCTCGATTTTTGTTCAACTATAGTGGTTTCATCTCAGCATTAAAACAGCATCGGTAGACTTAGTTCATAACACGCAGTGTATAAAATTGCTTGATCATGGTAATGGTGGTAGATATTCAGGAACCGGACTTTGTAACTGATATTTCTAAATCACGATCCACGGCTGTTAGAAAATATCGTGAAAACGCGTGACGTGATCACGACTTCGGGAACTAGGTGTTTCACGGCAACAGCGACTACTATCATGAGATCACGACGCTAATGTTGTGGGATACGGGATGGCCACGAAATTCGAGAATCGTATATCACAGTATAGGCCGTATAGGCTTTCTGTTTGACTCGATGCGAGTGCAACGCGGTATTTCGAAAGTTGTGATCACATCACGGCCTTAAATCACTGGTATCAAAAAGTAACTATATAAGATATCACAGATATTCAAAAATAACGATATAGGCCATCTATAGATCAAGGTACGCTTACTGGGATACTGGGCGATATGATTAAAAAAGACGCGATTCAACTCGCATCAGTGTTGTTCCTAGCATTCGCCTTTCGTCATGAAAGGTGGTACTCGATGAAGTTGACCGAGATCGATGGGCTCTAGTCACAGTCCGAAACGTCATCAAAACCATAAGTAATTAGTCGTGTCATGGAGTGACCAACGATTTTGGTCAAATTACGAAACACTTCCAGAACATTTCATGCTTTGAACCAAAACCGTGTCTCCACAATTTTGAAAGCCACCCGAAGGTCTGAACGCTTTCCAAACTGTGTATGACAGTTGAGAGTGTAAAACATAACGAGTTTGCGAATTTCAATTCAATTTTATTATCATTAATAATTCCAGCATGTTTACCAACGCCTATATGCCAGTGGGTTTCGAGTTGGCTATAGAGCTCACGTTCCCTTCAGACGAAAGCTTAACTACAAGCATCCTCCTCACGATGACCCAAGTATTTGGAGCTCTATTCACAGTAGGTGTTGGATATTTGAATATATGGACGGGATGCTTCTGGTCTCTGGCGAGCCAAGCGGTGCTACTTTTCATAGGCACGTGCATAACTGCTTTTATCCCTAACAGTCTCAGGAGGCAAGAAGCTTTTAGGAGGGATCCTAATATGAAGAAAAACTCTATGCATGGATCGAGATTAATATTTATTGAGTGAATTGTAAATAAAATATGTGACTTTTATTGCTTTTAGTATCTACTGTTGAGATAAAATTTGACCCAAATTTTTGCGCGCCAGTACACACAACACGTGTAGTAGCAGGGAAATCGGATGGATATAAATTTCATAACATTTTAATGCCGCTCATCTTGAAAATATTTATAGTTCAGCTTTTAATGCAAATATGACAACAGCGAGACGGTGGACTTTCTGCAAATGTATGGTGATTCTGTTAAATTTCACAAGATCACTGTTTTAAGGTTTTAAGCATTTCTGAAAAAATACTTGAAAATATTACGTTTCCACTAAATGCCCATATAAATGTTATAGAAATTAATAAGCTTGGTAACAGAACAGCTGATGTGATTCAAACTTCACAAAAGCTTTTTTGGTACGTGGCCTTGAAGACATTAAAATTTCGGGCATCTTCATATAATATAAGTTGTGACCATTATATTAAGGTCCGACAAAACGAACTCTCGTTTTTTGCTGTTGTTCCCGGGATTTTTTTTCTTCCTTCTGGACTTGTCGGACAAACTATAAATAACCTTATTGATAAAATAATGGATTTGACTTACATTTAAGGCTACAATTCTCGGTCGCGTTCTGTCGCCTGTTTTGCGGAGAGTTACTACTTACTAGTACGTTGAAGATTAATTCATTGCTAAGAATATTGTTTCTTATAATAAATAAACTTAATAGAATACAATGCTTTTTTACTTAAGACAAAGTCATCTGAAAATGTTGGGTTGATAATATTTTTGAATGTTTTACTCCTTGTTCAAAGCTGTTCGATTTTCTATACAAAAATATCGAGGCAAAAAATGTTAATACACACAGTATCACTGGCACTGCTAGGACGAATCTAACAATAGGTACCTCATATGTCAAATTCGTCAAGTCGTTTGGACTGTAGCTCGTAAAATAGAGTTTCTTGTTTAGATGTATAGATACCAACCTGCGTCAAACACAGATTTTTTAAGTTGAGGAACTTATCGTAGCAAGCTGAAACTTTCAGGGTTTACTCTACATGGATTGAAATAGTTTTTGCAATAAAATGAATCATGAAATACAACCTCAATGTTTTTACCACCCTCCAAAGTTGAGGGATGGAAGAGATTTTTCACAAAAAAATGAATTTAAGATTTCTTGCGTTTATTTCTAATTAGCTCTGTTAAAAAGTGACAACCATTGCTGAAACTAACCATTTAGCTCTTCTCAAAAGAAATCACAGTCCCAAACCCAATGGTTTAGTTGTAATTGCGATTGAAAGTTTTTTGTCGAAATTTCAAAAAATTGCAAATATCTTTTGAACTACAAAATTTCAGACCACACATATAGGTATTGAGGCCTTCTAACTATAAAGTTATTATTTCCTGCTAAACTTTGTAAATCAGCGTTTGTTCTACTCGTTTTAATTTAATAAGCGGAACATTGGTTCTACGTTTTTCTATCAAATTGATTGTCACTATTTACATATGCTGAGCATTGTTTTTTTTAGAAACATCTTAATTCAAACTTTTAATCACAAAAAAATAGAATGTACTTAGACGGAAAACTTATTCTAGATCTCGGATGCGCGCGGTTAGCAAACTGTCAACGGAGAATATCATACTTTTCCACCAAAAGTATACGCGATCCTATTACTATTTTGATATTTCTCTACAATTGGGCGCAATCTGAAAATTTTAGATAAACTAGGACTTATAAACTTCACCTCAGTGGAAAAAAGATTGGATGCAATACATTGTAATAAAAACTTCATTCTAATTTTTTTCGTGTTCGTCAATTCGTAAATGTCGATTATAAACCTTTGATCGTTTAATCAGGAAAAATATGAAAGGTTATAATATTTTGTGTTAATATTGGTTAGAAGTGCATGTGGAAAGCAACACGTTGATTTGGCAAAAACGATCTTTAGGGCCCCGCTGACTGCAGACTTTCTATCGGCCGATAGTTTAGTCGGGTTGGGCTGCTAGTGCGCAAGCCGAGTCAACTAAACAGTTTGGTTTATGACGAGTGCGCAGCCTAGCCAACAGCCGGCTGACGCCGATTATTCCGAACGATACTAGTTTGTATCTGACTGTTGGAATGAGCGATCGCACAATAAAGATAAATACAATATTGCCCAAAAATTGTATTAATCCTCTCATCCAACGGAGAAGAAAAATCAATAATAGATTCCAAGAGTATTTGGTGCATCCCATTCAGTGATATATTAGATGGTGGAAAATTTTACACAATGCTTTCCAAATTACTTGATTACCCGAAAAACCACGACTGTTCGACGCCAAAGCTCGGAGCGAACTGAACAATCGGCCGACTAAACAATCGTCGTGTGTGCGCAAGTGGAAGTTAGCTAACACTGATTACGCAGTCGGCCGATGTTGACGGACTGATTACTTTGAAGGGAATCGGGAAGCCCATCAAACTTTTTATCGGCCGATACTGAATCGCTGTGATGTGCGCATATGCATACGGCTCCATACTGATTGAGAAGCTGGCCAAACTATCGGCCGATAGAAAATCTGCGGGGGCCCTTACACACGCTCCAGAAACATGAAACGTACAATACACAACCGCGTGTACACTGCACTGGGCATAGGCTGCCTACGTACATGTGGATAAATTGTGTAAGCTACAGCGTAGACGCAAGTTGAAATTTCTGTTGAAGACATTATTATAAATTTATTCGGACATAATGTTTATATACCTATTGTTGTTAAGGATGGAAGATTTTCAAAAAATAGTCCTTAGTTGTTAACCTTTTCGTTTTTAGATATGTCACAATTAAAAATATTGCACTTATTCTTTTAGATTGTATCGCTGTACTCTTAACTTATTATTATTAGATATACCAAATATTGTAGCCCTTTATATTATAAGAATAAAACCGCAAAAAATACATTACAAATAAAAGATATTTTTTCATCCCTTTGTATTACTAGTTTTTTAACCATAATAGAATCAATTAACAAATGCGTGCCTCATTTAGTTTTTCCGCCCTGGGCCTCCGATGGGCTTAGTCCGCCACTGGCTCTTGGTATCTCTAGGCTTCCTGATGTTGGTTTAATCATTCAAAGGATTGGTAGCATTGTCTGTCACGTACTGAACGTCAATAATGTCAGACTGACGTATATTGAATTTTGCCCAGAAGTATCTTTGACATTTGGGTTGTGCATTATCTGAATTTTTTATAAGAAAAAGATTCTAATTTCTAGATGAAAGATGACTTACAAGAAAAATATACATAAAACTGATAATTACTGTAAATACCACTCTGGCAAAGATATCAGAGCATAACCAGCTTATAGTTAACTGGACAATAGACGTGCAGTTATGTGCAACTCAGAAATATTAGTTTATCAACAGGATAGTTTTTCTCAAGATGGTGCTCAAAGAAAAAAGAATATATCTCTAAAGCACGCATAACGAAAATGTTAGAGGAACAACAAATGGGTTCTCAGACGTTAGAAATACTCAGGCAGGGTGTTTGGGCCTCCTTCACTGGAGGGTGGTTCTATGATCCACACCAGGATGTTTTTTGCAACACCTTTCACTTGTACACTTGGCTGTTCCTTTTAGGATTTCCATTCGTTATATATGTGGTAAGTAATAAGAACAATACCAGAAATGTTATAAAATTAAAGTGACAATGACCATTGACCTCAATACTTTTATTTGTTTTGGTTTCAGTCATCACCAAACTAGGTATATGGGTGTTCCATAATTGCTAGTTAACCTTTCATTTTTAGTATACTTCTAAGATTCACTATTCATTGTTTGTCTGTCTATCAGGTGTGTAGGTCCATTGCCGATCAGGCAAATGTCACACAATTAGTATTCACTGTGAAGCATCAGTATTTATCATGGATGTTCGCTGACCCTGTAGCCAGGACATCAGTAATTATTGATGTATAAGGTAACATACAAACTGACAGTCAATTCTTTCCAACAATGAATTTCTCCTTGTCCAAAACAGTTTACAGTTCCAGACAGCTCAGCTCATAGCCAACATCATAACAGTGATTAGTTTGGACAGTTTTTTAATAGCCAGAGATTCCTTGTTGGAAATAATCAACTGATGGAATGATTGGTAAATACTGATAGTACAGACCACAGTAAACACATAGTGTGACATTCACTTACTGTCTAAGCAACTGGGTTGCTTCTGTTGTTTGATTCTAGAAACCAATCAATTACAGTATTGTATTATTGTCCCATTACACATGTATTATCTGACTAGGGCAATGATCTTATACTTTTGGGAACTAGATTTAGTTAAGACTAGGTTGCCTAGTTAACTGGCAGGCAATTCAGTTTATTTAGTTGTTGATACATAACTACAAGATCCAGGAAAATACATATAACACCATTACCTAAAATAAAAGGACCCTATATTTTTTCTGGTTTTTACCCCTAATTCAAGATTAAAAATATTGTAGAAAATATTTTTCTTTCAGTATTTTCCTCCTGCCTCTTTCATTTGGTGTTTCTACTGTGCGGCAGTAACAGTGGCACTAGCGTGTATAAAACTAGTTAATTTTGGACTTCATCATATGTATGATACATCAGAATGTTTTCAAGAAGAAGTAGATGGCTGGGACTGCAAAAAAAGGTAATTATAGGATTATCTGTCATATGGTTAGACTGATATCCTAAAAATGATTGTTTGTAAAATAATGAAGGTAAAACAAATAAGGAATAAGCAGGATTGGACAAAAATGTCTTCACATTTTCTTTTAGTTTATTTTGTGTTTACTCATTTTGAGCCCCAAACATAAACATAGTATGTTTCTATATCTAAACATAGTGTGTTACTATGAGTATCCAGGTATGTGTGTGTGTATGTGACTATGGAATTTTAAATATTAGTGAAACTTATTCTAGTTAAGTGATGTTTTATGTAATTGATAGAGCTGCCTTAATGAACGTTTTATAGATATGGTAAGCATAGTTTTTGCTTTTGTTGGAATACATTCTCAAAACCTGTATGGCAACCCATAGCTATTCAACTTTTATGACCCTATGCTAATTATTACACAATTTCGTGAAGTAACCAAAAAGAAATGCATGTAGACAATGCAATTTTTTCAACCACAAATTGCTTATTTGTCCAATCAGTAGCTTACATCATGCAATTGTGGAGTAAACTTATGCAGTCTTATGGTAAGGCTTATGTCATTACTCAAGACATCACTAAAGCCTTCAATCACCTGTGGCATGCTGCCCTCTTGAGCAAACTTCCATCCTATGGAAAAACTTTACAGATGGATGGCTGACTTTACTTCTGGCTGGAAGATATCTGTCGTAATTAACAGGTTCTCCTCTTCATCCCACAATATCAATGCGGGTGTTCCCCAGCAACACTGTTCCTCTTAGATATCACTGACCTCGTTTCCTGCATGGTCAACCCACTCCACAGCTTCGCTGATGACAGCACTCTACATGCAGGAATTCAGAGTAACAAGCCGATCTTGGCTGCTGAGCTGGCAAAGCAGAAGACTAGCGATGACTTCCTCTCTGACGACAGACCTGGAGCTTATCACTGCTAGGGGACCCAACAATCTTGTACAGTTTAATGCGTTCAAAACACAGTACTGTACCTTAACGAACAAAAAGCGTCCTAGCGCTCATCCGGTTTCGATGGATGGCCGAATTCAGCCAGAGTCATTTTTTTAGGCTGGTCGAAGTTCAGATCAGCGAGAACCTTATCTGTCACAAACACATCTCGTCAATACCGGCAGCTGCTGGGAAAAAGCTGGGCTATTTGTTTAGGGCTAAGAAGTGCTTTTCTCCGCATGATCTTCTCACTCTATACCAGGTGCAGATAAGGCCTAGCCTCGAGTATTGCTCACACGTTTGGGGTGCTGCCGCCCCGACTACATTATTTATGCTCGATGCTGTCCAGAGGAGGACTGTTCGACTGATCGATAACTCTTCTCTAACAGACAGTCTCACACCGGCGGACCGTCGGCGATCCAGCTCTCTTCTACCTCTACACCAACAAGCTTTGCTCCTCAGAGCTCTCTTCCATGATACCGCTGCGCGATGTGCCTGCCTGAAAGACCCGCCTGACTTGGCCTTCCATCCTAATCGTGTTGAACTTCGTACATCTAGAACTGGCCGGTACGACCGCTCCTTTGTCCCGAGCGTGTCGAGATTATGGAAAAATTTGCAAGAGGAAGCTTTTCCCAGATCTACTAACCTTAGGCAGTTCAAAAATCGGATTATCAAAATTTCTTTGGGATCATCATAGCAGCCGCGGTGTCCCGGCATTTAGGCATATGCCTGTGCGGCTGCTTCGTTATAAAAAAAAGCATCATCAGTTGTATCTATAGAACCCACCCTTAAACTGAATGCCAAATAAAACCAGAGATGTATGAGCAAAGGTTTTTATTGATATCATTCAGATGACAGTTCATTTGTTTTTACCTGTAATATACTGTGTGTTTCAATAATTGCCTGAATGGCCCTGTATAGTAGCGGCAAGAACAAATGAACTGTCATCTGGAAGACATATAGATAAAATAGAATGTCATTGTCATTTTGTTCTTCAAAAAATGCCTCTGATGAAGCCGAAACATCAGTAAAATTTTACTTCTGCCTCTGTGGTTTCATTTGAGGCGAGTAAAATAGAGATATATAAATAAGACCACCACAATATGAGTTATAAACGTTACATATGTCCTGAAATAACATTGAAGCATTCATTTTGGTGATTTTGCAAGTAGCCTGTTAACAGAGTACTTCACCTTTGATGCTGCCAGAATGTTTGTTATAGAAATATTTAATAGGGTCTCTATTTTATCTTCCACAGGGAGGATGAAGGTATTGAAATGCAAGTTCTTTCGAACAAAACAAGTCTACCATCGTCTTCAGGTTTGAGACCTGCTATGTATTCAGAAGGTAACATACATACTAGTCAAATAACAGATGCAGAGAGTTTAGAGTCGACTGAATTTAGACAGCTAGAGGTTACTGAGGGTGGTAAAATGGCTAGCAGCAGAATAGGTATGAATTATTGTATGTATGCAAGGCATAAGAATGCGGGCGAGAAATAGCGATGCTGTCAGACATTGTGTAAAAAATATAGTCATTGTGCTTTGGAATATACTTATTGAAAATATTACTGAACATGCAAAGTACATATACACTTTTCGCGTTTTCCCACTTACATTCTCTCACTGGGACAAGAATACTTAATTTTTTGAAACATATCTGATCCATGGTGCATCAGTCGGTTCTTAGTTAAAACCAGCAAGGTTGGACAGTTAAATTCAACTGACATTTCCTGTATTATTTTGATCTGATTGCAGTGTTCAATTTGATCAAGTTATCAAATAATTTGTTTGTTATGTTTCAACACTTCCCTTACTCTAATTTGTAGTCATAGCAATAGTACCTTTTTTCGCACTTCTCACAAGTTACCTAATTATCAATCAGTCAATATCACTGCTGTCACATTAATCTGATTTCAGCTATTGTTAAACCTCGAAGTCTACATTCAATTATTAACAGCTGTCTCCTTAGACTGCTCTAGCTTGATGCCTTGATCAAAATTTGTTCTTGTCAAATGTATTACAAGTAGGTCGCAATGTGTCAATTTAATCTCATTTTCACTATTCTGTCGTCTCGATTATGTTGAACAAAATCAACATGGTCTACTTTATTACTACTAAGGTGAAAGTCAATGTCGACATTATTGGAACACATTTAACTTTAAGTACTTCCTTCCATTTTTTTTACATCCGGCACGTGGATCATATTAGAATTAGACCAACTGGCTGTTAAAACGAACTGGGATGCCTTTACAGTGCCGAATTACAGTTGCTATTCACAATCATAGTGGTTAGTTCTAATAATGATTAGCTAAAACAATACAATAAAAAGAAAGTACCCGAAAAAGTTACACACGAAATACATACATACAACTTGTATTAAATTAAAAAAGAAAATTCTCATACCAGAAACGTATTAAAAAAAAGGACTAACTAAAATTTCTCAAAACCTCTAAGAGCACTGTTAAATCTGTCTCTCGCAGAAGGGATATTTCCTTGTAAGCTGAAAGAATCACTTGTTATACCAATCTATAAAAAAGATGATATTACTAACATGGCTAATTATAGGGGCATTTCTTTGTTATCCGTATTCGCAAAATTCTTCGAAAAGGCTTATTATAATAAACTGATAAAATTTGCTGACAAATTCAATATCATCAACAGGTACCAATTTGAATTTCAGAAAAACCTATCTACAAATATGCAGTATTGTCTGTGTGTAACTTTGTCTTAACATGCCTTGAAAAGAAAGATAAAACGTGTTGTCTCTTTATAGATTCAAGACGCGCTTTCGATCCTGTCAACCATGCTCTTTTACCTGAAAAGCTTAATAACTACGGAGTCAGAGGAATCGCTTTAAATTTAATAGAAAGTTATCTATCCGATAGGGAACGAGTTGTCATTAATAATGGTAGATGTAAATTATCTTCTAGCACCAAGGTTCTTTTAACTGGTGTTCCGCAAGGAAGCATACTAGGGTCTCTATTATTCTTGTTCTTCGTCAACGATGCGCCTATTTTGATGAAACAGCATTTTGTTACATTATTTGCTGACGATACCACGGTGGGGGGTAAAACTAAAGATCCAACTCAGCTCATTACTGAGTTATCAGTTGCATCATATCACATGGAGAGGTACTGTGTAAGGAATGGCCTTGTACTTAATGAACAGAAGACGCAACTGATGCAGTTTTGCTTGCGAGGTACAGATTGTGATATTCACCTGAAAATTAACGGAACCAGAGTGAACGAGATTCAAGTCACTAAATTCCTTGGTGTTATGATCGATTCAAGGCTTACTTGGAGGGATCATATTGACTGTTTAGTCCACAAAGTATCAAAGCATTGCTTTGTGTTGTGGAGACTGGGGCAGTTTGTAACTACTGCAGTGCTTAGGATGTACTATTTTGCTCACGTACATTCTGCCATGAATTACTGTATCGTTTGCTGGAGTAGCAGCTCACATACATCAGATTTGCTACTTGTGCAGAAGAGAGTGATTCGTACAATAATTTTTAGTAACAAGCTCACTTACACATAATGCCTATCAGATTGTTCAACAGGTTGCCAATTGTTATCAAAGCTGTCACTAATTTCAATGCTTTCCAACGCCGAGTTAAAAGTCTATTTATGGAAAACCCTTTTTGCAGCATTGAGGAATACATAACATCAGACTTGTGAATTGTATTATTGCAAACAATTAATTTTTAATCTGTTTTTTAATCTGTTCGTCCCTTTATTTTTGTTTTATTTGTTATTTATTCACATCTTTTTAATTTGTTTGTTTATGTTATTATTTTGAGTATATTATGTTTGTATATTTAATTTACTTAGTGTTGTCTCGATCACAACTTTTTGGGCATTTTTTTTTTCTCATTCATCATTGACAATTTGCTGATACTTTTTCAAGTCAAATGGCAATAAAGATATTTCTTTATTTTATTTTCAAAATCTGGTATGCCTAACAGCATTGAGCTAGATCTTGTAAGTCAGTTGCATTTATTAGCTACATCAGGATGTATATTCAAAATCTGGGTTATGGTTGATCTGTATGTTGTTGAGAACATGATGTTATTTTGCTTTTTATGTTTTATGCTGAAGTCAGAAATTTTTAACATCAATTATTTGTATCTAAAGCCTGAAAAGCTAGAATCATAATTGTTTTTTGATAATACTGATATTGAGGAGCTATTTTCGTTGTAATGGAATTATGTTATATGCTTTTAGGCCTAAAAACATGAAGCTTTTCTTACCTATAGTTTTATTAGTCTGTGGTATTGTCACCGATTGCTCTTTGAATCTGATCTGATCATGGTCAATAAGCATGAAACAACGCGTACACGGTTGGTTGGCCGGACGAAAAGTTTATTATTACAACTCATATTTTCAACACACTTGACACTACAAAATAGTGAAAGTTACACCACAATGATACATCGTGACCCAGTAGTTACATTTAAGAAACCAACTCATGATCAACTCTCAATGGTCTGTTGAAACTACTATTTAGGAAATGGTACAAAATTGTTTACTACAACTAATACTCTCAAAATCAGCAGTCACACCCAGTGTTCTCGTTCGAGTCGACTTGTGGTTGTAGTATCAATCTACGTACCACATACGAACGGGAAAACTGTTCATGAGTGGTAATTCTGACATTCATGCAATGACCATAGGTCAGTGATTGCTTCAATGTCCGTATGTGCGTGGACAACATAACTCTAAAATATCACTGATGTTTCATTCATAAACACATTACCCAACTGAGACATGATGAATCAGATAATCCTCTACATTATAAGTTGCAGAAATTACATTTTGGTGTATAGCTTTTTTAGATTTAAAAGCAGAGGTTCACCGAAAGAACTCATCTGGAAGTAGTGAAGATACAGATACCCCACCGATAGAAGAAGCTCACACTCATAGTGAACGTATGACATCTAAGCAGCAAAGAGCAAAACATCAGCGATCCAAAACTGATGGATTTGTGACATTTACTATTAAGGATGAGACGAGTACTAATTCTGCTTTTTGCAAATTGTATCCTAAGGTACTTTTTCAACTCAGTCATGTAACATCTAATGTTTTTTAAAGGATTGTAATAACTGGAATGAAGCAAATACATAGTTTTAGCACTGTGATATTAGGGAACAATAGTATAACGGATCAACAAGAGTTTCTCTTCTATACGCGATTTGTAAACGGGAAATAAATCATTATGAAATCGACAATTATTATAGTATACTGTATTAGAAAGCTAAAGTTATGCCACTACTGGTTTCGGACATTGGGGCGTTGCGGAATTTGAAGGATCAGTTTTTAGATCACTTACCAAACATTTGCTACATGTATTCACAATAGCCGGCAAACGTTTGTATTCTAAAATTTGCACTGCCTATGCTTTATTGAATTATTTCACTTCCACACGGAAAGTGTGACAACATCCAACCACAGTCGCAGTTGATCCATATTTATTCCTTTTAATTTAGGAAGCATATGCCTCTACAAGGCGCCCCACATGGAACTGCAGTGATCGATTGCTCAAAAGGTTAAGGCTTAAGCCATGTACAGATATGTAACAACACAGCAACCACATCGCGCAACAAAATGACGATCCAATTTTGTTGTTTGTCGTTCAGTGAAAGCCAAATTCTAGCCGGAAATGGATATAGCAGTAGCAGCAGCTGCCTATATTTATATTCACTACTAATTATCCAAAAACAAACGACGACGACGTCCGAGACGATGGTAACAAACGCAGTTATATACCAATAGATCACCACACGGTTGCAACAATTTGATAGCGGAATTGAAATTTCAAAAAGTAAGTGGACAGTACAAAAATTTTACCAGGATGTCTCCGACGGATTTTGAATATCTTCTCACGTTGATTGGATCAAAAAGACGAAAATAAGATACAAAATGGAGAGCTGCTATCACAGTGCAAGAAAGACTAGCAGTCACGGTGCGATTTTTAACGACCGGAGATTCAGATAGTAGTTTGCAATACGTTTCGAATTTCAAAGCAATCGATCAGTTACATCATTCCAGAAGTTTGTGAGGCATTAATCGAAGTTTTAAAGGAAAATATACAAGTAAGAAAAATTATTCTTTTACTTCTAAGTACTCGTACATTACAAGATAACACATTGGTGCTTGCCGCACCGGTATGCTTGTCCAAACATGTGCAACTTCGTCGCGAGCCATTCCTTTGATGTTGCGCTGAAAAACCGACAGAGCCTGGATCGGGCCGAACGGCGAGCTGTAACGCTAATGAGGTTCGCAACGGCGTTTTTTACACAGACTACACTAGCGCGACGCGGTTCGTCGCGTGGTTGGTTCGCCGGGTTGTTACATATCTGTACATGGCTTTAAGAAACACTATGCTGTTGCGCTCCAGATATACGTGTGATTCCATACCAGAACACTCATTAGGTCGGCGCACAATACCACTAGCAGCCGTGGCCGTAGTTTTCAGGGCTAATGTACAGAGAAATCGTAGAATTACCAATGTTGTGAGCGTATAAATATATCACCATCAAAAAAATGAGATAAACCCTCGCCAAACCCTTACAACCGCCACCCCAAGTTTTCACCTCTGATTTTTTTTTCCAAAAATGATCAGAATCCTCTGAAATGTAAAAATACTAAGTTTTTACAATATTTACTTTTTTGGTTTTAGCTACAAAACTTTTGCGTCCTTGGCATAGTAACATTGTGAAAAATTTCATCGAAATCCGAGTGCTACTTATCAAGTTATAGGTTATAAGATTAGCGGACAGACAGACTGACCGGCAAAATGAGTGACATGATTTTTCGCAATGTACATATCATATAACATCCAAAAATATATTTTAGATAATTTTCGCGATTATAATACTTCTCCGCCTGTAGGCGTGGGAAGTGAAACGGTCCGAAAGTATCATGATGCACATTCTGAAGTTTGAATTTAAATCTTTCAGAGTGGTAGTGACGAATCCTATTAGGTGAACATAACTCAAAAAAATATGGTATGTGCTATGTCTCTTGTTGCTGTTTTGAGCGTATATTCGGTCGCACGTCGCTGTTTCGCATCGCTGCTTCTTGGCATTATCGCGGCGCGGAACGACAACTTTGATATGAAGTGACATAACCTCATAACTCTGTTACAGTATACCCTACTTCGCAAGTATCAGTCACGCTTTGACGTCTACTGGGATGAACAGCTGACCAGCAAGTGATATTTTTGTGTTAGTCTGCAACGTTGGCAATAATGAATCGGGTATAAATCTAGTAAAACTTATTTTTGGCGTTTTGTTTTTTGTATGCAAATGAACTTTACTAAATGAAAGATCTGTTAGCAAGTACAAAATGAATCTGTAGCGTACAAAAAACCAAAACAATTATGTATCCTGCGCCGATATGGGGAATATTGAAGTAGTATTACTAGATAACCAGCTGTCATTCTACCATGATGGATACTCGTGAAATAGGGTATAAGTACTATAATATATTGGATCCCTTTTAACGGTTTGTTTGTTTAACTTCACTTTAAAGTTTTAGGGCCACATTTATAGTCGACCTTTAGATGACCCTCAAGTGAAGATTTAATATCGCCTTTCGCGGTTCAAATTTCCAAGATTCTTACGATTATAAAAACTTCTAAACTTGTTAAAATCCTCAAAAGTTCTATTTCCAAATTTTGATGATTTTTTACTTTTTCAACAAATCATTATTTCCAAAATTTTCTGACACTAAAATATTTATTGTTTTGTTTGCTTGTTTAAGGGTTGTATCGTCAGACATTCCTACAATTGTAGGACGCCTTTATGATGTCCTTGATTTTCATAGTCTTTTCTCAGCCATCAGAAAGGCTGGGATATTTCTAGATTTCTACTGTTCCGTGTCAGCGACAGCGCTCTCCTTTTGTGAGGCTATGTTTTCTTTTTGAATTGTAGGAAATTTCGAGCTATATAACAAATGACATGAATCAAAAGCATGAACAGTTTAAAGCAAAGAGATATTTGAAACACAACCTCAAAATAGAGCGTTGAAACGGAACAGTGGAAAACTATGAAAATCAAGGAGGCCATAAAAGCGTCCTACAATTATTGTAGGAACGACTGTCGATACGACCTTTAATTCAAGTAATACTTTCTGAAATATTGATTTGCTAGTTATATTACTATTGCAATTTTGTAAATGAAAACCTATATTTCCTTTTGCATAATAATTATGGTAAAGATTAAATTCTCTGTAGCGTTCTAAATGTTGTGCAAAAGATGTTTTTTTATTTTAAATATAAAAATAAAAACCAAATATCATATGAATTTTTTTTTCATTGGCAGTGCACAAGATAGTTGAACAATATAGTAAATGCGCTAGAATAATTGTATTATAATTTTTTTTAATATGTACTAAGACTATGAGAATCCCTGTAAAAGTAATTTGTGTTTTTTGTAGTTTGTGAAATATTGTATTTATAGTGATCGTTAAACTTTAGTTGAATTTCAATATGCAGGGTGTTCCTTAATGAGGTTTTCCAGGTTTTCAAGATTCTTGAAATCTCCCGGGTCGTCGAAATCAGCAAAATTATTAATTTACAAATGGTATTATAAGAATGGATGAGATGTATTGACAATAGGAAACATATATTGACAGTGTTTTTGAACTTCAAAAGGGCGTTTGAAACTACTGATATAGATAAATTAATTACAAAATTGCATCACTATGAATTCTGTATTCAAAATACTGCAAAACTACTAAATTGACGGAAGTCAAGAAACAAAATTGGACCTACATTATCACGCTCAAAAAATATTCCTGTTGGTGTACCACAAGATAGTAAACTACATTTATTTCATAGATTAATGATATTTGTAATATTTTAGATTACTGTAAAATTCAGATATATATATATATATATATATATATATATATATATATATATATATATATATATATATACGTATATATATATATATATATATATATATATAATCTAAAATATTACAAATGTCATTAATCAATGAAATAAGTGTAGTGAACCCCAGTTTACTATCTTGTGGTAGACCAACAGGAATATTTTTTGAGCGTGATAATGTAGGTCCAATTTTATTTTTTTGACTTCCTTCAATTTAGTAGTTTTGCAGAATTTTGAATACAGAATTCATAGTGATGCAATTTTGTAATTAATTTATCTATATCCGTAGTTTCAAACGCCCTTTTGAAGTCCAAAAACACTGTCCCTATGTCACTATATGTTCCTATTGTCAATATATCTCATCCAGTCCTCTAATACCATTTGTAAATTAATAATTTTGTTGATTTCGACAACCCGTGAGATTTCGGGAATCTTGAAAACCTGGAAAACCTCTGATGATAAAACTGCCACAGCCCATTGTGGATTCACTCAAGCGTACTTATTCTTCATTTAAAGTCCAAGGTTTGATCAACCCTCAGACGGCACTCGGCCCTCAAAGAACGTCTATAAATGTGGTCCTTAATCCTATAAAACAACATTTGCTTATAGATGGAGGGATTCTAAAGCGTGAATGCCATATTTAATAATACTCTGTTTAAATAGGGAAGCATCGATTCTCAAGAGAGCGGCCTTCTCCATCAAAGACCTTCTCTGCAAAGCATGGGTTCCGAGCAAAGCACCTCGCAATACATGGAGGGCGGCAGGAGGCATTCAAACTTCACCAACAGCAGCCTCAGCTACTTGCCGTCTACCGTTCAAACGGAAATTAAACCGACGGGGTCGTTGGAACTGGGCATTATCGACAAGAACCCCAATCAGGCCCTCACCTCTGAAGGCTTCTACTTCAAGTCGGACGGTCGCAGTGCAGGCGTACGTCGCATACGCTCCTCAGTGTTGGAGACTTGTTGTCCGGCTCCTTCGATGGCTATACATCCGAACAGGTTAGTGGCATGATGCATCTTACACAAATAATATAGAAAGTGCAGTAATCTCTTTAAACCGCGAAAACACCACACGTTATAATATTTTCTACGAGTGGGGTCGTTCAAGTATTACGAGGTCAGTAAATTAAGTAATGAGACTGATTTTTTAATTTTATTCATTCAAATATAATTACAAATTTATATTGCCACCCTCAAAATAACTTCATGCTAAAGTCACATAGCGCTGGAGACGATTCTTCCACTCCTGATAGCAATGCTGGAATTCCTATATTAGAATAGCCTTCAGCTAGTCGGTTACAGCCGTTTGAATGTTTTCGACGGTCTCTTGAGGTGATTTTTCATCTTCGGGAAGAAAAGTCTCGAGGACTCAAGTCAGGCGATAAGGAAGCTGAGAAGCTACTGGAATGTTTCTACTGGCCAAAAACTCGTTTTTTCAAATTTAACTCTTTCCCAATCATTCTGACTGTCAACCGACAATCTGAACGCACAAGATCCCGGATTCTGTCGACACTTTTACCGGTTCTTGAAGATGAGGGCCTGCCGCTTCGTGGTTTATCTTTAGTCGACTCTCTCCCTTCTGAAAATGCCTTAAACCACCGAAATACCTGGGCTCTTAACAAAACACTATCGCCATAGGCCTGCTGAAGTTTAGAAAGAGTTTTCGTTGCACTGTGCTCAAGTCTAAAGCAAAACCTGGTAGCACACCTTTGCTCGAAATTGATGTCACTCATTTTTGGAACACACTCAACACACAAAAAAGTCGCTATGGACAACCAAATTACTGGAGCGAGCGCAAACTTGTACTGAAAGTGGATCACATGTTCCTCTATCTCCCCGGCTCCTCCAGTGTTGCCAGATCAAACGCTACGTTTTCAGTCTCAATACTCAACTTACAGACTTCGTACGTAAGCAGATTCTTTACAATTATTAACCCCCTCCCCCTTGTCAGTCCATGGGACTAACTATAGCTCTGCGCTTTATTGAGAGGATTTTAAAAAAATATTATGACAACTAAATTGAAGTTGACCTGTTTCGTCACAGCTCTAAAATCGTTAAAGAAAGAATAAGGTATTCATAAACACTTGACGCTGTCTTTAGGTGTATTGTACTCTTTTTTCATTAACATTAATTTTACATTTAGCAGTCAGTAGGGATTTCGCATTTTTCAGTGCGCGCATATCAGCATGGCTATTGTGATATCCAACGAAGATCGAGAGGTCTTGATAATCGAAATTCAGTCAAGACCTGGAATGATGATCCAAACCACACGACTAGACTAAAACTCTCCATATTTCGGACGTAATTCCTCGGTGGGTGAATGCTAAACTCCCTACTTCTTGTTCGCCTTCTGCTATGAAAATCTTCATTATCAACATCATTTAAAACTAATAGCGCACGACGTGTTCTAAACGACATCCTGAAGGATAGTTTTCCGATTTACTGTCTATTCAGTTTGCAGCCCGCAGCCGACAGCCGACACCGCGAAAAGTATAAATGGATAGTCAGCCACCACCTACAACCTGTCGTTTAAAAATACCCCACCGGTCGCTGCCACCTCGTAGTATAAGCCCGGCCTAAGTGATACATTCTACTTACTTACACTTATGTATTATTGAGTCAGTATTATATACAATTCATTTTCGATGTGCAGTCAGTCAAAAAAACTTCAGAAGGCTAGTGCGTGGATGCAGCGCACTGATTGGCCGTTTAGCATGGATGGCCGTAATAACACGCCCTTGGTAATAAAAAGGACGGATCTGGATCACCAACTAGAAACATATATGGTCCTTCGAGAGAAACATCATGTGTAACCTTTGATTAACGAGTAAACGTATTAACCAAGTTGTCGTATATATTAACCAGTGATATGACATATATTTCCGTAAACACCAACGAATTCGAATAGATTAGAAGGAGTCATTCCTCTTTGTTTAGATTACATTGTTTGTCGCCAAAATTGCGTAATGTTAATGTTGTATGTTATATCAACATTATATTTACAGGTGGAAAGATCTACCTTCATTAGGTTAGTGCCTCTCTTTGCAAATTATGCAAGAAGTACATGTCCTGAAATCGTTTGACACCACAATTGTCTGCAAACACTCGCCCTTTAGAGAATAACACTAAAATTACGAATTTAATATCAGAACTGTAAAAAAATAACGTATGTTAAGTCCACTTGTAGTATGCACACTGCAGACTGACATTTTGAAGATAAACATATCATAGGCTTGCTCCTTTTACCTAGTCTAAATTCGTCGGTAAACATCGGTACTACAAATGAATTTGGTATAATCAAGCAGACGGGTAAAACACTCGATTTTTCCAATTATTACATTTCTCGTTTTTGCTGTCCCATCACTCATTATTTATGTAGTCCACCAACAAATAGACTTTTGAGAGAAATAACCTGATTTTATTCCATTGTATTAGCACTGAAATGGTCGGCAGTAAGGGTGCCCGCAACCCATTACCTCCGCCAAGTACCAGCCTGACTCGGAACCAACATCTCAATTTATGCCCCTACTATGGTTCGGAGATCGTGTACCCCATTGCCGAGCAGTCCGATGAACATCAGACCTCGCACGGTCCTGACACTGACATGGAGTCTTTGACTCACGTCTCTGATTCGGATTTTGAAGAGAACAATCAAGGTAGGAGTTTGAAAATACGTATAGACAAATTGTAAGGATGCTTTCTTTGATTGCATTACGTATGGATGAGTGCATCAGGTAACTTGAAGCAGCCCGTGCTGCCCAGATGGAGTCTGCTAGTTCTGATAGAGCTATTCCGTGACTACTTAAAACCGCTGCAATGATGGGTCGTTTCAGGTTACCCTGTTGTACTGATGTTAAACCCATCAGCTCTTCAAATATTGAGGTTTGAGCTTCTATTTATACTCACCAGTTGAGTTTTGAATCATACTTATGTATTGAGTGTCCCTTAAATATTACACGAACGACGCAGTCTAGAGGAGTCATACATCTAGAATTGGTACTTTTATCTGACACCTGACAGTTGTCATCTAAATTGCAAGGATTCTTCGGCTGCACTTTTGCAACGCCTGAATGCTACCAATCGCCGCATTTTACTTTTGAGTTTCTGGTTAAACCTTCCTAAAGGGGAAGTACTTAAGTTATGACAATTGCCCTAAAACTCTGAAAATTCCATCAATTTATTTGCTCCGAAAGTTGATGTCATCTTTTTAATCAACACCCCTAAGACGAATGTCACGTTCAATATTCACAGTGATAGTCAGTATTTATCAGGAAGCGTGGTTTTTAATGAACAAGTGGCATGGTGTATTGATGGACGTCAGTATTTATTATTGATGTATAAGGTTTCGTAAAAATTCATTTCCATTGAATCCAATCCATATACCATATTCAAGAAGAAATGGAGAATGGGTATTAAAAATCTGCAATGTATTGGACACAAAACTCTCCGTCTTTGTATAACGATGCACAGTTTATGATTAGAGATATGCTTTTAAAAGTCACAATGCTGTTTTTTCGGTGCTGTTTTTTGAGTTATCATATCTAGAGCACATTCCCTTTGTAAAAATTTTGCCTATGTATCAGCCACATTAGAAATCTTGCAGACGATATGTGATTTAAGCAACTTTCATTACATGTTATTGGATACCTTCAGTTAGATGTTAATCGCTGTCAAAATCACACGCTCATTTTAATAGTAATAATAATAATAAATAAAAAGCCTTAAACAAGAACAATAGTTTACCCTGAAGGGCGGGACTACATTGATTTAACCGCCTCAAAGATTGCTAACTTCGGAACAAACTAACATCTATAAAATAAATATAGAAACTTGTTATTTGCTTGTACCTTTTTGTCTATTTTCGAACTTACAGACCAATATTTTCATCTGAATCATACACAGTAAATAATAATAATTAACAAATTAGTTGAATTTAAAGAACAGTACACAGAAAAATAAACAAAACTAAACAAATCGAACGAAACTATAAACAAAAAATTCGAACTGTGTGATAGAAATAACAAGACGATATAAGGAATCAAATTAAAGTTGTATGCTTTGATCAGTCAATAGACCGTTTTTTTTTAATTATTATTAAAGCTAGACAGAGGTCACTTGAATCAACCTGTCTTTGAGGTAGGAGGCGTTCGATGTCAACATCATTGTATGTACTATATCCATGAGACTGTACTTATAATGGCTCTCAACTTTCAACCAAGCAATAGCTTTATAAACATCTGGTCCATTGTCATACTTCCTCGAGTTCCATCAGTTTAAGGCAGAGCCACCACTTAATTAGCACTAATTAAGGAGTATAAATACAAACTTTATGGACGCTAAAATGTGGAAAACTGTATTTCCAGCAGCAGCTGCAGTAGTTTTAATTCTAAAGCTGGTCGAGATATTCAATATTGGTTCTTATTTCAGGAAGTCACTCTCCTCTACTGTACATAAAGCTGAAAAAATTGAAAAACGTGCCTTACAACGAAAAGCATCAATCAAAACCGTCGCCAAAGCTAGCGGATGAAGAGAGAACCAGCGCTACATCCAAAGATGCCTTGTTAGATAATGATAATTCAAATTCTAGCATCACTGCCGATATGCAGGTGAGTATGAAAATATAAATGAGAAATCAAAATAGCTACAACATATTAAAGATGTAAAGTTTATAAAACAGAATTTCGATACTGAACTCAAATGAGCAGCTTTTTGATCTTTTATTTGATAACCACATTAATATGGAGAACAAACACTATCTTGAAACTGAAATTAACGAACGTAAATAAAATCTGCGTCAGAACCATGTGTTTATTTGGGTGTTGTGAAACCTGGGCCAATTGGTGTTCACAGCACTGAGAAGTTACAGTAGTTGCTGTCGTTAGCACTGCTTCAATTTAACTACAAATATTGTTTTAAAATCTTGAATCATTGAATCTCATTCAGGATGCACATGGAGACTGCTACAATACTGACAACGACGTCAGTGACAAGAAGCTGAGCGAGTGTTCAAATCTTTCGTGCAGCAATACTAGCGTGGAATGTGAGGAGAGGGCAATCGAAAAACGGACAAAAACTAGGCCTAAGCACAGTGAAAAGCTGACCAGAATCAAACACAGCGATGAACCCGACTATAAACTGTGTGAGAGCGTCCAACCTGAAAAACCTGAAAGCAACGAATGCACGATAGTTAGAAAAAGAAACATTCGGAGGAATAGGAGAAGAAGAGGTAATGCGAGAAAGGCGGGGGACGGAGGGAATTTTTCTAGTCTAGCTGAATTAGATTTGGATTGGTTATTCGAAGAGAATCATGGATTGCAGCATAGAAAAGGTAATGAGCAAAACATGTTTTTAGAAACTGGAATCTTGCTAAGGAGACAGGATTTTTTGAAATTTAGACCCACAACCGGATCAAAATTTGTTTGCCCAAATTTGTGAAAAGATCGTGATATGAGAACATTGGCAGCCGATACTAGCATTGTAGTCATTTAACTAAATTAACTGACCAAAAATATTCCACGGCCCTGAATTTCAACTTACAGCGTTTTGTTTTTTGACCTTTACATGGCATTTAATGAAAGAAATCATATCATTTTTTCAAAGCAGTATTTTTACATTCAGGTTGACAGAACCAAAGTCATGAATCGCCATGTGCGAATGATGAGATACTAGGCAAGTATCATGTTCATTTTTTTGGAAAAAGCAAGACAAAAGTCATAAGGATTTTTCAGTGTTGTTTTGAATTCTCCTTCTTACTCCATAAAGGAGTATCCACATTCGCGCGTTTTACCTTCCGTCATCAGCTTTACCTGCGTATTTCCTTTCAACATGCTTAGCGCATGCGTTTTAAAGTGTTGAGGTTATTCAGAAAAAATCACTATCGAATGCTAGCAATTTGAAATGGGAAGTGGTATGTCCAGTCCTGTCATATGTTAGTTCAATAATGCCATAAATGTCAAGTGAACTGACAATAGAACATTCTGAACCAATCCTGAACCCCTTCTGCGGTTATATGCTTCAAATAAAAAATGTGAAGTTGCTTGACTGATTTTTACTATTATTCCATAGTCGCCGCCCATTTGATAATGTTGCGATCAAAAAATTTCTTTCGTGCTCTACCTCTCTAACCATCTGGCAACGACAGGCGTAACGGTGAGCGTGGGCGATCAAGCGGCAGACGCAGACAGGTCTTTGTGCACCCCCTTTCGTAGCGTATGGCTATCGCGACCGAGACGCGACGCGTCTATTTGAGAATATTCTTTAATGTTTTAAAGGCGAATGTACTGAGAAATTTATGATGTATGATATATGTTGTAATAAGTGCGTAGAATCACTGACGTTAGAAGCGTGTGAAACCACAACAAAATTGAGATATACTCTCCCCCACCCCCTAACCTCTACAAAAATTTTATAATTTCATTTTTTTCTTTCTCTCTGCCGCCGGTGGACCGGTTTTCTGAAGCTACAAAGCTTTTTCATCTTTGGCATAGTAGTTACATTATCTGAAAATTTCATCACAATCCGAGCGGCAATTTCCAAGTCATAGAGGGAATAGGGATTAGCAGACTTTCTCGCCAAGTTGTGTGGCAAGTAAAATTGGTTAAACGGCAGTTGAGTAATCTACAAACTATTTGCAACAGAGCCTCTGAAGCGTGAAACTGAATGGTCGAGTGCGACAACAGTATCCCTGGAGCACGACGTGAGCAAAGTTCTACAGGAAACGGTACCCGCCGCCAGGAGTTTGGGCGCCATTCCGAAGAAGAGTCGCGCTTCGACGAGCCATGACGTTCAAGGCAGCAAAAGGCCACCTAGAAGCGAGTCTGAAAAATGCAGCATATGCAGATGCAAGCCGTTGAGGAAAGAAGAACGTAGGCGGGAAAGACATGCTATGAAGGAGAATAAGGTAAGATTAATTTCGCAGTGGTCGATTATGGTAGTAGGTTATACTGGTGACGTCGTATTTCTATCGAATTCACGCTTCTGATAGAGGTTATTTTGCTCGACTGTTGAAGCAAATCATCCTTAGCGAGGCGCGCAATTTGTCGGATATTTATTATTCACGTATCTAACGCTATTATTGATTTATGACCAGGTAACACAAACTCTAAGGCAGACTGATAGTCCTAGTCCAATAGAAGGCTTGGAGTGCATAGTATACGCAACGCCAAAAATAGTAAAATCCAGCTCGTCCAAGAGGGGTAAGTTCAACGAGAAATGAAATACAACATAACTTTTGATTCACTTTTTCGCATATCGTACATAATTCATATGAATACTCAATAGGTTCAACAAGTAAAGAGAGCAAACATGAACAAGCAAGAAATGAAGAAGCCTCATCCAGTGGTTCAAATAATGAACTCAGCAGTCTCCTTCCAGCAGCTCCTTTACTTTCAGCTTTTTTAAACAGCAGAAGGGAGATTCCATTGTCCATATCGGGTCCCGTGGCTGAGATTGTTCTTCCAGATCGACCTGTCAATAGGTAAATTACCGTGCACTATCAGCTTGAGTTTGAGATTTGAAAATGGAATAATTGGTAACCTTTCGAGCTCGCCATTCCTTCCTTTTATCACTTTTTCTTGTATCGAAATAGTATAGTATACTAAGTGACATATAAATCCGAACACCCAGTTTAAATGGTTTTATTTTAATAAAAGTTGGTGAATGTATGTAATGTATTTATCTTACTGTAAATAACAAGTGAAAAAGTTTTCAGCCTTATCAGTTGGACATTCCGGTTTTTATACTGCTTTTTTTTAATTCACTAACGCTCTAAAAATTAATATTTCAGCCGCAGTAAAGAATCAACGTTGGCGGATTTTGGTTCTTGACATCCTTTACGATCGGTTACGATGCCTAGGGTACGGAGACCTGTACGATTTCGTCAACATAGTGAGTTTGATAGGGGCCGTATAGTGGGACTTCGGGAAGCTGGACTTTCTTTTCGGGCAATTGCAGTTAGATTGCAAAGAAGTGTAGACACTGTGATTAGGTGTTGTCAGGCATTGCTTCGAGAAGGCCGTACGCAAAGAGCAAGGGGCACTGGACGCCGCCGTAGAACAACAGACCGTGAAGATCGCCGCCTAAGATTATTGGCCTTAAGGGACCGTTTCTCCACTACCAGGTCCATTGCAAATGAATGGTTTGCAGAACACGGAAGACCTATTGGCATGCGAAGTGTTTACCGACGAATGAGAAGTTTTGGCTTGTTTTCATACCGGCCACAATGGGTCCTCCCTTTAACTCGAGAACACCGACGTAATCGCCTAGAGTGGTGCAGATAACGGTCACTCTGGGATCAGGAATGGAACAGTATTGTCTTTAGTGACGAGTCTCGATTTTGTTTAGGCATGCACGATGGTCGTGCCAGAGTTAGAAGGCGACGTGGTGAAAGGAGGAATCCACAGTTTTTTGTTGAAAGACATGTTCATCACACTGTTGGAGTTATGGTTTGGGGTGCTATAGCTTATGGTTCCAGGTCACCTTTAATCTTCATCAGAGGTAACATGAACGCACAGCGTTATATCCACGAAGTTCTAGAACCCCATCTTTTACCCTATCTTGACACCCTGGCAGATCCAACTTTTCAACAAGATAATGCCCGACCACATGTTGCAAGAGTCACAATAGACTTCTTTCAACATCATGATGTCACATTGTTACCATGGCCACCAAGATCTCCCGACTTATCCCCAATTGAGCACGTGTGGGATATGATGGGTAGGAGATTGCTCAATTTGCAACATCCTCCTCAGACTCTAGAAGCACTTGGAGAGGAGTTGGTGGTTGCCTGGAATGAGATACCACAGGAGGACATTGACCACCTGATCAGAAGCATGCCTAGGCGCGTTGGAGAATGCGTAGCACATCAGGGCGCAGTCAGTGCAATCATTTTGAAATTTTTATCATTTACTTATTATGCTTCATTAAGTACTTATACAAAATTTTATTAAAATAAAACCATTTAAACTGGGTGTTCGGATTTATATGTCACTTAGTATATTTTATCTTTAAAATGTCTGTTACACAAAATCCTTTTTCTTCATGTGATACATTGACCTCATTTGCTTTTCCACCAGCTTCAGTCCCATCTTCAGTCTCCATATGGTTCAACTCGATATTTTTTCAAGAAAGAACTTGACCCAGAAAACCTGACAATTTATGTCACTTTATTGAATTCAGTGGATATAGTAGAACTCCTGAACAAATAAATTTCTTCAACCATTGTATACTTATTTCAACTCTGGGCTTTTCTTGCATTGGTCTTTTTCCGTTTAACATTCACGCGTATATTCATTTTAAAGGAGCAAAATTCGTACGGTTACAAGACATATTATGACGTCAGTCACAAAAAGTCGGCTATGGGTTATGAGTTGCGATATACGTGGATGGTAACTTGGTTGAGGGAATCAGGGGAAATGAGATCAGGTATTTTAGCTCAAGAATTATCAGCTTGTAAGCGCTTCTTGTTAACGCTTAAGGTTTGACGCCTCCATGAAAATTCCACTTAAATGAGGAATGGAAAATCTTTGAATCTCTGTCCAGCAAATCAATATTTAGAACACCTCTCTCGAATATCGTTACTAAGCATGCCTATTTTCAGGGTGAGACTGAAACGAATAAACCGACTGAATCGTCGTTTAACTAGTCAAATATCAAAGAAAGACTGTGCAATCGCCAGTTCCCTCTCTGCTGGTTACGGGACCCATAGTGCGAAGAACTTCAATGATACCAGCGATGGAGCCGTACATTGCTTTTTAGATGAACATAACAACTGGATTACGTATACTTTCGATGAAAAACGTGGTGGTAGGTGTTTTTCAACCTATGATTTCTTGTACTTATGGTATTGCAGGGATATTGAAGGCACCATTCTCATATCTGCAGATAGTTAGAAAAATCATTTCCCTACCTGCCAACTCCTTTGGGTCAAATAACGGTGATATAAAGTTCTCGTTCTTCAAAGTTTAACTTGAAACCACTTGCCCTCCTTCCAATATATGAATGTTATTTTGTAGTTATAAGTAGACCTCGCAGACCTCGGGTTAAGTTTTATCTGGTAATTCTTCTAGGAACAGCTAATAGTTTCCATGAAGATAGAGAAAGTGGCGACAAAGTTACTTTACGGCGAAGACAAAGCGATACAGCTGCAACAAGTAAGAGTAACAAATGCGCAGTAGATCCTTGGGATAGCAACAGTACTGATTCTGTTTGCAACAGTTCTGTTTCAACTATATTGGATGTGGCTGTGCGGAAGTCCACTGTAACGTCGAATGCGAGTAGTCTGAACGCACCAATCGAACAAGGTAATATGTGATCTCATTTTGGAATTTTTACTAGTACCTATCAACCTTATCTCTAGCTTCGCACATCCATATGAGTTCTTTCACAAATTTTTTGATTAGCTTATTCATACAGAAAGTACGGTGATAACGATTTGACAATCCAACAACAGTATTTTGATCTGGACACGCCATAGCTTTACCATTGTTTTCTTAGCAAGGTTATATACGAGATGTTTATTGGACCTCCATTGTCTATAAGGTTTTTTAACCACGACGTTTCGACTGATGTGATCTCCAATCGTCGTCAGGTGAACTGGCGATCATGCTCCTTCACTATTTATACCGTTTGCTGTCGTGGCCGGTGGTTGGTTGTGTCCTATCCCTTATTCCGGTACATTTCTGGTCCACTCATCCAGCAACCACTAAGAAAGGAGTTATAAAAGCTATCTATTATCGACCGAGCAAAGAGCATCTACAACACGCAAACAAATCTCGAGAAAGAAATCAACCGCATCAAAGAAGATCTAATAAGAAATATCTACCCAAGACAACTGATTAATGAAGTTCTGAAAGAAAACAACAACCACAGTAGAAACACGCGGAATGAACCCCAGCATAAACTAACTCTACCATATGTTGAGGAAATAAGTGATAAAATCGGAAGACTAAGAAGACGATACCAAATCGAAACTAAATTTTCAAGCAACACCATACTTCGCAGTATCCTCACAAAGGCAAAACCTATGAACAAAAACCAGCATACCAAGGATTGTGTATACCAGGTGCCATGTGAAAGCGGAGCGATGTACATAAGAGAACCAAAAAGTTACTCTCAGTAATAATAAAAGAGCGTAAATCCAACACGGATCGAATAAATCTGGGCTAGCAGATCACGCTTCGATAAAGCACCACATAATATTTTGGGATCATCCTGAGATCTTATTCAAAGAAACATATTGGCATCGGAGAAAATTCAAGGGAGCGGCCTTCATAATAATGAATGAAAATGTTACAGTAATCCGAGTGTGGAAATTAAACTCAGCCAACCGGAACGACGGACTCGCCACAACCAACCACCGGCTACGCCATCACCCGGTATAAATAGTCAAGAAAGGATCATAGTCGCCAGTTCACGTAATGACGATTGAATATCGCATCAATCGAAACGTCGTAAATTAAATAAAAAACTTGTAGATGCAATGGAAGTCCAAGAATCCACATAGTCATCAAATTTCAAACAACAGTAAATGATATATTCACCTGCGATGACGTATGATTGGCCACTAGTATATTTCATTTTTATACATAATGATTTTTATTTTGTAGCTAGCAGATTGCACCGTTCCATGGGAGAATCAAGTAGACGACAAACAGATCATATAGAAAACATCATCGTAGATATGAACATATCTCGAATAGATACTGAAGGAGAGGAAAAATGTCTGCACAACCGTTTCAAGATCATCCAACCCGCCGATGCAATCAATAACAACTTCCCGCGTATCAACAACTACTACAAGTTGAAAATATCACCCTGGTCATACGTCAAGGTTAGTTGGTTCATATGTTCCAAACCATTTACTATAGTCCAGTTAAATAGCCGAAACTGAGACAAAAGTGATAACATAGCCACAAAGTTATTGCCGCTGGCGTAATGGTGTAATAAAGGATTGCGAATATTGTTGTGTGAATTTGGTTTTCCGGAAACCAGCCGTTTTTTGTAAAACAGCGAAAAACCCGAAAAACCTCTTTTTCGCTGAAACGGCTGAGGATATCTGGGATTTTTTTACACGAAAATTTTTCTAATTTTTGGGCCATCAATAAAGGTCTCTACAAATTTTTCGCTAAATTGCTTAGTTTTCGCGCTACAGCTTGCTGATGGCTTGCTGGCGAGGGGGTTTGCGGGGAAAGGGACGCGCGTACACCTGTCGCCAGACGCCGCACCATTGAAGCGGAACGATCCTCTTTTATTTCGACGTCCTCAGTGTCTCTCTCTCAGTAATAGGCCAGTCGATTTCGAATAATAAGCTCGTTTGTAGTTGTGGCGATGACCGACTTATGCATATTAATGAATTTTTGAAATTTCTGCGTTTAGAGTACAAGATGCAGTAATTTTTCTTCAGCCGCTTACCGATTGACTGGATAAGTGAGGTATAATATTTTCATTTAGAATTGGAACAACAATAAAAAACCTACAGCTACAAAAAAGGTGTGAACGTGTATATAAATGAGTGTCAATGATAAGAATACATTACAGGATGTAGAAGCCCAATGAGTCATCACAAGACTCGCTTTCGAGGCTCCACGTTATTTTCATAGTTATCCTCGCAAATCTGTTTGATCACCGGTAGTTGTTAATCTACGATCATGATAAGAGATTTAGCAGTTTTTGAGCCGCGTCTATACGTTGGTCTGACCTACGCCAACGCAAATATGTAAAGAATAGACAATGGCCGATGGTGATGAGTATTTGACGATATCTTCTCTGCACACTCGCTGTGGAAAAACATTACTCCATTGTATTTTAGTCGAGATAAGAAATTATGTACAAACCATTAATTGGAAGTTGCATCAATTTTTTATATTTTCTATTTTGATAGAGTATAACAAATTATTTTTGTGTTCAAATATGTTTGTTTTACATTTGTTACTTTACATTTCACACATATAGTTGTACAAAAACCCTCACTTGAGCCAATGAAACCTACAATAGCATGTAAGAGGAATTGAAAGTATATACAGTTCAATGTTATATCCACCCCAATCTGTTACAAGTAGGATAAATCATTGAAGGTCAAAGTCATTAAAGTCCTTCGTTAATTTCCTCGTCATCGGTCGTTGCATCGTGGCTGCTTGATCAGGTTTCATCATCTTCTGTTAAGTCATCATTATCGGGTTCTACGGTAGTTTGTCCACAGTCCTTCTCACATGCATCTGTAGTAGTCGGAGTTTCGCTATCATGGTGTTCTGTAGCAGTCCATCTCTTTGAGTTGTTGCACGATTTTCCGCGGCATACTTTGCAAGCAGGGGTGCACTTTAGACCGGCTTTTCGGCAATTACATCGCTTCGATTTGCAGGGCCCTTGGCATCCACAGGAAACCTGAAAAAAGGTTATCATAAGAATTATTATAATCTAAATATCAGTTGTCTTGTAAGGGAAATCAATGACAGGCCTTTTATAGTGCTCCATAGATCAGTCTAAAAATTTGTTATTTTGACTTGAAACTGGATCTCACATTGTTCAAAAATTATTTTAATTCCGGTCAGACAGAACATGAGATCAAAAGTGTAGTAAAAATTAGTTGTAGGAAGTTGTATTTATTGCTTCAAATTGAATACATTTCACACATACCTCTTGTAACAGTTCTTTTGGTGCGGGATCTGCTTCAGACATGATCGGAATGAGAATATTACCCTGTCTTGTCCATCCCCACAAGCAGGGATCTAATCTATGCTGAAGCCACACCTGGATTTGATAGTACACTCGTTTACAGTGCTGAAGCAAGGCAGGAGATGTTGGTGGGAGACATTCTAGGGGCGTTTCCTTTTTTGCCTTCGCTAAGTTTGTAGAAAACAAATTATATCTGAAAGTCCCGAGAGAAGAAGACTGTTCTTTGTCTTTGTATAGTGCGAGAGTAATCGTCTCTGCACATTGCAGCAATTCGTCTTCCAAGCAGTCCGGCTCGTAAAACTTCAGCGCCAGCGCTCTAATGCTGTCGTTCTGCAGCAGCAACTTCACCAGCTTCATCTTCCCTTTCCCAAAAAAGCAGCTAGTAGTGTCGCAGCCCGCAAAGGCATGAGCAAAAAGTAGAAATGGTTGCAAATGTTTGTGATCCCGAGTATCGTACAATTGGTTCGCCTTGCCCCCCTGGCCCATCTTGTAATAGTACATGCTCTCTGAGGTTGGAGTGAGTCCAATAAGTAATATTAAGAGATCAACATCCGAGCCGACGACTATAACTCGTGATTTCCCGTGACGAAACAATTCGTTATGAGTCTTCAGAGCTGTTCTCACAATCTCAACATCCGCATCCTCTTTCGCATGGATCACGGTAAAACTGAATCCCTCATATGTTGCATGAGTTTGACCAAGGTGATAAACAAATTGAGCCTTGTTTTTCACGTTGGACAAAAATGTCCTTTGGTTCAATGGGACGAGATTGTCTGGTTCAATTTCAACGTCCACGCCACAATTTCTTTCTTGTCTACGGTCTCGCTCGTATGATTTGACACCTATATGTTCATCTTCATATCCTTCGAAAACAATAATGACGCTCCGACCAAACCGCTGAACAAGAAATTTCTTGTACATATCAAAGATTGCACGGTATGTCTTACTATGAGGCCAGACGAGGCTGTGAAGCAACCATCCTCCGTCTACAACAAACTGAGAATCTTCAAAAAATGCTCGTAAAGATAGGGTAGTAGTGAACATTTTATATAACTGCGACTTGTCGGTCTTTCGCATTGATCCTTTCTCGTCGAACAAACTAAGTGGAACAGGAGACATTTCGTAGTCGAAGCAAGATTTACTCAACTCTTTCCTTCCACGCATAGCCACAGACAGACGTTGTAATAATAGAGAGGTATCAACAGTGAGTGGAAGACATAGCTTTTTGAGATTGTGTCCGTGCAAAGTCCAAATTCTTGATCTTGTACAATTTTGACAGCGACACCTTTTCATAAGTGCGTCCAACTATATGACGTATTGCTTGTGTGCCACGCTCGAAAGCCATATGACAATTTATTTCCACACCACCAACAACTCCAGTTGACAGCGAAATTAATTCCTCGCGGAATTTGAATGGTTCATGCCCCTTCAACCAAGTAACGAATGAGGCAATGTCCTTTGCGTCCCATGCTTTTCGTCCTTTGCCCAAATCAACATGCTGCTCACTGTTTCTCGTCTCCAGGTTACAATACTCTTCCAATGCTTGCATCACATGCACGGCGCAAGGCATCCCCAGCAAATATAGAGACACGACACTCCGCGTAACACCTCTTCCGTGTTTCAAGTCAGTCCCAAAAAACCTATTCATGTCACTTCAGATTCCGGACCAAGCCTTATCCGACCTGTGGATAGTGAAATAATAACCCTGCGTGGCAAACTGGTGAAACTCTTGAGGATCCATGATGTCCTGTAGAAGTACCATATCCTGCAAATAAATCTGAGCTGCTTTTGCATATTGAAAATGTCCCGCTGCATGAAAGAATGGCAACATTCTTCGAACGCAATCAAGATGAAGGTCCCAGTTTCCAAGACGTTCTGCTTCAATAAAACGCAAGACAATAAGCACGGCTTCAATGTACTGCACCCACAACTTGGCTGTTGGGCCGTTATTTTTCAATTGCTTCAACTTTGTATAAAACAAATCAGACATTTTCTTCAGGTCCTTATCAGAGTCACTGTCCCCTAGCTTGAGAGGATTTTTCTGCCAGACACGCATCAATGATGCGATAACCCCTTTGATCTCGCCTTTTTCTTCGATTGAATCACAAATTACGATTCCTAAAGCTGTAAACGTCAAAATGTGTGCTCGGACTGCTCTTGAATAATTGTGCCCGTCCATCATTTTCTTTATGGATTCACTAGCGTAAGCAAGCTCCCACATAGATTCAACTCCGCTTCCTCCCATGATAATACCTATTGCTCCCAAAAAAGACATTAACATGTGGAATCCGCCTAAGCGAACAAAAACGTCGGGCAACATTAACTTCGCTATAATATCGCGACATTTCATGTACAACGGCAAGTCGTAAGTTAAGAGAGTGGTTTTTTGACCACATTTACGGGTTTCGCTCTTTGCATGCATGATTGATGTATAAATGGTTGTTAGACTAGATGGAACTTCGTTAATGAATTGTTGGCATTGCACCCCCGACCTTTGGAAACTTTCATTTTCCGAACATATCTCCATGAAACTTCGCCATGCTGGTACATTCTCAGGATCAACGTATTTAGCCCACAAATAATTTGAGTAAGTACGGGGGAATAGAGGCATGTCGACCATGGTCAGTAAATTTGTATCGATGAATTCTATAAGTTTCAAGCTCTCTTTTGGCGGCTCGACGTAAGGGAAGATTGGAATTTGTTCTTGCTTTGCAAGGATATTTGCGGAAGGCATCTCAGTAAGTTTTTCGACACTTCCACATTGTGTGATTTCGTGCTCCGGAGTGTAAACCTGTATTCCGCCTAAACAATGGAAAGTCTCCCGTCCGTCCAGGGTCCTGACGTTGTGGTCAGTATTATCAAATACAAATTGTACGAAAGGTTTTTCGATGATCAATCTGGGTGGATTCACTATTGTTGAAGCCTCATACAATTCAATATTGTAGTAAGAAGTGCAAACGCCTAATGCATGCAGAAGATTTATGATGTACTTGGAACCTGTTTTACTCAGAATCAATGTCCCAATCGACAAGTGGAGGGTAGACAAAAACGTACGTGGCTGAATGAATGAAAGTATGCATTGAGATATCATGTCTCGCTTCACAGACTTTGCTTTTTTATCTTCCTCTTCGTCAGCGATAAGGAGAAAGTGCTCAATAAAGAACGAAAAGTGGGGTGGATAATCGGAGGAAAGATCGCTTACAAATTGATTGGACGGTGGGTACTTATCGCTTACAAATTGCTTGCTATGAATCTCTCTGTGCATTATATTTGAGGCCTGAAGCAAAATAACTTGTATCTGCCCTTCTGTGAAAGTTGATGGGTCTGCTGACACATTAAAAACATAACGACTTTTGAAGCATACACGTATATCTTTTCCCCCCATTATACTGCACTCAACTTCCTCACCGTAACGTTTTTTAATGTGATCTGCTATAGAGTCATCATCCACAAGTTCTACTAACTTCGACAAATAATGAATAACATTTTTGTCTTCTTCAAGAACTTGCCACACAGGTTCTAACAATGAATCGATTCTAGACCAGTTTAGATCATCGATATTTTTTTTTAAACCATACGCATTGAAATGAGACATGCATGTCCGGTGGTATGTGCCTTTTACGCGAATTAAGCAAGAAATGTTCTCTAATCTTTCAACAACGCTAATTCCCAAAGAGTCTATTTTTGTGTGACTGTACAGATTTTTGTTTTCGCATCTTTTATTATACTCAAACCACAAATGAAGCAATTATCCGCGTAATGGAAATCAGGAACCTCATCGCTTGCAGCTACGACATTGTTATTTGGTGCATTCAACGCAAAATGCTGAGTATACGTTCCACTGACCGAGTATGAAAGTCTACACTTCTCATGGCAGTCCAGTTTTTTCTTTTTTTCCCAATCCAACCATTTTTTGTCTTCCACGCGTTTGCTCTGTGTGATCAGTGTACTAATTCCCTTCTTCCCCACGATCCTGCAATTGCCGCGCGCCAACGGATAACTGCAAATGGCGCAGTTACTATTTTGCTGCATTTTATTCCTATTGAATAACAGAAACAATTTCAGTGAGAATCGGTATCCAGTAAGTGTAATGCAATTTTCGATCCAGTCAGTCTAATTTGTCTGATTTTTGTTATTAATATCAGAACATAGTGCTAATGGAATTCCAAGACATGCTGAATTTTGTCGTCAACGCGTAGGCGGTGTGGCGGCAGCTTGGTGGTATGCAGGTACGCCGCCTCTGTCCCCGCAAACCCCCTCGCCCACAAGCCATCAGCAAGCTGTAGCGCGAAAACTAAGCAATTTAGCGAAAAATTTGTAGAGACCTTTATTGATGGCCCAAAAATTAGAAAAATTTACGTGTAAAAAAATCCCAGATATCCTCAGCCGTTTCAGCGAAAAAGAGGTTTTTCGGGTTTTTCGCTGATTTACAAAAAACGGCTGGTTTCCGGAAAACCAAATTCATACAACAATATTCGCAATCCTTTATTACACCATTACGCCAGCGGAAATAACTTTGTGGCTATGTTATCACTTTTGTCTCAGTTTCGGCTATTTAACTGGCCTACTAGGATATAACATTATTGCTGTTTTAATTTTATCATCGATTTAAAGGGGGGCATACATGGTTATGTCACTCCAAGTTTCAGCTACTTGTTTCTTTATACCACACACTCTACACTGGGTTAAAGCATTCACAATTTATGTTTATATTTATAATTATATTTGCACCAGTATGATGGAGTGACATGATTTAGGAGAACGATCTAGTTTATCCTTTTTCCATTCACATATTAAAAAAATGAAGCAGATCATTACGCCGCGCGCTGAACCTATATAGCAGAAGGATATCGGAAACATTTCTCTATCATTCTGTTTTAGCGACAAATGTATGTTGACATCTGTGACGTGTGAAATATGGTGCATAGAATTTCGTTTTTGGACTGTTGGATCGATTTTCAAAAACTACAAAGCTTTTTCATCCTTGGAATAGTAGTAACCTACTGTAAAAATTTCATCGAAATCCGAATAGCACTTTCCAAGTTATATATGGGCCAAAAACTAGCGGACAGACAAACAGACAGACCGACGGAAATCAGTCACATGATTTTTCTTGATGTACACGTCATATAACATCCAAAATACATAATCATGGCAACAGAAGAGGTTCACATTGCAAGATGAAGCTAAGGGGTAGATAGACAAAATATTGCATCACATCTTTGACGCTTTGGTTTGGATGCAGATTTCACTTTTCGGCGATAGAAGCAGTGTATACACTTGAATATTCTTTTGAAGACAAAATGTTGGTATTTTATAATATTACTGGCTGGTGCTACTAATGGTGGTGGTACTCAAAAAGTAACCAAATTTCCTATGCATGCAAGTTGACAATATACGAATGCCATCAGAGTTACAAAACGTGATCTTAAGTTTATAGTTCTTTTAAAAACAATGTTTTATGTTACTAACAGTTTCAAGCATACGAAGTCGCGGGTAGCAGCTAGTGCCAAATTAAACGTCTGTATCGCGTGACGGGTCACAGATTGAGTGTGAGTGGAGCGGTGTCAGCCCTCACTTTACAACTGATTGCGAATTCAACGATGGGTTTGCGGATAAACTTCCTCGGATACCAATTAGCACTGTTCAAATATTTACGTCTCCGTATTATGGTTCAGATGTGATGCTGACAGGTTGGACAGCCATGCTCATTTATACAGGGTGACTTCGAAGTTGAGTCATTTATTTAAACATTGAGTAGATCTGTTCAAAAGAAATGTTTTTTTCCTTTAACATTTTTGTGGTAAAATTAAAGTAACAAAGTTATAGCCCTTTAGAAGTTTGAGTACCGCCCTGTCTCAATAATAATATTATGTGCTCGTGTTTGGCAACAACGGATATAATCCGACTTATCGGTTCATCGCATCGGAAACAAAAAAGCAAAAGAATTTGAAACGCTTATCACGATGTTTTTACTACAATTTTATTCAGTTGTATTCAGTCAATGTGTCAGTCGGTAACGCGTGAGTGAATAGTGGTGTTTGTTGCGTGGCTCAAACTAAATAAAAAATTGCACCTGCTTCCGAAAATGCTGAACTTGTGGACATGATTCTTATTTCGGGGGGGGGGAGTCTTTACAAAATGCTGCCGCGGCATCACGGATTTATGCGGATCGGTTTACCAATCGAGTGCAACCAACCCCTCGTGCCTTTGTTAATGTAGTACAAAGGGCTCGTGAATCAGGTGACTTAAGACCTCACAGGGGAGAGCATGCCGGTGCTCCAAGACCGCACGATCAAATACAGGTCCGCACTGAAATACTTATCGGGAGGATACTTTATAAAACAAGGTAACATTTTTTTTTATTTTTACACATATTTTGGTTTATCTTCCTTCTACAATCATTATCTGAAAATTAATGACTCAACTTCAAAGTCACCCTGTATATAGACATGATAATTATGATCTATTTTTGCCTTTTGAATATTCATTGTTTTTATGCTATTCCTTCCACAGGTCACTCTGGATAGACTAAAACTACTCGCATTGCTGGACAGAAACCTCACATTGGGTGAAACGATACTGTCTGTTATCCTCGGTAGTATGGTGGCTATTTTAGGAGCCGCCTTGCTGCATGGAAACTTCTATTATGACATGTTAGCATTTATCCTGTGTCTCGTGATCGCGAGCTGTCAGTATTCATTGCTGAAGAGCGTTCAACCAGATGCAGCATCCCCAACTCATGGTTTCAATATGGTGATCGCATATTCAAGACCTGTGTACTTCTGTATCTTCGCCAGTATTGTTTTGATGCTAGATTCGCAACTGCAGAAGCCCGTAGATGTAAGTAACATGTGATATTTGTTATATAGATTAGCTCTTTCTATATTTAAGCATGGAGCTATGAAAAGGAAACACCAAAGTTATGTTTGTGTTATCTGCGCTGTGATATTGTAATCTCCTGATTAGCTAAAAACTGGGCATGAACTAGAAATGATCTCAACTCCTGGATCGATACACACTTGCGTGTTTTATCATAAATATTCAAAATAAGCAATATAATCTTTGAAATTTGAAGTATAAAAATATTTATCCTTCAAATTAAATTCTGAATTAATGTGGGACATAATTTTTAAAAACGTTTCAATTTTATTACAGTACAAATGGGAAGAATGGACGTGGTCCAGTCAACAAACCCTACTGCTAAGCAGAGACTTTTTGCTAAACTTCATCCTAGCGTTCCCTATCCTGTTTTCATTCGGACTGTTCCCGCAAATCAACACGTTTACAATGTACCTTTTAGAGCAAATTGACATGCATATATTCGGCGGGAACGCCATGTCCAGCTTATTGGCGTCATGTTACTGTGTGTTCCGCTCTGTCCTGTGTGTCATCATACTGAACGGGTTGGCGTTTGGCAGTCTCAGCGAATCTAAGGTAATATTCAATTATTCTATATTAAAGGAAAACTAAGGGACCCTTCTCACCAAAACCAACTTACCAGCTGGAGCAGCAATGTTGAAAGGCTTACGAGAGAGTTATCGTTAATACAACAGAAGGATAAATGCATATTTTTTTTTTGTAAATTCTGTCGATTATTTACGTTAATATAATACCGAAAAACATAACCAGTGGGGTCACAACTCATGATGTTGCTTTCTGGAGCCCTTTCAATGCACAAATATTTTTTATGTACTTTGTTGGTTTATAAAAGATGGACACTTGACGATTGATGGGTCTGGCTAAATTTTATTTTTTATATTACTAATACGATTTTTATTTTAATGAGACGTTTAAAGACCAAAAATTCTGTTTGTACTCAGAGATGCGACTGAATTAAGATACATGATACAAGATACTTTTTTAAAATTGTAATTGTATCGTGTATTTAGATACCTTTCGTCTGATACGTATCTTAGTATCTGGCAAATAGTAATACTTACGTATGTATTTGTTCACATAACGCGCCTTTGAAGCTTTAGTGTGGGGCCAAGGATATTTAAAGAACTCTTCTCGACTGAAACAAGGAAAATTAATCGGTCTGATAAACAAAAAAATCGGAGGTTTTCGACAATATTGAAAGCGATATAAAGCACTCAAAAGGATTCCTGTATTGCAAGTGAAAACAGTGAAGACACTGGATCTAGTGGCAGCAACGCCGACTTAGGAACACTCCAACACCTAAATAATAAAGATACCTACTTAAAGAGCTTAAATGATTATCCTACAGTTAGAAAAATATTTTTATTGCCAAGCTCTGCCCCTGTGGGGATATGATAATAAGGTCTCATATTTTGTCACATTTGCATTTGAGCAATCAATGCATAAATAATAATTCATGTAATAAAATAAACTGAATCATATATCGTTTTCTTGCAAAAGTATTTAGTCTTTAAAAAGCACTTAAAAGATACGTATTTTGTATCTAGTATTTCAGATACCATTCCAGAAAGTGTTTTGTATCTGGTATCTGAATTATGTATTTTGTATTCCAGATACTTTGTATCTTGTAATCTTATAGATGATTGTTTGCACTCCGCCTTATTATAAATTATATGGCCAGTGGCTTTATCCATGGCCTCAAAACGGGACTGACAGTTGCTTGTGCAAAAGCAATGCAACCGAAGACGCAATCGAGTTGCTTTTGGTGAGAAAAATGCCTTATAGTGTTGAGCAAGAGTAAGTTATTTATATGTATGCTTTGACTAAGAAATGGAACACTAGATAATGAAAATTTATCTTGGTGTCGAGCCAGAAAAAAATGTTCTAAACTCTACTAAAAACTCATTTACAAAGCGTCGAATCAAACATCAGCGCGTTATCCTAACATTCCCGAGTCATGAGGCCTGGTTTGAGTACAGCGTAGACGCCACTATTTAAAGGTTTTCTTGATCATTGTTGTAACCTGTTCCAGGGCTCTCAACATGTGCTGTTTTCCATATTCTGTGGTTGTTTGGTGGCGTGCAGTTATCATTTGAGTCGCAGTGCAAGTGATCCCACGCATGTCTGGAATATATTCAAGAGGCACCTGTGGTTACTGGATGTCTATCGAGAAAGTGAGGAAGAGAGCGAGAGGCGAGCTTCTTCAGAAGCTTGTGTTAAGGTAAATTCTTTAGACTTTATTGGCTGTTGAAGCGCCTACGAACTCATTGCATTTTAAAAAATCATATGGTTTTGAGGGAGTTCTATTTTTGGCTTCATAATATGGAAGGCATCTAACCTATCTCAAAAAAGTTATGACTCCAGTTTCGATTACCAACATTCTAGAACTGATAAAGCATGCTTGAAATTCTGTACCCAGTGATACAACTTGTATACCAATTCGGACATCGCTGAAGTTAGAAAACAAGATGCGTAATAAATATTGCAGTAATAATAATTATAATATTTATTCAAAATGTTTACAAACAACATTCGTATAAATACGAATGATCCCATAGAAAGGAATACACCTTTGTGCATGGGTCATGTGACTATTCACTATCGACTAATTGATATGTCTAAACTTTCTATGTCATCTTTCATGGAAATCTCTGTTAATCCTCTATGTTAAGTTAAATCCTGATGTGGTTTATTTCGTTCATTTTATTTTATCAGCTGTGTCATTACTTATGAAAATAGAAAGGAGAGATGCTCGAGCTTTCAAGACCTTGTGCTAGAGATTAATCAACGTAACATTATTTGGAAAGAGTATGGCACGTTCAAAATAGATAATTTCCTAATCTCAAGCAATTCCCGTGGTTATGACTAGACTTTAACTCAGGTATGCGAAAAAAACGTTCATCAGTATAATGATCTCACTTGCTGATTAGCTGTTCATCTCAATAAACGTCAAAATGTGATGAAGTATCGTGGAAAATAGATCCGTCTTTATTACCTATTTTATAGAAGGGTTTTTCAACATCCATGCAGTACAGCTTTCCCGACACGACCCCAAACTTAAAATCGTGGTCAGACTTATGAGTTCAAACCAGTTTGGATCTAACCGCCTTATGCAATCTGTCATAGCTGCGAATACAGATGATTAAATGACACATACAATTTAAGTTTTTGACTTAAGTAATAAAAATAAGTATAATCGACCCTAAATATTGGGAATCAGAAAAAATCATGTTCGCTAAAAGTATGTTCCACTTAAAACACTGTATATAAAAAAGACACAGTCTGAAGAAGTTTATACTAAATCCTACAACTTTCGTAGATAACTTTTGTTTTCAAAAGGTGATACATAAAGTTTAGAGGCGGTCAATTTTCAGCGGGACACTATGTACAGTGATATATGCAAAAACGTTTTTATCAGATTCCTGGCCTAAAAAGGATCGCGTGAAAGTGGTGTTAATTCATACCAATATCCATTACATACACTGTAGCTATTCATATTTGTTCCAGACGAAACCAAAATCACATGACCGACTGAAACCGCCCCCTAAAACTGTCCGCTTCCCCAAAGACATCAAAAACATCAACCCGGAAGAACACGAAGACCCGCTTCCCTACAAACTGCAACAAACCGTCAACGCCCGTCTCACCAACGACATGATCGTCTGCACTCTCATCGTCATCCTGGTGTCCGGCATCCACGCCAGCACTGTGTTCACGGTGTTGCAACCCGAGCTGAGTCCGGTCCTGTGGTCGATTTCAGCCAATATGGGCTTCGTACTGCATTATTTGATACCGCAGCTGAGGAAACAGTTGCCGTGGTTGTGCATCGCCAGGCCGATACTGAGGAGTCACGAGCATGACCAGTTTCAGATTAGGGGGCGCGCCAGGATCATGTGGTTCGAAAAGGTAATTATTGTTTCAGCGATTTTCATCAGCAGCATGTCTTCCGGTGGACTTGACAACTTTATTTTTAAATAAAACCCAAACCATTTGAGATATTTCGAAAATTCTATTATTGGATTGAAGTATCCTCAAAACATTTATGTATGGAATTCGACCTCGTACATATGTCCACCACGGGCACGTTCGCAGCGATCGATTCGTTGAATCCAATTTTCAATGACTCTGCCACACATTTCGACAGAAACGGCCGCCATCTTTCGTTCAGTATTGGCTTTGAGCTCCTCTAACGACGCCGGCTTGTTGGCATACACCAATGAATTAATGTAGCCCCACAAAAAAAATTCTACAGGTGTTAAATCACACGATCTAGGCGGCCATTAGGCAGGACCATTTCTCGATATAACACGTTCACCGAATTTTGATTTCAATATGTCGACACCACCGGCATGAAATCCCTTACAGTTATTTTTTGTGGATGAAGTGGTGTTTCCTGATGCACATGAGGGTTTTCACCTGACCAATAACGCATATTCTGTTTGTTGACGGAGCCGTTTAGCAAAAAATGCGCATCATCACTGAAGATGATTTTGCGATAAAATGGTCATTTTCTTGCAACATTTCTAGAGCCAAATTCGAGAACGTACGTCGGCTCATATGATCGAACGGCTTTAGTTCTTGAGTTAACTTGATCTTATAAGGGTGCAGGCCAAGATCTATTCGCAAAATTTGACACAGGGAGATCCCCAATTCTTGAGAACGCCGGGAAATCGACGAGTTTTGTTCGTTTGCGACGGAAGCTTGAACGGCAGCAATATTATCGGAACTTCGACCAACCCGTTGTCTCACTGGCACGGGAACATCCAGCCGCGAATATGTGGAATCAAATTTTTCTACTAGACTATGAATTGCTTATCTACTGGAACGAGAATTACGATCAAAAATTCGCGTTAACGCCCTAAAAGGTGCAGTCACCGACTCGGAATTTCGATTTTAATTATTTGTAAGCGTTGTTCGTTCGAGTACTTCACCATGATGAAAATGTTTTCTTTACTGAATCTTTTGACAGTTCTGTAATTGATTTAAAGGTGCGTTCACACTGAAAGTGCAAAGTTGTCAAGTCCCTATTGCAAAACCCGATATAAGGCGAGCTAATTTCCATCGAAATTGAGAAAATACCTAAGTGACCGTCGGTGATTATTATAGAATGGAAATCAATCTCGGACGTTGAAAAAACATGTGTCGGGCGCACTTATAAGAATAGGTGCCAGCCAACAGAGCTGTAGAACAATGCAAATCTCTTGTAAGGCCTGGGTGAAGATTAATACCTTTAACTGACAGATGAATCATATAAAACACGCAGTTAGGAAACTTAGTTGAAAAAATGACGCGCAGCAGTAGTCGGAGGGATTGATATTGTTACTGTCGTCAAATATGCCGCTCGTCATCCACGTATCTTCTGAGTTTGTAACACGTTTTCGATCTATTTACTTACTAGGTCAAGTTATAAAATCGTCGTGTGTGTATATGAGCCCCTTCCCACTTCAGTTGGCCCAACTATTGAAATCTTAGTTTTTTTCTTATCAAACACAAATAATAAAAATGTAGCAGGGTGTTATAAGTTTAAAATATTAACAATGAATATTTTGATAATATATAGTAGAAAACACCAACTTTATCACTCAATAATCAAATTTGCAGCATAAAAATAACACATGTTGCAATTACAGCATATCAACCTATTTTCATTTCAATGCAAACTAAGTCTATAACGCATAGGTGGCTGTGAAAAATAAAATCCATGACAATTGTTTTTATTAATCACAGCTATCAGAATACGTTTAAAATAGTTTTGGATAGTTAAGGTTTTCAAAATGGGTAGAGGAAAGGTTATTAGTGAGAAAATTCGGTTACTGATAATTAATTTTTTTTATTCTGGAAAATCAAACTCAGAAATTGCAACTTTGTTAGAGTTATCGCGGTACAGTGTGAGAAATATTGTTAGAAGATATAACGTAACTGGTTCAGTTAATATTAAGCCACGATATGTGAAAAAAGTAATATCACAAATGCCGACCGAAGAGTATTAAGAAGAATAATCGTGAAAAACAGGCGCCAATTATTTACAATTAAGTGCTCTGTGGAGTGACGCTGTTGGAAGGAGAATTTCGAGGTAGACAACTCATAGAGAGGCCCACAAACTGGTATTTAGCACTTGCAAGGTAAGTTTTCTTACAAAAAAAAAGTGAAGTAAAAGCCCTAAAGTTGCACAACTTGTTTATCGGCCAAAGAAGAGCCAGTATTAACTCCACTGCAAAAGAAAAATCGGTTTAGATTGTCTAAAGAACATACACAATGGACACCTCAACAATGGTGTGCAATACAATGGAGTGATGAGGCCCGATTCGAAGTTTGTGTTGGTGACAGTCGCAGTGGAGTTATTCTCAAAAAAAAATAAGCATTCCATGTTGACTGTCTGAAGAGAAAAGTGAAATTTCCAGCATCCATTATGGTCTGGGGCAGTATGTCATCAAAAGGAGTAGGAAAACTTCATTTTGTTGATGGAAATGTCGATACAAACAAATATTTGGCAATTTTAGAAGAATCGCTTTACCAGTGATGGATGAAAAAGGTTCTGCGACAACATCCTGCTCGTACAATCATCGAACTGAGACAAAAGCTTCAAGGAATATGGGATTGTTTAACACCAAATTTTTGCCAAAACTTGGTTAACACTATGCCCCAAAGAATTTCAGCCCTAATAAAAAATAAAGGTGATGTTACCCAATAGTAATCTTTCAATTGTTGCTTTGTTAACTTCGCGCATTTATTCGCACATTGTTTATTTGTTCAGATGTTCTATTAGTTATAGGTCTAAGTGATTTCAAATATGTATTTTTTACGACTAGAAAGCAACCAAAATGTTTTTGAGAAAATAAATTGTTTTAGAAGTAAATAGTTTCGTCATGTTTAGTTTATAAAGCCTGTATTTTGGTACTAATCTTGAAGTGGGCCAACTGAAGTGGGAAGGGGTATATTGAATTATAATGATTAGCAGAGAATCACTGGGGTATTTAATATGTACGAGCGAGAAAAACAGAAACAACGGTAATCAAGCGTGCTCAACATCAAGGACAACGAGTATGCGGACGCTTCAATCGCGCGCTCTCTCTCGTACATATTAAACACGGAATTACAATTATTCCTTGCTGATCATGTTTGTGTATAATGAAATATTTACATGTCTAAGCTACTACATTTATCAACACGCATTAGCCTTATTACAGTAGCAACCCTTTGTTTCAGGTGTACCTGTACCTTTGCTTTTTTGAAAGAAACATACTCTATCCCCTCCTTTTCCTCTCCATCTTAACAGAAGATTCTCCGAAGATCGTAGAGAACTACGGAGCATTGGGTGGTTCTTTCATAGTAGTGATATGCGGTATGAAATGTCTAAGAAGCAGTTATTCCGACCAGAATTCCCAGTACTTGATACTCATCTTCACTGTGCTCTTTTTCAAATATGACTACAGCTATATTCACGACGCCTTTTTGATTGAATACTTCTTCATGAGCATCATTTATCATAAGTTCTACGAACTGTTACTCAAGGTGAGTAAATTCATTGCATACTTGACTAAGTTGTGCTATTCTAATAGCTTCTTGTTGCTATGCGCACCTTTAATAAGACAATTAAATTGATCACAGTATAATATTGCATATATCTAACAAGGTAATGTGAAATGGGTTGTGATACATAGAAATCATGTATTTCCTGACGATTTCAATTTGAAGGTCATTACTAAAACCTCGCTGTTAGATTGATACAAGAATGGTTTAGCTTGTATTTGGGTAATGGTTACATATTGTTGAATGAATTGTATGGAGACAGTCTACCGTTTTTTTTATTCCAGGTCCAATTCGTCGTAACTTACATCGCGCCATGGCAGATCACATGGGGTTCCGCCTTTCACGCTTTCGCTCAACCGTTCTCCGTACCTCATTCGGCCATGTTATTCCTTCAGGCCATCATATCCGCCATTTTGTCGACGCCCCTGAATCCATTTCTGGGCAGCGCCATTTTCATTACATCTTACGTACGGCCAGTAAAATTTTGGGAACGTGACTACAACACAAGGCGCGTGGACCACTCTAACACACCGCTCTCGTCGCATTTGGATAGGAACGTTGGTGCTGATGATAACAATCTCAACTCGTTGTTCTATGAACATCTAACGCGGTCACTTCAACATTCACTATGTGGCGATTTGAAACTCGGAAGGTAGGTATAATTTGTCACATATATTTTTTTCAATCTTGCGAAGCGAACAGAACTGGACCAAATTTCTCCCGCTGATGTATGCTTTGGTCACCACGTATTTATTTATTACCCTATAGAAGAAAATATTTTCCATATAAGGGGCATATATTGGTTAAAATTTTAATGGAGGTATCAACCGCACCCACATTAAAAACCGTGTATTTGTTATAAATGTATAGATCTTTTTGGTAAATAAATAAATACTATTAGATAAATTTTATTTGTGGTATGCGATACATCATTTTTTTTTCTAACCAGCGATTTTAATATACTATATTTTCATTGCCCCTCATTGGTAACTCTGTAGGCTGTGGCTTCAACTACAACCTCAAAAAAAAAGGCTACCACAAATCGGGTTGAAGTAGATTGTGCGGCGGGTTGTATTCGGTGAGAACAGTGCCTTACATATATGTACAATCAAAATGAGATGAGGAAAAGTCTTCATAGCAACCATTGTAACCAGACAAAGGCATGCACTTACATTCGGTATTTCAAAATTGATGTTTTTTTTTTTTCGTTTTTGAAGATGGGGTCCAGTCAACCAAGGCGATTGTTTTGTATTGGCGTCTGATTATCTGAACTGTCTGGTGCACGTAATTGAGCTGGGTAACGATTTAGTGACGTTTCAAATGAGGGGGTTGGAGTTCAGAGGTACATACTGCCAACAGAGGGAAGTGGAAGCTATCACAGAAGGAGTGGAAGAAAATGATGGTAATTATTTTTTTTTAATTTTTGTTACTATATAAAAACTGAATGCATAGATCCTTGTGCAGTAATGCCACTTTTTGTACACTATTTAGCACGGTACTTCATATAACACTTGGCGTTTAATTCTCATTTTTGTTAATTCTACACTGCTAGCAATAGTTGAGATTCAGTAGTGTATCAGAAATGTTTTCGCCAAATAGTTATTAGAATTTAACAGCTATGTCCATTGCTTTGATCTGATTGGAAACCAAAACAACCCTTATTATTGAGGTTAGACGATATGCGACGACATATATATATATATATATACAGGGTGTTTCAGTTTATTGTTGCATAACTTTAAGATTCGATAGAACTTTTAAAATTAATGTATAAAGTCTATATAAACATGGGTCGAAAAATGCGTGGCTTCCGAAATACAGGGTGTTTAAATTTACTTTCTAAAATAGTTTTTTTTTAAATATTTCGAATAATATTTGATGCATAACAGTGAAAATTGGCGCTGTCTACTGTAACTGTAGTGTATTAAAATGACCGAAAATTTTTTCGTAGTGCAACTTTTTGCTTTTTGAATAAAAAAACTGATTCCTCGCACTTTTCAACATAAAAAAGCTCTCCTGTGAGTTTTCGTTATAGTTAGCCGTTTTTGAGAAATTTTGATTTTTAAGGTTCGATGCATTTTTGATTATTTATGGGAAAATAATATTTTTTTTTACATTTTCGATTTGGGCATTACAAGTAATTAAGATGATCGTTTAGATTGTGTTTTTAAACACAGCAATAATTCCTATCTCCAAATAAACACAAAAAAAAAACAATATTAATTTGTTTAATTTTCCAATATTATTTTTAACAAATTAAATTAAAAATTTACTCGTACAACTAAAATGCTATTGGATAGTTAGGACAAACATACAAAATCTAAAATAGTTGCTCGAAATGTAAACCCAATTGTTCAATACACAATTCACATCTACGAATGATCGAACGTAGTATAGCATTATTCAAATAAGGCCTTATTTCATCACATGCATTCCTGATTCTGTCTATTAGCATACCTCTTGTGGTTACGGGAGTCTGGTACACTTTTTCTTTTAGAAATCCCCACACAAAGAAATCTAATGGATTTAGGTCAGGGGATCGTAGAGGCCAGACGACTGGTCCTCCACGGCCGATCCATCTCTCTGGATAATTTTCGTCCAGCGAGTTTCTAACTATTCTCGAATAATGAGCTGGACAACCATCAAGCTGGAACCAGGCCAATCATCTTAAATCTAACATAACATCATCCCACATATTTGCATGTTCAGCCTTTAAAAATTCCAAGAAGGTCGCAGCATTTAACCTTGCAGGCAAAAGCTAGGGTCCAAATAGTCGATTACGGTAGATACCTATCCACACGTCCACACTAAATTCATGCTGAAAATTTCTTTCCCGAACTGCATGCGGATTTTCATGCAACCAAATATGTTGATTATGAAAATTTACAACTCCACGTCTAGTGAACCATGACTCATCGGTTACTTAAAAACTCCCTATTATTACCAGTTCTATCAAGAATCCACTGACAAAATGTGATTCTTCGTTCTCCGTCCCCTGGCTGTAGTCCTTGCACAGGTTGCAAATGGTAAGGACGTCTATGGTCATTTCTAAGAACACGGTGAACATGGCTTTCTGAAATTCCCAAGGCACCAGAAACTCTCCTGACACTTGTGGTCGGATCTCTATCAAACTCACGTAGAATCATACGGGTAAATCTGAGCTGACGAACATTTATGTTTTGATCCCTTTGGGGATTTCCAAAACCATTTTCAATTATTTGGCGATGCGCTCTTACAAATACTGAGCGAGTTGGATGTCGTCTGTTTGGAAATCTTCGTGCGTATTCTCTGGCTGCTTCTGCTGCGTTTCCATTTACAAAGCCATACACAAAATGAATATCCGCTAACTCCTGATTGGAGAATAAAAATGTCATTTTTATAAAACTTACAAAAAAAACAGGTAAAAGAACCTAAATTTTGTGCATTCACAATTGCAAAAAAACAGGTTTCAACAGACAACAAAACTAACTGTCAACTAATTGACGTTTAACATTATTCTGCTTTCAATTTCAAAAATATTTGCAGGCACAGCCTACTTCTAAAAATTATCGAGATACTGACTTTTTTACGTTATTTTATCATAAATAATTAAAAATGCATCGAACCTTAAAAATCGAAATATCTCAAAAACGTCTAACTATAACGAAAATTCACAAGAGAGGTTTTTTATGTTGAAGAGTGCGAAGAATCAGTTCTTTTATTCAAAAAGCAAAAAATTGCACTAAGAAAAAATTTTCGGTCATTTTAATACACTACAGGTACAGTACAGAGCGCCCTCTAGCGGCTACAGTAAAACTATGCCCATGGATCGTTTTGTCGTACCAAAAAACCCTTGTATACCAATTTTCACTGTTATACATCAAATATTGTTCGAAATATTTTAAAAAAACTATTTTAGAAAGTAAATTTAAACACCCTGTATTTCGGAAGCCACGCATTTTTCGACCCATGTTTATATAGACTTTATGCATTAATTTTAAAAGTTCTATCGAATCTTAAAGTTATGCAACAATAAACTGAAACACCCTGTATATTGAATGTTACCAAATAATCACTGGTATTTTTTCTCACATTTTGGCGTATTGAATCAAACTGTCTTCCAGGAAGCTTCGTCGCATTTTTTTATACTTGAGCACCATGCAGTACAGGAGACATTTTGGGGGATTCGAACCCGCGCAGTTCACGGCGACTGATTAGACAAACAGCGTCTACCACTACGTCACCGCGTACCTTTAAGGTTATATAACCATAGCCTCCATGACTGAATATGGAATAGTGAAAATAAAATATGATATTCTGTGATTCTTTAATAAACTTTTTCATGATCTTTTCAGGCTGTTGTTGCTGTGATACAGGTCACCTGCCCAATATGCTGAGCATAAATGCAGCATTTAGTCAACGATGGCTCGCTTGGGAAGTGACTGCTTCCAAATATATATTGGAAGGATATAGTATATCTGACAATAGTGCTGGGAATATGTTGCATGTTTTTGAGTTCAGAAAAATGTTAGTTTCGTATTACGTTAAGGTAAGAATATGAAAATGTTTAAATCATATCCATTATTTCAGTATGTGTATGAGATTTTTAATGAATCAGTTCAGTAAACAAATTATTTTTCAGAGTATTATATTTTATACGATTCGTTCGCCAAAATTGGAAGAGTGGCTTTCAAACCATACGATATTGAAGGCTTTATCTCCAGTATCATCTAGGAGCTTTGTGGATCTAGATCCCATATTCAATTACAACATAGATGAGGATTTCGATACGACCAATAGTGGTATAACAAAAAATAGTTTCATGCAGATTCATGGAGAATGGATCAACTATTGTGTAGAGAGAAGTGAGAAGAACATCGACTGTGGGCCTAGTTCTACGTTGATGCTGTTATGTTTTGCTCTGAGTTTATTAGGCAAGTAGATATATATATGTATATGACAAGATCATCTTAAGCAACCTGTAGATTATTTCCTTAGAACCATAATTCAGTGTAGGTAGAAAGAGCAAGCCTTCAATGTATAGTTAGGATAAAATAGCATGGTGAATAGGTGAACTTGAGTTGTAGATTTGTTTCAAGTTCTGTCATTAAATCGTATTTTCAGTGTTATTTTTTGAGAGTGGGAATGTTTGCAGATAATTGTGGTATTAGACGATATTGCACTTCTTGCATAATATGCAAAGAGCGGTACAAACCTAATGAAAGTTCATCTTTCCACTAGTAAACATTATGACATTGATACATCGGTGTCAGTTTAGTAGACAATTTTGGTCAAATGAATCAAAAGTATTCACTAAAACTAAGTAATTTTGACGACTAACAATGTAATGTAAACACAGGCATGTCTCCTAATCTATTCGAATTCGATGGTTTATGACGGACACTACGTGTTCATGATGCTGTTTTACTTTGTAGCAGCTTATCAGTGTAATTTCCAGGTAGGAGAGCGCTAGGAGCGGCTACGAACTCGCACTCTACAGTAGAATTCTTCCTGTTCTGCCTGCACGCCCTGTTCAAAGGCGACTTTCGTATCGCGTGCGCGCGCGACGAATGGGTCTTCAACGACATGGACCTGCTGCGCACTATCGTCGCGCCGGGTGTGCGCATGTCACTCAAACTGCACCAGGACCATTTCATGTCGCCAGATGAATACGAGGAGCCGGCTGCACTCTACGACGCCATTTGTCGGCACGAGGAGGAACTGGTCATAGCGCATGAAGGCGACCCCGCCTGGCGGATCGGCGTGCTCAGCGGGGTACCGAGTTTATTGGCGTTGAGGTGAGTTTTCATCTATTGAGAGATGAGAAGATACTTCGAAAGAGAACCCATTTGTTACTATTCTTATTCTAACTCTAAATTTGAACTGCGTATTCATAATGAATAAGGTGGTCTTTTTGGAATTTACCGGCAGTTGAAAATGTTTCAGATAAAGATCACGTTATTACCTAGAATCCCTCGTATCATGACAGTAGTGTATGTTAATAGAAGCAAACTAACCAAGCGTCTGATTATTTTGATGGATAGTACGAGTATGGAAGGTTATGGTTTCACTGAAGTGTATTAGTTACTTTGTATTTTCTCCAGGTAGTTTATACATTATACAAAATTAATCACTAAGTATAGTATTTTTATTTCCAATTGAAACGTCAAAAAAAGGAGTGAAATTCTAAATACAGTGCAAAAAGGTTCCTTCCCTTACTTATCCTTTGAATGGGTCAAGTTAGCAGAATGGGGGTCGTGTGATACCTCATTTTGAAGCTCCTTATGAGTCACCCTTAACCCTAGAATAGGCGGTCAAAGTTGAGCATTTTCCTATAAATGGCTTATAACTCAACAACTAATCATTACATATAGTATGTTACATCAATTTCCTTTTTTTTATAAGGCTCTGTCTGAATAATAATAATAATTTATTCACATTAATTACAAATTGTGAACAAATGCATATGCCACAAAAGGAAAATATCCTTGTATGTGGGTATCATGCTAACACAACATGCATATAACATAGCAGTTATAATAAACTAATTCGACTAAATAAAAAATGAAAAATCTATATAATGTAAATGTAATATGCACATTACTTTGGGAAAGTAGACTAGCAATGAAGAAAAGATAAGTGTTAGTTTTTTATAAATTACATCATGCTTATATCAGTTTTCAAAAGTCACTAAGTTTTTTTATAAATTACGTCATGCTTAATATCAGTTTTCAAAATTCACTCGTATATTTTGGTAAGTTATGATATAATTTTGGACCTAAGTATATATGGGTGGTTATCTGAAATTTGGTTAACTTGGTGTTAGCATGAATTTTTACAATATTAAAAAATATATATCCTATATCTGAAACTACTAAGCGATATTTTATAGTCTATTTAGTTCGGTCACCAATTTTGATAAATGTCATAATATTCTTTATTTCAATAAATTGACATTTTTTACTCCAAATATCAGGCCCTAGCCATGTAAGATCTCCCAAATTTAGTATTCGCGTCACTGTAATCTTATTGTATTAAATAATAATTTGATGAAACTCTATTTAAATTTGTTTACTATTACATTGCTTACATTGTCATTACGATTTAATGTATAAAATAATTTTGTTTGATCACATTATTTCAAGTCAAAAAGTGTAAGCGATAAAAAATATCAGGCCCTAGTCATTTACGAAATTCAAAAATACGCGGCATCCAAACATATGACTTATTCATAACTCACTCAATACGGTAGCATCGGTCTGTAGTTGGTTGCAAACACGAGCCAAGCCGCGGCAGCAATTTTGCTATTAGTGTGGTAACCGACTTTGCTGCGGAAACACGTGCTGTGCCAGTCAAACTCTCAGGCCCTAGGTAAGTCGTTTTAAACATATATAATTACTCATTGATCTCATTACTTATTGAATGTATGAGCTAGGTCTGCTTTGTTATTTTGACCGCCTATTGATTTTATAGTGATTTAAAATAATAGCTTTCATTTGATTTTGCTTCGTTTCGTCAGTCCCTAGACCGTCAGGCCCTAGTCGTAATAGTGACTAGGGCCTGATGCCACATCTAGGGACTGATGATCATACTGTGTGATGCATAGTTTTAATCATAATACCAATGTATTTGTTGTAGAATATGGCGCCTATAAAGAAAAAAACATTGTCTAAAGAAGACATTGCAAAAAAAAGTCTGAACAGGCAAAGAGGCGATTGGAAAAAATTAAAAATGATCCTGTTTTGCTGGCGGCGTACAAAGAAAAGGAACGACTAAAATATCTAAAGAAAAAGGAAAAAGGACAACGGAAGTGTGTAAAAGACATGACTCCCCGTGAGCACAGAAAGGCAAGAAAAAATTGGGTAGCCTATTCATCTGATTATAGAAAAAACAAAAGATTCGTGACAATACAGATAAATACGTGGACCAAAATACGCCGCCATCATCGGAAGATGAAATTATTCCTGAGGCTCCTTTATTAAATAATGAAAGAGAAGCTGAAGCTTGAAGGAGGAGTATAGTTCAACGGAGAAAAAGAAGTAGTATGTTGAGGAGGAAGGACTTACTCATTGAAAATTTAAAGAAGAAACTTGCCAGCGAACAACAAAGAAACAGAAGACTGAAACATAGAATGATACAAAAGAAGCAAGCACGGACACCAGAAAGTAAAATTGTAGAAATGGCCAACGACCCTAATCAAACTTGGCAGAATTGATAAAAAAAGCGTTATTTGGCGATATTATTCAAAGGCAAATTTTAGATAAAGAGATTCAGACACCCAAAACAAAAACCTGCTTAAAAACGATTTTGTCAAGTCCACTGACACATAAATATAAAATATGGAGACTTGGAAACACAGCCATTACATATAAAAAGATGGGATTTAATCGTACAAAATATGAAGCTATGCGAAAAAAAAAAGAGAGTTGAAGAAATCATACACAAGTTTTATGAAGATGACAATAATAGTCGTTGTGCGGCAGGAAAAAAAGAATGCATCACTCGCAAAAAAATTAAAAAACAAAAAAGATATTTGCTGGATTCCTTGAAGAACTTGCATCAAAAATTTCACAATACGAGTTTGATGGAAATTGGGTATAATTATTTTTGCAAATTGCGTCCATTTTGGGTTGTTGTGCCTAAGCTTACAGACCGTGATACCTGTGCTTGTGTTATTCATGAAAACATCAATTTGAAGTGGTGCCTTAAAAAATGCAAACGTTCTTGACTTTGCCACATATCAAACTGCACTGGAAACAATTTGCTGTGATCGTTACTCGGAAAAATGCTTAGCGAGAACTTGCCAGGACTGCTCATTGAAGATTTTACCATATAAGGAGTTTGATAATAGTAAGGACATGGCAGTCAAACAATGGAAGCATAGCAAGGAATTGATTAAGGACATTAAAACTAAACAGGATAGATACGTCACAAAGTATAAGAAAGAGATATGCAATTCAAAACCTCGTGATTTAGTTATGCAATTAGAAGAGAGTGATCTCATAATAATTAATGAAAGTCTGAATGTTGTGTTCAAATTATAATTTGGTAACTCAAAACTTTAGAAAGCTGATTATTTAAAATAATTGTTAATTTTTAAAGGACTATTAGTTTGTAAGTATTAAACTCAAAGTATAATTTGATTGTTGAGAAATATTGATAGATTATTTTCAAGTGTATAATTAAAAAAATAAATCCTGTACTGAGATTATAAATCATAGAATTTGTGAACTTACGAGATTACTTTGTTGTTACGGTTGATTTTGCAATAAAAAATGTGATTTGACATAATAACCGTGTTTGGTGTCAGTCCCTATCACTTGTCGTCAGTCCCTAGAACACTGATTTTAAAAAATCATAAATTTCTCTGAAAATATGAAGTAAAGTGACTGGCCCTTTTAGATGCAGCAAAGTAGATGTTATACCTACAGCATAGAATATAAGCTGTTCTGATTTTTAACTAAAAACACCACCTTCAAAATTACATCAGAAGTTAACCAAATTTCAGATAACCACCCATAGATGATTTCAACATTATTTCTTTTTTTGGTGTTGCAATAATTATTTGTTTATTTTTATTTCTAGTACAATATTCATAATTTTTATAAATGGTCGAATTTTTGTTTTTATGGAAATCTAGTATAACATTATACCAACATAATTTTTTTAAATCTAAAAGTTTTGATTCTATAAACAGCGATTTGGAAGGATATAGTAAAGGTTTGGTATGAATTGTTTTTATGAATAGTTTTTATATTACTTGTAGAGAATTTAGATGGTTATTATTCGTGGATCCAATAATTCCATAGGTTATGTGACGTTCAACTAATATTTGATATAAAATTTTTAATTGAGTTCCATTACAAATTTGTCTGTAATATCTGAGTTTATATAATAAAAATCTAAGTTTCTTTTTAATGTATTGGATATGTTCATCCCAACGAAGATGACAGTCTAAAACAATTCCGATATATTTATGATTCAGTTTAATAAATTTTGAGAGATTTAAACATTTTTTTTAAATGGAGTATTATATATTTAATTACATATCCAGATAGACCTTACATGTAATAAATGTACAAAAAAGATGTATTTTAATATTCTAAGCTCGTAAAGAACAAGAGTTCCATTCCATTTAAAAAATCCAAAAAGGCGTTCAGCCGGCATCTTGGAATGTTCAACTGCCAATTTTATGCTAAAATATAGTAATCATGCATCAACTTCACTTTTCAAATTGCAGCTTGCTAACTTGACCGGTTCAAAAAATAAATTGGGGGGACCTTTTTGAAAAGCTCTGTATATTAGTGATGTGTTATCGTATAGGTATTGCAAACTTTGTCATCGGGCCAGTTGTTAAAGGCCGAGCGTGAAAAATGGCATTTTGGCGACTATTTCCCTTGTCTTAATATCCAATGGTTTCCAGATGAAAACATTATATGCCCAACTAGCAAAGTAGTGCTATAAGCTTTTGGTAAAAGAACCGTTCAGCCATAAAAGCTCTCTATTGTTGTTGCCTGAACACCAAAATGCTGGCTTAATGTTGTGTGGAATGCAAATTTGCTTTCTGCAACATATTTGCTCTAAAATGAGTTGTTTAAAATATTCTTATAGCATAGTTACACAACACCTTATAGGACAAATTTTTAACTGATGCATAAACGTTTATACAACTATTTTATACGGCATATTTGCAGGTTAGTCAAAATGGTTGTGTTGTGGCATCCATGGTAACGTTTATAAAACAAACCCGAGCCTTGTTGTTTTGCTGTGGAAATTTACCACTTCAGCCAACAAATTGCTCCCAACGGAAGCACTTAACACAACTGTTGTTTAGTAACTGCTAAATATGTTGGTATACAACTTCACCATAACCTAACTTTCTGCTGTCATATTTTAGTTAAAATGCCATAACCAATGTTTTAAGACAAACAACGCATGCATATTGGTTAAAAAGGTTTTATCAACTGTTCAAACAGAAGATATAGATCTGGTACAAATTCTACGTAAATCATTCGACTCTGTCGGTATTTCATTTCTGCCATTTGTCAAATTGTTGTATAACACCTGCAGGCAACACCAAAATATTCTAATAAACTAAAGACAACACATGGACGATGCCATGATTATACAGAACCACCCGCCATATTGGGCAAACATTTATTCCTCTATTTGATATTAAATAATTATGTTTCAGTTCGAAATTACAGATATAAAGTGTAATTGTGTCTAAATATAGGATTTGTGGAAGATTTAACGCAGATAAGTTCCGTTTTCCATCTTAAAAATCTAGACATACTTTTGATCATTATCAAATTATGAATCAAATACGAAGCCCCTAGAAATTGCGTAACTACTTTGCACGATAATCACAATAAAATTTGCTGCGCAAGTAGTTCAATAGCCCTATATCATAGTGTAGAAGTTTATCATATACCTGTGTATGAAATTCACAATGGCCGATATGTAAGTAAACAAGATAACTGTATTGTGTTAGTTATATATTCTTCACTTCGTCTATACAATACATAAGAAATAGTTTGGTTGCAATAAGAGTAGAATCACGTAACAGAATAGTTGTATAGTTGACAAAAACTGAATCTTGCACTGACGCAAATGTCCTATTGCGGCTGCAAGAGGCTTACACTTTTGTTGTATAACTGTTACCTGCAGCCCTAATACAACCTCTTAAAAGACTGAAGTGTCCTATTAGGTGTGCCCATTCCGCTTGTATAGCTGTTCTAAGAGGGTTTTGCCAATGTTCTTACAGTATACAATGCTGTGTAAGGAATACTGTATAATCATTCTTGCAACTCTAATAGGAATGATAATTGTTAGTTGGGTGACAGTATCTGTCAGCACTTTTTTTGAGTTCATCCTCGCCAAAACTCGACAGCTGTTGTCACCAAAAATTACAATAACTTTGGTAACAAGTAACAACAATCCCGAATGGTTTTCGTAATCCGATTTTGGAGGATCGGTCTGTCTATCCCGGAATCCCGGGACCAATCCCGAAAAAACAATTTAAAAATTAAACTTTTAGTTCTAAACAAAAAACAGAAATTAACTAAAAAAATCAAAGAACTTAACAAAGCATAAATACTACAAACGATGACTATAGATACAAGTGTCATAAATATCAATGAAACATTTATAAAATTATATACTAGTTATCCCGGGACTCCGGGATTGACATCCGTAATAACAAGTAATTATAGTTTCCTAGGACACCAGAAAACGAGGCTAAACAATTTTTCTGATTTTATTGTCAAATTTTGTAATATTGTTTTTAAAGTATGCAGAAATAATCTGTTACTCATCAACTAGTCTTGTCAAATACCATTCGGGTATCTATTTTTTCCTGTGAAAAAAATTAGAGGCCCTTATGATATTACTTATGACAATTTGAGACCGGAAGTTTTTTTTATACCGAAGCAGCCGCGCAGGAGGTCTGGAACCATCTTTTGACCGTAGTTATCTCAATATCAAGATTCAGAGTGGCAAATCGATCTCTGCCGCTGAGTTGGAAAAAAGAAGACTAGCGATGACTTCATCTCTGACAAGAGACCTGGAGGCTATCACTGCTTGGTGACGCAACAATCTTGTACAGTTCAATGCTTCCAAAACGCAGTACTGTACTTTGACGAACAAAAAGCGTCCCTGCGCTCACCCGCTTTCGATGGATGGTCGAGTTCTGCCAAAGACCCATTCATTTTGGCTGGTCGGAGTCCAGATCACCGAGGACCTGATCTGGCACGAACACATCTTGTCAATAGCTGCAGCTGCTGGAAAAAAGCTAAGCTATTTGTTTAGGGCCTAAGAGGTACTTTTCTCCGCATGACATCACTCTATACAAGGCCCAGATAAGGCCTAGCCTGGAGTATTGCTCACACGTTTGGGGTGCTGCCGCCCCGACTACATTATCCATGCTCGATGCTGTCCAGAGGAGGGCGGTCCGACTGATCGATGACTCTTCTCTAACAGACAGTCTCGGGACTCTTTCGCACCGGCGGGCTGTCGGCGATCTGGCTCTTTTCTACCGTTACACCAACGGGCTTTGCTCCTCAGAGCTCTCTTCCTTGATGCCGTCGCGCGATGTCCCTGCCAGACAGACCCGCCTAACTTTGGCGTCCGTTCCTAACCGTGTCGAACTTCGTACATCCAGAACCGGCCGATACGACCGCTGCTTTGTCCCAAAGGTGTCGAGATTGTGGAACAATCTACAAGAGGAAGCTTTTCCCAGTTCTATTAACCTTAGGCAGTTCAAAAATCGTATTAATAACATTTTTTTGGGATCATCATAGCAGCCGCGGTGTTCCGGCATTTAGGCTTCTGCCTGCGCGGCTGCTTCGATATATATCTAAAAAAAAAGATTATCTTAATGATATATCAGTGTCTCAAAAAATAATGTTGCGCCTTCGGATAGAACAATAACATAAGGATTGATTAGTTTGCATACTAACTAATGAGTTGGTTACTGTGTATCATTAACAATATTATTAACACGTTAACCCATGTTAATTTGTGTAATTATTTTGCGGGTTGTACTTTAGCCATGAATCTTGGATAATCTACGAGCCCCTTCCCACTTCAGTTGGCCCACTTCAAGATTTGTACCAAAATATGCCTTTATAAACTAAACATGACTAAACTATTTACTTCTAAAACAATTTATTTTCTCAAAAACATTTTAGATACACTCTAGTCGTAAAAAATACATATTTGAAATCACTTAGACCTATAACTAATAGAACATCTGAACAAATAAACAATGTGCGGATAAATGCGCGAAGTTAACAAAGCAACAATTGAAAGATTACCATTCGGTAACATCACCTTTATTTTTTATTCCGGCTGAAATTCTTTGGGGCATAGTGTTAACCAAGTTTTGGTAAAAATTTGGTGTAAAACAATCCCATATTTCTTGAAGCTTTTGTCTCAGTTCGGTGATTGTACGAGCAGGATGTTGTCGTAGAACCTTTTTCATCTCGTGCCACAAAGTTTCAATAGGTGACAGATCTGGACTGCTAGAAACCCATTTCAAAAGTGGTACATTATTTTCTTCCATCCATTTTATAGCCTTTTTTGAGGTATGGCACGCTGCACCATCTTGCTGAAACACAAAATCTTGGCCGGATGTCAAACTGTCTTCCATCACTGGTAAAAGCGATTCTTCTTGAATTGCCAAATATTTGTTTGTATCAATAAAATGAAGTTTTCCTACTCCTTTTGATGACATACTGCCCCAGACCATAATGGATGCTGGAAATTTCACTTTTCTCTTCAGACAGTCAACATGGAATGCCTAATTTTTTTTTGCGAATAACTCTACTGCGACTGTCACCAACACAAACTTCGAATCGGGCCTCATCACTCCATTGTATTGCACACCATTGTTTAGGTGTTCATTGTCTATGTTCTGTAGCCCATCTAAGCCGATTTTTCTTTTGCAGTGGAGTTAATAGTGGCTCTTCTTTGGCCTATAAACAAGTTGTGCAACTTTAGGGCTTTTACTTCACTTTTTTTTTATAAGAAAACTTACCTTGCAAGTGCTACATCCCAGTTTGTGGGCCTCTCTAAGAGTTGTCTACCTCGAAATTCTCCTTCCAACAGCGTCACTCCACAGAGCACTTAATTGTAAATAATTGGCACGCCTGTTTTTCACGATTATTCTTCTTAATGCTCTTCGGTCGGCATTTGTGATATTACTTTTTTCACATATCGTGGCTTAATATTAACTGAACCAGTTACATTATATCTTCTAACAATATTTCTCACACTGTACCGCGATAAGTCTAACAAAGTTGCAATTTCTGAGTTTGATTTCCCAGAATAAAAAAATTTAATTATCAGTAATCGAATTTTCTCACTAATAACCTTTCCTCTACCCATTTTGAAAACCTTAACTATCCAAAACTATTGTAAACGTATTCTGACAGCTGTGATTAATAAAAACAATTGTCATGGCTTTTATTTTTCACAGCCACCTATGCGTTATAGACTTAGTTTGCATTGAAATGAAAATAGGTTGGTATGCTGTAATTACAACATGTGTTATTTTTATGCTGCAAATTTGATTAGGGAGTGATAAAGTTGGTGTTTTCTACTATATATTATCAAAATATTCATTGTTAATATTTTAAACCTATAACACCCTGCTACATTTTTATTATTTGTGTTTGAGAAGAAAAAAACTAAGATTTCAATAGTTGGGCCAACTGAAGTGGGAAGGGGCTCGTAGACTAGTTGGATAGTATTCAACTCAAACAACATGCGTAGCTATTTTAGCGGAAAGATAATTTTTCATCAAAATAGTCAGCAATAACTTTAACCGTAACATACATTTGCAGACACGTATATGAAGAAGGCTGTGATGACTTCAAAATAATCATGCTGAATAAGCGCCACCTCAGCTTCCGTGTAATAAAGGTGAACAAAGAGTGTGTTCGCGGTCTTTGGGCTGGTCAACAACAAGAATTAGTGTACCTTAGAAACAGAAATCCGGAAAGAGGTAGCATACAAAACGCAAAACAGGCACTGAGAAACATCATAAACTCCTCTTGCGATCAGCCTATCGGATATCCGATTTACGTGTCGCCATTGACGACAAGTTACGCTGAGACGAATGAACAGTACTGCTGGCTGCTGGGCGGGTCGTTGAGCATAAAGAAGATCAAGAATTATGTCTACGATGCTTTTAGAAGGTACGTTTCACAATTATTGTTATGATACATTCTACGATGTCACCCAGGATTATTACAAGATTTAACGTTTTCTGCTCAAATACAGGATTCAAGTGGATTGGCACAGTACCTCTTACAACAAGCTATGAGTCCATCTTCGCTTTGTTTCAAGAAGTTTTGAAACTCCTTAAAAATAGCTCATAAAATGCTAGAAAACTGGAGTCTCCTAAATTTTAGGCACATAAAGGTCCTCATTTGATTTCTACTTCAAAATTATCAGGAATTTTAACAACTAACTGTCGATTTCAAACCAAACCTTTTTTGTTCTTGGCGCAGTAGTGTTAATTAAAAATTCAAAACAAGATAAAAATCATATATATATATATATATAAATTGCCGTCCATATACTTACTGGCAAGAAGCTAGATATTGCGGAAATGCGTTTAGAACATGAAGACATCCGCTTTCCTCGATTCTTCTGCATTCATTTTCTATTCGTTGTTTTAGTTCCTTCAAATCAAATGGTTTGGTTTATTATACTTTATTGCTGGGACAACGTGATTCCTCAAAAGATGCAAATATCTTTCAGCGTTAAAATTTTCAAAGAAAAACTTGACTCATCCGAAAACATGTGTGTTACGTACAAAAAATGTTCATTTCTATTGCACATGGTCTCACAGAATTGTAAACGCCTGTCAAAATCATCACCTTATAGTTTCGTCTTTAAAATGCGTTCCAAAGACCTGTGAAACGAATTGTTATCTTCACCAAGTGTTCTAGTAGGACGAAGGTTTTCCGCAGAGCTCACTAAAATATTCTAAGCCTTATTTTCGTCAGTGGCAGTTTTGTGATGGGCAGATCGTGGAACACCATGTCCTGTTATTTCCAACTTCCTCAAAACTTTTCCAACAGTATACCTTGTCATTGGAATCCGGTCGGCATATTTGTCATTGAAAATATCGAAAACTTCTTGCTGTATGCGTCGACGATCAGAACCATAAGAATTTCTATTCTCTCGGTTTCAGTTAAATAAATCATTTTCAATAACTCTACTCACAAAACTCAATGGGACTTTTTAATGTCGGAAAGTCAGGAAATTGGATACCGGTCATTCCTTGGGTGAAAAATACCTTTTATTGTTTATATATGTTTGGCGAATATTTTGAAAACTATGAGGTCCACGCCAAAGTACATTTAGTAAAGAGTATACAGTATTTCTCGCAGAATACAAATATCGAATAAAATGTATAGCTTTCCATAAGAAAAACAAGAGTTGCTATCAGTGTCTGAAAAACTGCCCAAAATAATCAGAAATCTAAAAATCATAAAGAAACATAACTATATTTTTTAAATCTTATCTGTTCGATTAAAATTTGGAATTCCTAAATATTATTATAACGTGTTACGAAAGTATTGTCTCTCATTTCAAGTTGACTTTCTCTAACCCTCGTGGTCGTAATCGCGGTCGCACAGGTGATAAATGAAAGTAGTTTGAAGTGTGACATTTGGTAGCCTCAAAATAGGGCATCCCCTTGGATTTAATTGGCCAACCAGCAGTTTTTCTCATTTTACACGTAGTTACAGTAAGTTGAGACCACGAAGATATATGCCTTTTCTAGGATGATGCTGAATCGTGTTCGGAATAGCTATACTGAGCCTTGCGATTGGTGGTTCTGTATTGGAAATTTATATCACTACTTTTAAAAAGTTTGAAGTATCTGATGGTGCATTCCAAAACACATTGAGATACTTCAAAATACTGCAGAATGCTTCGAACTACTTCATAATGCATCAAGGAGAGTTTTTCTAAAAGTTTATCGGCCAAACTGCTTTAACGTTTAACGAATATGAGCACCTAACCTATGAACATGCCCGGCGACCAGCTTTTAAAACTCAAACATTAACCAGAATATAAAATCGTGGCAAACCAATCAGTTAGTAGGGGAAGGAATTTTAAAACCTTAGTACGCTTCAATAACATCTACCTTGTTCTTAGAAATATTCTTTTCATATTTTTAACTCAAATAAAGGCCTACAGATTTTCCAACATGGAATACCTATAAAGTGATTGTCGAAAGCCCCAACAATAAGTTCAACATTTAAATATTGTTAACATTTATACGCTTACCTCGCTTTCGGCGAAGAACTATGCTGTCATGGCGTTGCAAAGCGAGCACTTATAAATTGGACTATATGAATAAAAAGCTTATTTCCTTTCCACATTTCGAAAATATATCAAGCTTTTAATGGGGAAAACATAAAAATCAAATTTCGTTCAAAATTCGGTGTAACAAATCAATAATTGGTTGTTTTCAAAATTACCAATTCTTGTAAGATGTAATAATTATCATGTACGACTTTTATTTCCAATTTAGGAAATACGAGCCCTGCTGACGTTCATTTCTTTAATATTTAGCCTTTTTGAGACCCCCAAGATAATGCGTTATCCGGTATAAGCTTAAAATAATTTCTAGGATCCGTAAAAGATGTGGTGAAGGGTGTTCAAGCGGGGCTGCTAACAGAGAGGAGATAAGCATGGGCCACGAAGGTGTGTACGCGATGACGCCGATCTCTCCTCTTGCCGCAAACGCGGGTAGCCAATCAACAGATGGATCTCATTTAGGTGGTAGCATAGGCCGAGGTTCCAGTCTCAGTAGGACATCTCTAGGTGAGTTCAAGCTCTCAAGTGTAATGCTATATTAGCGTGAGTGTAATTTTTAACAAATTTAGCCATCCTAAAATACAAGCCTATTTGCTTCCTTCTGACAATTTAATGTTTTCCAGACACAGACGACGCGCAAAAAGGGAAGACTTTTAGAAATTATCTTTAAAACTGTAGCGCCCCTCAAAACAGAACTGTTTGACTTACAGTTGTACATTTTTTATATCTCATCCCAACATATATTCATATTATTTTAATCAAGTAACATAGTGCCTTGAATTATGATTCAGTATTTAAATATTACGATTATATTAAATGCCATTACACTAATTTTTATCTAGGTGGGAACCGTGGAAGTCTGGTATCTGTGGGCAAACCAACAAGTTCCACGCTGGTAAGCTTGGCAGGCCTTTTTAAAGAAAAGGATGAAAGGAATGTGTCACAAACACTGGATCCAGCGTCCAGGGCAGACGATAAATCGGATAACAACGATTCAAGTGAAAAGGAGTACGTCACGACAAGAGTTAGAGTAAGTTTTTATATTTGGCTATTTTTTCAACTATTATTATAACAGCTTCACTGTCATCATCTACCTCTTTCAGATAATAGATCCAAATCTTGTATATGACGCAATCAACTTAGGTAGGAGGATAGATGTTTCATGGCCCACAGAATATATGAGGATACGAGGTGGTAGATCACATTGGAAAGATTGGGTGCCTGAAGTTGGCATGGAAGGACCTGTAAGTATAATAGCTTATAAGCATGCCATTATAGTTTTACAAAAGTTTTATGTTTGACCTTAAGGAAGAGGAGGATCAACTTAAGTCACTTCCAAAAAGAGAATGAAGGTCTCAGATTGATTCCAGATGTTTTGCTGCGATTTATATAACTTTCTGGAGGTTTCCTTGAAAACAATGGATCTCTCGTTGGAAATGTGAAACAATGACGTTTCAAGGGATTTTTAACTTTAATACCATTTTAAACAAACAAATAACAAGTTCACGACTCAATCATAAGTTGTTTCGCCAGTGACCCTATACAAAACATCGGTGCGTGAGTGAGCGATAACGGGAAGCTTCCAACGCATAAATCACCATGATGGCAAATGTGTCAAAAATAGGATTATCGCCACACCGCAGGGCTTCTTTTTCCTTGCAGTGCTTTAATCTGCCATTATTGCACTTGTACTAGGAACAAATTATAGCAAAGCTGTATTTTGGGCAAATAAATTATTATTATTTAAACAATGCAAGAGTTCATCAAAGAAGGAAGGCCCGCTTTTACAGAGGACCTACTCAGACTCTAGGAAGGCCATAAGGGCCACTGTGTCTCCTGACAGGTCCCTGTTGTCTAAATTGACATATGAGACTCTTGGGTGTGGCAGAAGAGGCTACATGCCGTTTCTGCAGAGAGCATGACGAAACCCCAGTGCATCTCCTGTGACACTGTGAAGGCCTGGCAAGGCTACTATTTTAGATAGTAGGAACCACAGGTCGAACAGCTACATGCAAGGCCCTGTGTCAAGGCTATGAAATTGATCAACGTATCAAGGCTGGACACAGTGCTTTAGAAATTATATAGGGGGGTCACAATAGATCCACTTGGGACGCAATGACGTTAAGGCTGGCAAGCCAACCCCTCACTTCTGTAATCTGTAACAATGCAAAATAATAATATTTGCTTCCTCGAATTACAGCGCCATCACAGTAAAGAAGTAAAAAAACTTAATATAGGCCACAGGTGCAACGAAGTGCTCTGCGCTGATGCTTATATCCGTTTTTATTTTCAATGATCCCTTTATATTTGTCTAGAATCTCAATCAAATGCGTCTTCTCTTCGTTAACATTTTTTGTCATAGTCGCATATAATATGTAATAATATTTTGTTGTGAAATACTCTAGTCGAACCTGACAGACGTAATCTACAATCTGCAACTAGCAGAACAGTTTGGTGCTAATGGTTGCTTATACTCAGTTTTTTACTTCTCTGTGAATGCGCCGTAATTCAAGGAAACAAACACTTTATTATGCTTCGTTTATTGATATTTAGCACAAATAAAACAAATCGTCCCAATTTTATCATCAAAATGATAAATAGATACAACCAGCAAAATAATCTTACTGACATCGACCACAGCTTGTGATGACAACCGTGATCCGAAAATTTAAATCTTACCTTGAACGTTCCTCAGAGAAACGTCATCGTTTCACTGTTTCCAAGGATATATCTAATATCCGATGTTCCCAAGGAAGCCTCAAACCCCAAGGAAGGTCTATAAACCTGAATCTCCACGTCCTATTAAAGGCTCGATCGATATCATTACTACTGATAAAACTACCTCATTGCAATCGTGTGTACGACTCGTTCGCTTACGAATTTATTTTCGTAGATTGTCCATAAATGGGTCCCCTGCCACAAGGATCCCAACCGAAGATCCCACGTCGATCGAACAATTTTACTAGTCCAAATAGATGACAAATTTGTTCCTATTGCTGAGAGCGGAGTTCAGAATTTAGGCCCAGAGGTATAGCATTTAAGGTTACACTCGAAATTACTTACTATACACTTAAATCGTCTCCTTTATTCTGTCGAATGGCGACGAAATGTGATGTTTAAGACTTACTTTCCATATATCTCATAGCTATTGTTATTTAATATCATTTATGGACGGATTATAATCGTAGAGTATTTACGTTTTTCAAAAGTTGTGAAAAAGTGAGCAGAGCTTTTATTAAAAATACTATGACATATTTTCAAAATGACACCATGTTCGTCGTCCCGCCGCAAAACCAAACTATATTTATTTAATCTTTTCAGTCAACTTTTGATGCCATTTTTTGATAATAATTGAGATGCTATAATACCAGGTAATCAGGTACCAGATCTCGTCTTTTAGACTACTTGCGGATAGGTCCATTTACCAATGTTGGAGGGTCACACCTATTTACATATGCAATCTATCTTGTATGTGAACCGTTGATATAGAATCTCTAAGGGATATGCCAACATCTTTGGTCACCGGGTCAGGCCAGATTTTCACCGTACAAATCTGTCAAAGTGACATGCGTTTATGTTTTGCACAACCTAGCCGGGTTTGTTTCTTTTTTCTTAATAACGTTCTGAAAGTGCCACTTTTCCTCACGCATTTCACCTTGGAAAGTGCCACTTTCCCACGCTGCCTCGTTCTCATCAACTTGCATGGTGTACCTTATCGTGGAGAAATGAATATTTCGGAGTATTTTTGATAAAAGAATTCTATGTCGATCAACATATCACTAGATACAGAACTGACTGGAAAATAATCCTTAATGTTCGCTTTCAAATTGTAACAGCATCAGCACCTAAAGCTTATATTTCGGAACAAATTTAAAAACTTACTAGCTTTCATAACAATCAAGTGAAGCTGCAAGGTTGCCTTAATAATTATGATAGACTGATTTTTGAAGTGTTTTTTAATTATTCCATTCTGAGACGTATATCTTTATGTTTGCTCAAATTGCAACATCATTTTCACATTTTTTCAGTATTTTCTCATATATTGAGCACAACTGGCACCGGTAAGATTATTTCTATCTAAGAGGTATGGCCTTATATCCTTCTAATGTAAGCCAAACCAAACTTATTTATGCGGGTTCACTAGACTAGGTTTCACGTATATGGTCCCACTTGAGGGCTGAGCGCTGATTAAGGGTTGGTCCACCCTTCGATTTTAAAGAAACGATCCTTGAGTGACCCTCAAATGGAGTTTTAACATTTCCATTAGGCTATAGCAATTTTCATTACAAGTTTTCACTCTTTTCAAAATCTTAAAAATTTCTACTTTTTGAGGTTTTTAAGATTTTTATATTTTCCAAATTTTGAAAATTTCTGATTTCCATAATTCATGGATATTTCAAAACTGTAAAAAGTGAATATTTTGGAGATTTTGGAAAATGTGAAAACTCATGATGACAACTGTTAGTTTTTTGTGGATGGAAATGTAAAAAAAGATCGGAACATTTTTTAAGTATGAAAAATTATACTGAAAATTTTTAGTCTCATTGAAAAATTTCGAAAAATGTTGAGTTATTTGATAATTTTGTAAATTCTGAAAATTGAAAATTTTAAGTACTGAAAGATTCGAGAATTATGTTGGAGATTTTGAAAAATTCGAAGTTATTGAAAATTTTGAGAATTTGTGATGATAACTGTTGCAACCTACTGTGGAATGCAAAATATTAAACCCCACTTGAGGATCACTATGTGTCTTACTATCCATTTCAGCAGTTGATCAGCCCTTAATAAGTGGCACTCATCCCTCACTGGTCGACTATAAATGTGGTCATTACTGTTCATTATAAGACTTTTTTTCTGTAGTGCATCTGAATCAAAGTGTGAAGTTATGGGTGGTAAATGTCGTTTGTTTAATCTAGGTATTCTAGTCAAGTCTTCAAGTTTTCTTTCGACTCTAAATTCAAAAATTGTTGCAAGGCTATTGATAACAAAGAAGCACCCTAGAAGAATCTTGGACCACTCATTTAATATCGATGTTATGCGTTTGTATTGAAATGATTATAAATATTTTTATGATCATTAATGAACGTATTCTACCTCACGATAGCCAACTTATTGCTATATACCCATGTCCACAAACTAATCCGTGATAAAATGAAATAGAGAATAAAACATATACACGTACTTTGAAAAAGTTAGTGTCTTTCATATAGATAGCGCCATCTAAAACACTAACCATCATAAAGTATATATGGTAAAACCTCTAAATTCTCCTAGATGACGCTACGATATCTTATCTTAAATAATTTTTTTAAAGCGTAAATATAGCATTAGGTTTGCTATTTTCGGGCAGATCATGCTAATCATTAAAATGATACAATAAAAGGCCATACTTCTTTCATAATGCGATTTAATACAGTATTTGAATTATATTCTCTGAAAGCTTGAACTTAACTCATAAACCCTGCCGTATTAATAGAAATCAAAGTTTTCTTGTTTCACTAAACCAAAGATATTTTTGCAAATGTCCATTGATTAGAAAATATATATTAGCAAAAAATTATAGTATTTGTCTACCTTGATAGAGTATGTATGAGTAATCTGTTGTTCTTTATATACCTGGTGTTTTGATCGTTTTTTTAAATTTCATTTTAGACAAATACTTATTGTTATTCGATACTGTAAATAATTTATAGAGGAATTGTTATTGCTGAATGTAAATACATTATTTTAGGTGATGTACTATATGTAAAATATTTCTTTTTATATAAATATGGCCTAAGTTATTTCTTGTATATAAAATTTTAAATACAATTGTGGTCTAAAATCATTTGTATCGTTTTTCTATACCAGTAATATCTGGATATAGTTTCAGCAATTTGAAATGGGTTTTAGTATGTATACGCATAACAGAGGGCTGAGGCCTAAATTTCCGTGGATATCGTGGGACTGTAGGGTGATGCAGGGGAGTAGTGGGGACGGTACGTGGATTTTAACGTGTGCATGTAACTTCTGCACATTCTCAGCCCTCCGTCGGGATCCGCTGGGAGATCCGTTCGACTCATCGCTTCTGAAATTGGAGAATCGCGCCCATCCAGAATGAACCCGGGCCCAGGGGAACCAATACGTACGAAGTACATGTTACGAGCAATTACGATGATTAGGTATCGACGTGAACGTCCACTGCAGGCAAATAATGTTGTAAATATTCTAGTTTTATCTCTATTTGTCTAGGCAATGTCGATATGAGGAAAACGGATGAAGATTAACGATGTTCGTAGTAACGGAAAAAATGCATCAAATAGGTTGACTCTACACTTCCTACGCTACGCTGTCATCAGTTCATAAAGAATTATTGTTGGTCCTTTCGATCTATCTTGAAACATGTCGACCAAGAAAATTTAATTAATTTGGTTAAGTCAGACAAACATGCTCATATACAGGGTGACTTCGAAGTTGAGTCATTTATTTTAACAGTGAGTAGATCTGATCAAAAGAAATGTTTTTTTCCTTTACCATATTTCTGGCAAAATTAAAGTAACAAAGTTATAGCCCTTTGGAAGTTTGAGTACCGCCCTGTCTCAATAATATCATGTACTCGTGTTTGGCAACAACGGATATAATCCACCTTATCGGTTCATCGCATCGGAAACAAAAAAGCGAAAGAATTTGGAACGATGTTTATTTTATTCAGTTCAGTTATACATACAGTTAGTGTCAGTCGCGTGTGAATAGTGTCTGTTGCGTGGCTCAAACGAAATAAAAAATGGCACATGTTTATGCGGATCGGTTTCCCAATCGAGTGCAACCAACCCCTCGTGCCTTTGTTAATGTAGTACAACGGGCTCGTGAATCAGGTGACTTCAGACCTAACAGGGGACCTCACGATCAAATACAGGTCCGCACTGAAATACTTGTCGGGAGGATACTTTATAAAACAAGGTAAAAATTTTTTTTTACTTTTTTTTTATTTTTACACACATATTTTGGTTTATCTTCCTTCTACAATCATTATCTGAAAATTAATGACTCAACTTCAAAGTCACCCTGTATATACAATTAGTCTATACTCCATACTCTCCAACAATTGGATAACGCTAACACTAGTTGGCATAGCGGTAGCCTTGTATTGAAACGGTCCAAGGATTAGCGGATAGACCGACGGAAATGAGTGACATGGTTTTTCGTGATTTCAAAGAACATTCAAAAACCATATCTCATTTTTGAAAATTTTCGCTTGTAGAATACTTCCCCGCCCAGTAATTTATGAAGTAAAAACTTGGAAGATAACCAGAACAAAACATCCGAAGACATCGAATAATGCCGTACAAAGTTTTTTTTTCAAGGTGTTTCCAGATAAACTTACGAGGCTAACTTCACAAGACTATATCCGTTAATCCACCCGAGGTCATTGATTACTACTATGACAAGTTCATTTCCTTCAATGCCTACTCCCTACGGCGTTCACCGAAGTACATATATAAGTTATCGTGTTCGAGGCGTTTGCCAAATAAACTTAGTTAATCTCATCAGACAACCCGTTGATCGATCCTGTGACATCGACTACTGATGGAGGTGCTTGCCAAATGAACTCGAGAGGTTAATCTCCTAGACCAGAGATTTCCGATCTTTTTCGGTTTGTGGCCCCTAATTAATAAGATTCTTTCCGCGGCGCCTTAATACATCAGATTTTTTTTCTAAATTTTTTACTTTCTACATAAGCGATTGTTGGTGCAAAAATTCGAGAAATGTTCTAGACTATATCTGTTAATCCATCCAGTGATATTGACTATTTCCATTGGGACTGTTTGCCACATAAACTTGGGAAGTTGGTTTCACCTAACATTCTTTCATCCATAGAATTGAATAATCATTAATTATTACACAAGTGGAAATATAGATTTTCATTTAAAAAATTTGTATAGTAATATAACTAGCAAATTAATATTTCAGAAAGGATTACTTGAATTTAATGAACTAAATAATGATATAAAGTGTACTTGTAATTTAAAGGTATTTAAAAGAAAATTAAAGGAATATTTCATGGACAATGAAAATTCTTAGAGATGCAGATTTTGTTTTTTATTTCTCAAAATCTGTATGTTATTGTAGCAATCATGCTAAATAAATATTAAACAAACAGACAAACTACTACCGTTCAAGATATTCCAAATTTGAGAGAATTTAATTTCACAAGACTATAATCTTAAATCCTGCTGGCGACATCGACTGCTCTCATTGTAGTGTGGTGTGGGACAAATAGAGCTCAATTACTCCAGGCTGTAACCTCCCCAACATCATGGGCAATAGGAGGAAGAAATTTTGTATAATTTTAGCAACAGTATTTTTGTGTATAATTAAATTATTGCTTCCTAATGTTAAGTTTCTCATTGGCGTCACGATAGGACTGAAGCATTTGCAGCCATTTTTATAAAGTAATAGAAACTAGGAAATTTAATTCCTTATTCGCAGAGATCTACTTCATAATCATTATGACCAAGAATACTATTTTAAAGTGAATCAACTTTTTTACTATAACGTGCAAGTACGGATAATATAATACTACTACTAATTTGTGACGTTTTTCTAATGAAGGTCAAGCAACACTATTGGCGATTTTGTCACTGCGTAATTTCAGTAACTGTTGCAAGCATTTTGTTTTATTTTATGATGCTGGTTTTCAATTGTTGCTGAGGCTTGGCAGTGACAAAATGGCCAATACATAGACTGCGCGTAGCAATAAAACAATGGATTCTCTTTGAAATGGTTTCTATACAATTTTTTAACACTCCCTCCTTATATATTTATGTGTCGAAAAAACTTAAATGACCTTTTTACCCCAAAAAGGTCTTAAATTGTAATCTTCACAAAAAATAATAGTAGGGAAATGATAATTTAATTCTTAACAAAATTATTGTCTATTACTTTTTTGCATAGAATCGATGGTTCCAGAATTTCTCAAAGTACGGTTCATTTATTAGCCAATCAAACGGAGATCAATCACCAAAGTAACCACAGAATATTAGTTACATTCAGTAGCAATTTTTGGCCCTGCTGTCATGATGACGCGCAATTAATTGTGTGGAGGGGATAATTTATGTTACTATGCAAAATGACACTAGATTCATAGTAAACATTTATTATCACACATATATCATTAATATCAGACGATCAACCTCTATAAAATTTGTGGTTGGTAAAATTCAAATAAATAAACATCAGGAATGTATTCTGAATATTTAAAAATACATAGAGTTGTAAAACAGCTTATTTCTACTGGTGCTAAAAGAACATTTTGTACTTTACAAAAATAAAGTATGTTGCATTAAAAATGGCTCATAAACAATGAAGGCCACAATCCCGGACTACGTTTGTAATTGTATCAAGCAGACGTCGTTATTTGACAAATAATCTTCCAAAACACATTTTTCCTACAATGATTCCATTTTTTAATAAGGTAGTTTTCAGCTATCTGCCAATAAGTACTTGAAATACTGCTCTGAACCTAGTTTGTTATTTTTTATTTTATTCTTTTCCGCCCTAAACTATGACTTGTTTGTGGAGGAGTGACATGAGGTTGTTTGTCTTAAAATTTCTCAAAGCTACCTTCCCCTCCCAGTAGGTCTGTCTCTTTTCCTTTTTGCTATCCCCTTGAAACAGTTGCTCACGTCAGTAGTAATTTCCTTGTCATATAAACGTAGTTAAGTCATTGCTGACGAACTGCAGAACGCTGTATTGATGAACGCGATCTATGAGAAAGTTAAATTCAGAGTGTTGAGAAAAACGTATCAACGTATATTCCTCGATGAATAGAGAAAAATGGTATTCGACGGTGTCAGATGTTATTCAGTTCATTTAGATTTAGACGATAAAAAAATCTATATTTTGAGCTCCCCACATACTCCTATGTAAAGCATACATCTGTTGGTTGTTGAGATATACACAAAAAATTTGTAAGCAAGAAAGAGAAGGGATTAATGTTTTAGATGGTTTCTCAATCTTATCAAAGTCAAATTTATGTCGAAAGGTTATTTAGGGAGTTTTCTGCATTAACCACTTCACTTTCGTATCGGCAAATTTCTTTTTTGCACCCCAAAGGACAGATGAGATTATACAATTGTAAAATTTTGTCGATAATACAATTTCCATTTTTTCACCTTGAAGCCCCTATTTTTCACATGTCGAAATTCATGGTTTATTTAAAAAATGAATGGGTTATCACTCGGTTGTGAATCTATGTTCTACTTAGGGAGGCATAGGGCTACTGATGAACCTCAAGACGTCTGCTAGATCAAACGGCAAAGAAATCTAAATAACTGTAATCAATTCTCAGATAATAATAGTGTATGGCTGTACAGGAGGTAAAAAATAAGGCAGCGTGAACTTGGAACGCAAATCGTAATACTTTTGGATGGATCGGTTTAGGAGATGGTCCATTGAAAGACTGCGGTATCCCTGCCTCCGATTGAGACTACCCTGGTATCATCGTAGAGGAAATTCACGCCGGTCACGTGGGAACTGTGGCCGCCGTAGGTGTGGCACAAAGACTGAAACATAAAAACGAATACAGTTTATGATGTTTAGACGTTATACCACAGCACATCTGATACGAATATAACACCGCAACTTGCGACGGTTTGAACGTGTACTCCGCCAACAACTGCACATCATCAATCAAGCCCTCCATGTCATTCGGTCAGTTGACAGGGTAATTAGTTATATCTTATTCAAACGGTCAAGGCTATTGTCATGTGACACTGGTTTGTTTCATGATATAATCAAAGAGTAGTTATATCAAGAGAAGACTTCGTGGAATGCCTTTATAATCGTAAATTTTTGTTACATCGCCTCGTAATGATATGATACGATAAAAATTAGTCAGATCTTAAGCTTCAAAATACGTAAGCTTTGACTTGTTTTTAACATTCCATATCAGTAGGCCATTTAACCAAAACTTTGCGCTAGACCGTCCTTGGCTACAGAGGCGCTGGTGCTAAGCTGTCGATTGAAATTACCGAATGTTCAATATGTTGCACGAGTATCCATCACGCTTTGACGTCTACTGAGGTGAACAGCTGATCAGCAAGTGACATTTTTGTGTTAGTCTGCAACGTTGGCTATTATAAATCGGGTGTGAATCCAGCAAAAATGTGTTTGTAGCGTTTTGTTTTTTGTATGCAAATGATATTTTCTAAATAGAAGAGCAAGAGCAAGACAAAATATGACTCTGTCTACCTGGCATTGATGGATCCGCCAGAATTGTTTCGTTTGCCGATAAGGGGAATTCTGAAATATTACTAGATAACCAGCTGCAATACTACCGTGATGAATATTCGTGAAATAGGGTATTCTCTAGTGTCACTACCGCGTGACAGCTGTAAGGTCTACAGAGTATCCATTATGTTAGAATAAATATCTAGTGATATATCAAAATTCCCCAAGTAACCCTCCCACCCCACTTGTTGATCAGCTGTTCACCTCAGTAAACGACAAAACGTGATGCATACTCGTGAAATAGGGAGTATGCACAGGAGCGTGATCATAGTAACATGTTATAATGAAAGCATCGCGCTTTAACGCAGAAATCAGGAAGCATTTTTGATGTCAACGGGCGGTATGCCAAATTCGACTTCACGAAAGCCAGAAACTATTCCATGAATATCGTAGAAAATCGAATCACTCTGCGGAATGTGCGAGGTTCCATTTGAAGCCGGCGAGCAGGTTCTGTAGAAATAGAGCATCTAAAAAATGGAGTAACGTCAAACCGATTGAAGTGACAACAGATTGTATCGGCTTTTATAGAATGGTGAACTCTTGTCCAGGGTATGTAGATATGTTAATGTGATGCCCTTCTAAAATAAGTCACATTTAAAGTTCGCAATGTTTTTGTTAGGATCTGGGTTCCATCAAAACAATATGGTGATAACAAGGACATACCTTTGTTTGAATGACAGGATAGCTATACAGTTTGACCTTTCCAAAATCATCTCCGGTTACCATCAACTGCTTGTCGTGACTGCGATCGCATGCATTCAAGTCGGTTCCGTCTGCAGTTTCTGGCCAAATTCCAACTGAAGTGAAATTTAGTGGACATGTATTAGTGGCCCATTCGACGTCACGAACCATTGTACTCTGCGGAATCTGGCGGCATGTACCAGCGTTCCCTGAAAATTAAACAACATTAAGTTACAATGTTATAAAATTTTGCGTGGTCAATACAAAATAATACTCACAGAATAATAGTTCGTAATCTCCAGAGTTACTCCTTAAAGTTTGGTTGTCAGTAGCCCAATCAACATGAGTTATATAGCTCGAGTGACCCTAAAACAAATTATTCACAAATTAGGTCATAGTGAGATAATAGCGGAACAGTAGCAATTTATAGCGAATACAGTATATGGTATATTGAAGATGTGCCACCGCTAGTTCTTCCTAGATAATTCTTTATGTATCTTTATATTACTTCAATTGACCGAATAACTTTGACTGATAGCTAACTAGTAAGTGTCAGCTACAAAACTAGAATACTGAATAGCTCATTCGAAAAAAACAGAGAAAACAACGTGACAGCTGATCTCTATAAGAACTTGTTGTTTCCACGAGAGAACTTTTGATCACAGTGAATATTTGATAATACTCTCAGTAATTCTGATGAAAAATCTTTATGGGAGGGACAACATAGCTGTGACTTACCGAACACCTTCCAACCCTACTATATTTCGTTCCGTCTTCTGAGACTTGGTATATATAAATGTGGTTATCCCTCGAACCTAGGGCAACCATGGTTCCATCCGGAGAGAACTGTATGACTTGAATAGGCTCTGAGCCATCCGTGTGCTGACCCAACAATTCGCGCGTCTGCGTGTCGAAAATCATCCATTTGCCATTGGTGCAGCCAACCAAAACGCAAGCGCCATCTAGGGAGTAAGCCAGGCTCTGCGCTTGCTCCTAGAATAAAAAATGAACGACAGTTACCAACGTCGCCTCGAAATTGAATAGCTTGCACCATTTGTTCTTATAAACCCGGTTGTGAGTAAGAATCTAGATAGCTCAGCGAGTCTGCGTCAGTAGCAGCAGTATTACAACTACTCGGCGAGAGAATACAATCCAAAGGTGTCCTGGCGAGAAATAGCGATTTTGTCAAACGTTATGTGTGAAGTATGAATGACTTTTTATATCCTGAACTGCTGTTATGTATATCCATTTAAAGTCTGTTTCATTGAGATTGTTGGGGTGAATTTGAACAAATTGCTAATGTAACACCTAAAACGTATCATCGGGATTTTCATGTTGATAGAACCCCATGACCTCGATGGCCAAATGAACCCAAATATGCTGCCCTCATAAGCCCCCGTTTTTGAAAATTATTCAAAGATGAGCCTTTAGCGTATGCATATTGGACGCTTTTTACTGACGTGGTAGCCGAAATTTCAGGTAGGAAGTGTTTAATACATAGTGTGGTTTCATTTGACAAGGAAATCATAGAGTCATATGATCTACTAGCTCCAGAACTAAAAGAGCGAGGTCATTTTTTCTGTATTTGTTATGCACCATGGATTTCGAACAACATACAATTTTGCAAGTTGTAAAAAAATGCCAAAGCTCATAAAATATTGAAATCAGTGTATGGTGATAATGTGGTCACTCTTAACAGGGTTTATAAGTGGTAAGAGCGATTCAAAATTGGTCAGTTGCAAAGTTAGGGACGTTTTTCGATTTCAAAAACCAACGGAAACCTGCAAAGTGGCAAAAACGGTTCGATCAAACAGTCGATTCAGGATTTGAAAGATTGTCGAAGAAGTAAACATCTCGTTTGGGTGCGTACAGAGAATTTGTAAGTGACACGAGTTAGTGCGAAATTTATTTTTAGACTTTTGACTGAAGAGCAGAAGGAAAATCGTGTGTCAGTTTCCTTGGAATGAAAGGGTGGTTTGGATACAGATCCGTACTTTATGGCCGAATTTATAATTGGATATGAAAGCTGAGATTATGGCTATGAGCCCGAAACAAAAATAGAAAGTCTTCAATGGAAAACGAGTACCTCTCCTCGCTTTCAGAAGGCACGTTAGTCAAAGTCAAACATTGCGGTCATGCTATTGTTTTTATAGGTTCCAAGCGGAGCGAATGTAAATTCAGAATATTACAAGGACTTGCTACAAAGTTTTCGAGACAATGTACGGAGGAATAGACCTTATAATGGGCAAACGGTTTCCTCTTTCAACACGACAATGAGCCAGGCTACACATCACTTCTGGTTCGCAAATTTGTGTCAAAAAGATATGACTGTCTACACAAGCTTTATTCTCCAGATTTAGCGTCAAGCGATTTCGGACTCTATCCGATAATAAAAAACATGCTGAAAGAAAAGCATTTTCATTCCATTCCCGAGATTGAAAGAGCTATGACAGAGCAGCTGAAGACCCTTCCGAAAGAAGCCTACTAGACATGCTTCCATCATGGAATCACCATTGGAATAAATACATCACTAGATATTAATAATACTTTGTAGGATTAATTTAAATTTAATGTAAGCTGAATAATAAAAATAAAATAAGTTATTAATCACGCCGGGTATGCTCATACTATTATTGCATACTTTTATTTTCATTCGATAGCTATATGCTATTGAAGTATTCTAGAGTCATAACATGCTGAAAGTCTCAAAAGGGCGTAGTGGTAGACGTTATGGGACTACTAATCAGTCGCCTTGCGCCTTGCGCGTCCCAAGAGAATTGTTCTCTTAGCTATGGACGTTGTGATTGTCCGCGGAGGTACCACCCGGGGAATCTCTAAGGCAGTGCCAGAATGTGTGCATGTTGCGTCCCCCTTTTCCCCTATAGCCCCACGGTACCCATAGGTGCTTAAGCCTTCGGTGGTTCAAGTATAAAAAATGAACGGTACTTGAATGGTTAATGCCAATCGATGGACTATCCGTGAGTGGTATTAGATATCTCACAGAAACAAATCATGAACGACGACGAGTTTCTCGGAGCATACAGATAGACCTATCGGTGTCTGCGACGTCCTCGCCGTTTCTCCTCTTACATTCTTTCGCTGGGTAGATAATACAGAAAAATTTCTATATGCTGAATGTTCCAATCATTATGGAGACTCCATATATCCCTACAGCTGATTGCGACTTTCGTGATTCGACTCGTTTCTTTTTGAGAGTCAAAAATAAAAATGATATGATTAAAAAATCGATACTCACCCCAATGTCCTTGCTCCATAAAATACTATGCGACATGGAGTCCCACAATTGCAGCACCCTGTCGTAACCTGCCGTGGCGAATTGGGGTATGCTAGGGTGTGAGGCAAGACCCCACAGCTCGTCGGTATGACCTAAAATGATGGGATGGAACCCTAGGTCGAAGGTTCCGTTAAGAATGCAGTTGCGGGTTGTACCGACCAGTATTTGGGAACCTTTGCCTTCTGAGACTACCCTGATGCCACCGAAATGACCTTCGATCTGGAATAAATGTTCGAAAATTATAACTGAAGCCAGTATTGATCATCAGAATATATATATACATATACAGGGTCTTTCAGAACTATGGGATCAAACTTATAGGGGTTATTCAGTGTAACAGAAGAAAACATTTGAGTATAGGGACCCATATCCGGAAAAGTGTCACTACGGCACTACGGCCCTAAGTCGCATTAAAATTTAGAAAGACGATGAATTGCCCAGATAGGATTTAATGCATTTAAGTTTTGCCTTTTGTACATGATATCATCACAACAATTTTTCAAAATGTCTTCCTCCAACCTGAATACACCGTTCCTGTGGGGTCATGTAAAGTCTTTGGTTTGCGAAACTCCAGTAGAAACAGAGCAAGACCTAATTGGATGAATTACAGGAGCATTTGAAATAATTCAAAACGAGTATCAAATTTTTAGTCAAGTCCGCCGAAATCATGTGCGACATTTAAATCGGTGTATTCAGGTAGGAGGAAGACATTTTGAACAATTGTTGTGATGATATCACGATATCATGTACAAAAGGCAAAAATTACATGCATTAAATCCTATCTAGGCAATTGATCGTCTTTCTAAATTTTAACGCGTCTTAGGGCCGTAGTGCCGTAGTGACACTTTTCCGGATATGGGTCCCTATACTCAAATGTTTTCTACTGTTACACTGAATACCTAGAAGTTTGATCCCTTAGTTCTGAAACATCCTGTATGCAGAAGTAATAGGTAACGTGACCATACGTCAGGCCTTGAGCAGACCATCAGTCTTTTGGCTCTCTCCATAAGATGTCCCAGACAAAAAGACGTAAAATGGTCCTGCGTTTAAACTGGAGGCGCAAAATTGCCCCGCTTTCAAGCTGGGGACGAAACATTATCACCCTTTCCCAAACGGCCGCCTCCACCCTGCTCTTTAGGTTTATATCCCGGAATTGGCACTACTAAATGACAAGCCCCCGCTTTGACTAAAAGATTACGTTAGTCAGACATTGTGAGATTTAACTTGAATGTCTTGTTTTAAGTACTTGAACGTCTTTTCATAAGACTTAAAAACATTATAAGTTTTGGAACCCATGTACTTTCAAATTACTGTATTATTATGTTAGCTTTCAAACAGTACCTGGCTAAATACTCCAGTAACTTGCAAATTGGGGCCAAATTCCATGATCTTTCCATCTTTTCCGCCACCGGTGATCACACTTCCATCTTTAAGTACACATATGGAAAAGACTGGACCTTCATGTACGTTTTTTATGAGTTTCCATATTGTATTCGTACCTCGTCCCCATACAGCTAAGTTGCCATTTGAATCACCTGCAATAAAATGTTTGCAATTATTCTACGCTGTAGAATCTTTTCTATAATTTATTCATTGAAAATTTTCAAAACGTGTTTCTTGCACCAACCAAAATGTATGTTATCTAACCTATTTTTCTTCTCAAACTAAAAAACTACTTGTTGCTGATTAAGGCTGAAGCGGAAATACGTAACGTGTACTGATGGGTTATCAATGTAAACTCACGTATCAAAATTGATGGATTAGCAGGAGCATGGATGCCTGAGGTAACAACTGTATATTTCTAAATGCATATGCTTCTTAATAGGGGTTACACATTTAGCAAGCTGACGACATTGCTCGTGAGTTTGCGTGATAGGTGGTTAGTTCGTCTAACGTGAGAATGTGTCCTCACCGTTAAGCTCACGTAACATCGAGGAAAAATCCTATCTGTAGCTAATTCGACTTTGAAGATGAAGACAATTGTTATAAAATATGTGAGTCGCAAAATATGTTTTCCGTTTACAAAATATGGTCTCACCTGTAATAGTTTCCCCAGTCTGTAAGAACGCCACACAAGTGACGTATTTAGGTTTATCACGAGTTTCAAAAATACCCATTCGTTTGTAGAGTGTTCCACCGACATCTAGAGACCAAAAGGCTATATGTGACTTCCCACAAGTTACTATTGTGTTTCGATCCAGAGGGTGGAACTCCGCAGCTACGATAGTGTCTACCGAGCACTGAAAAAAATAATAAATCATATACAAAAACATCGCTCGCAAAAATCTTAAAAATCTCACTGAGAAACAGATTTCTGGAGTGATATGTTTTCGTTATTCCGAAAATTTTGTCAATACGGACTCAATAGTTCACTCCTCAACAACTTTTACTTCAAAAAACCTTTTATCGTAAGTTGTGTATGTACCTCTATTTTCAAAAATTTTTATTGTTTTGCATTCGTTTTCGAAAATATCGAATGCAACTGGCTAAGCGTTATTGTAAGAAAATTAGAAGAAATTCACGAATACGTAACGCTCGGGTTATCTATGATATTTTCTGCTGGAATCCACTTTCCTTCTTTTTACGGATTTTACCCACTAATTTCCTATTTTTTTAACGACACAGGTTGGAAAAATGTAAGAATTTTTACCTTAGTTTCTGTTATCCTATATCCGTTCTCTCCTTTTTGCCAGTCCCACACTGATATGTTGTGATCAGCCGCCTCGTCAATAGCCAATAGCAATGCGCCTCCATCAGCCTTACTAAATGATAAACAACATACAGACACATCGAAGTCGTTCATTCCTATTATAGCTTGGGTGTGAAGTGAGACGGAGTTCCATATCCGAATGTGAGGCTGAAAAATGATAGATAGAATTGGATAAGTTATAGCTTGAGGTAGGTGGGAAAATGAGAAAAAAAGGAGAAACATAGAAAGACTTAAGATGAAAATTCTGCAGTACTTGTGTAGATGTATCACTATACTACTAGCCACCAATTCACTACGAAACCTGTGTTTCTATATATCTATTTTATATTCAAGATTCCAGTATATAAAAAATATAAGAGTTGAAAATAAGAGTGTTTTACAACTTACCCTTACATCCCTTTTATCGGGGCCTGCGCATTGACCAGTAGCTACAAGCATCTTGTTAGGATGAATAGCCAGGCTGTAAATATGGTCAAAAATGTTTAATTTCCTTACATCATCAGTAAAAAGTATCCGGAAAACAGGTTTGCAATTTCTTAAGGATGCCATAACATAAGGCAATGTGAAGGTATTTTTGAAATAAACTTCAGTTAGAGCATTTTTCTATGCCTAAGCCACTGTGAAAATTATGCCACTTACCGGGCTATATGGTTAAACAGGAGGAAAAATAACTCCTGAGTTGAAGAACATTCTGGAGTTCTATTAAATACAAACAAAAACATCAAGTGCCTATCAATATGCTTACAAAACTGAAGAATGAAAAATTAACCTAATCCTGGTGTCGTTAGAACAGGGATGTAATAAATATCTTGTTTTATTCACCAGCAGCAATGATACTGACATCATATGGTGAGATCGTTGAAAAAAGCAGTTAATATCGAGGACAGTGAGTTGTCGTACCCACTTACCTTTTGACATCATCTGTGTGCTCCACATAATGCCTCTGATTCTGATCTTCGACATTATAAAGTACCACTACTGAGGCCACGAAATAGATCATCTCGCCAGTAGGCAGAAAATAGAGGTTGGACCTACAATCCCTGCCTCTGTATCCATACGCCCAATCCAGTTTCAGACGTCTAGTTGGAGCTGTGGACACCTTGGTTATCTCATAGTTTTCTGCGTATTGTGTAGGGGCGTACAAGATGATGGGACGGCCTCGGAGATACATTTTGAGCGATTTGTCTTCTTCATTGTAGGTGGCGTCTTTCGTCCTGGAATCAAATAAAAATTCTATTAGGGTAAAAATTGATAGTTACTTTTGCAAGTAACAGCGCTATGTCTATGTGCTACAAGACCGCCTTATTGAATAAAAGTAAACAAGTTTTAGAGAAAATAATATCGATGGACCGGGATCTAGTAGTTATTTATGTGTACAAGGCGTAAAGAGAGTGGTTATGCATAGCGGTATTTAAGAGACATACACGCTTATTCCGCCCAAGATACATACAAAATTTGATCTATGAAGTTTCAAGTTAAACTTAAAAAGAAGTTGACCTTGTTTCGCTTATATTTGCATCGTTGCCCAGCGAGAATTGCTGTATAAATCAGCTGATAACCTCACAAAGTAGTGTACAAAGTTTCCTCATCACTTTTGTTTTACAAGAATTAAGTTTAGTGTTTTTCGTCCGCTTGATTTGTGAACTTTTACGTGAAACTTGAAACATCACCTCCTACATAAACCTAAATCAACGTTTTCGGGTGCGATGCATGTAGAATGTCTTCCAGATCACTTGTCATTTTCCAAGGACTTCCTTTTCTATTGGAGTTGTACAGCTGTCGTTCTAAATTTTTTACATTCGTTCTTTGCTCAATATTTTCGTTCATGATGAAATCGCCGACAGAACAAAGTCAAGCGAGCTCAAAACACAAAATAATATTCTTGTAAACAAAAGCGACGAGGAAACTTCGCTCACTTACTTTGTGAGGTGATCAGATGATTTTTATATCAGGATCAACCTCGATCTGCCATTTGTTGGTAAGTTACAGAGCTAGTCCGGGAACCTCTTCAAACACTCTTGTATATTCTGTTCATCGTAGGTTAATTAAAAAATAGCGCTACAGTTACTTTTGTGGCCATAGGACATAAAGGAGTTCGTGTGCTGAAAAATTGTACTTAACGCCCAGAGAACCTATTCGACCGGCCGTGGATAAAGATTATACATACAACATATTTTATAATGTTGACTAGAACGGTATACTAAAGATACTGTAGGTATACACTTTTAAGATAGGACTTGCGTTTACTCACAATTTATAGAAACCCCTAAAGTGTTTACATGATTAAATTACTGTGTTGATACAAGTTTAAATGAAATCGAACATTATATTCCTCAAACAATCCCTGCAACTTTGCATTGGTCCAATTTAAATATATAGCAAATTCGTAGAAATTGAAAAAAATAAAATGATGTTATGAACCTTAAAGGGCATTATATTAAAAATAAGAATATTGACATCTCAATTTTGAAATATTTGGTTGGAAACAGAAACATGTGATTTCGTTGTTTAGATTTAAAATCATATTATTTCATTTTATAAGTACCTATGAGTATAAAGAAATAATCATAATATGATTGTCTGAAGGAACTAACTCTATCGGTAACTGAGCAGCAATAAACCGTAACTGCAAAATTGGAAGGTGATCATCTATTTAGTTTTTGAAATCTACCAAGGAAGCTAAGCGTATGGAAATCCAGTAGCGGAAGTAAAATCTGTAGGGCTCGAAGCACAAAATTCATATAGGGCCCTCTATGATTTAAGAGCGGCAGGGTTATTACGTAGAAAACCTATACAGCGTGATACAACGGCTCTGCATTTTCTCGGGTAAGGTATTTTTCGAAAATATCAAAGTCAGGCTTCAGTAACTTTCAGCAGGTGATTCAACAGTGACCTAGAATTTGACTTTGGCCTCCATCTTCAAAGTTAATTTATTTTCAACTTTATTTTTTCAAATAGTAACCCTTATTTTTGATGCCACCAATCGAAAGAAAAGATAATTTTACGTTCAAACTCAATTGAAGTTTAAGGTCAGGATGACTACTAAAGGTCAAATGAAGATCAAATGTGCGCCGCGTAGGAGGACCTCTATAAATCTCACAGGATTAGTGATGGAAATAACTATCAAGGTCAGGTCTGTAGTCAATTTTGAGTGACTAAGATTTCACCTTCAAGGTCATTTCAAGGACATTTTTTAACGAGCACCGTAGTTCCCTCGCTAAAAATTACCCAAAGATCTGGCCTGGACAGGTATTTTCGTCACTATTCGTGTGAGTTTTCTAAAGTTTTTCCCGCAGCACACATTTGGACTTTCCTTTATGTGACCTCTAGTGGTCACCTTGACCTTGAGTTCTAATACTAATTTGAACATAAAATTTCCGGTTGTCTGGCATGTCGCTATCAAATAGGCGTCTCTATTTGGAAAAATAGTTGATCTTGAAATCACTATGAAAGTGAGGTTCAAGGTCAAATCCAATATCACGGCTACTTGTGAAAATTTACTAAAGACCTGACATTATCTGTTATTTTCGTCACGATCTCTGCGAGATTTCTAGAGGTTTTCCTAGCAGCACATATTTGACCTTTATTTAACCTATTTGACCTTCAGCGGTCATCTTGATGTTGAATTTCAATGCATATCTGAATGTAAAAATTAAGTTAGCTTTGGGTAAGTTTTAAAGAGGAAAGTACGGTGTTCGTTGTAAATGATTTTTATCCAATACTGTTATAAAGAAGATGTTAAAGTCACTCGTCAAAATTTACTGAGGACCTGACCTTGATGGCACTCTGACCTTGAACTTCAATTCATATTTGAACGTAAATTTTCCTCTTTCGATTGCCGGAACCAAAAATGGGATATCCATTAAACAAAATGAAGTTGACCTTCACTCCCTGGTCAAAATTTACTAAAGAACTGACCCTGATAGTTATTTTCATCACTAATCCTGTAAGATACATAGTGCTTTTTCTAGCAGCTCACATTTGACCTCCATTTGACTTTTAGTGGTCACCACGACGCTGGTCTTCAATGTGTATTTGAACAAAAATATTTTCTGTACTTTCGATTGCCGGCATCAAAAATAGGGGTTTCTATTTGAAAAAATATAAAGTTTACCGTAAATTAACCTTGAAGATGAAGGTCAAGGTCAAATTCAAGGTCAGCGTTGAATTTCTTGTTGACAGTTACTGAAGACCTGACCTTGATATTTTCCAAAAACACCTTACCCGAGAAAATACAGAGGGACTTTTGTGTGTGTTCCAACTTGACGTCTTGTAGGAGAACATACATAATGTAAAAAAATTACATAATGTTACTTTTCAAACGTATTACCCCTGCGTGAGCTGGTGTATGGGACTCCATAAGCCGCACTCTTAGCCACCCTTGAGTCCACCAGCATTCCTATTTAATTGCTGCTAAGCGTGTTGCGTGTGGTTGTGTACCCGACGAATTCCGAGAACTTTTGCCATTGGTACACTTTTGTAAATAAATTACAAACGAATTCTATAGAATGAATTTGCATATTGATTCGATCATTGATTACGGAAAAAATCTTCTATATAACCGCATTTTGTGGTATTTTAAAATTATGTAACATGTTGAGATTTGTTCATAATAGAAAAGATTGTGCTAACTCAGTTATATGGACTAGTATAGAAAAAATGAAACATCGAAAACCACAAAATATAATATATCAAAAATGGGTAACGTGCATTAAAATACTAATTTATAATATTTAAAATGCATGTTCCTTTCGTTTAATGAGAAGCATGTAACCTACGTAGCATATACGGTAAATATTTGTATTTGTCCAGACACATAATCCGTGAGAATATAGCCATATTCTAAATAAGGCTATATAAACACTCCGGTAAGTTGTTAATTGCCTGTTGAATTTTTCATGGAGTCCACTCTTTACCTTCGAGTTGTAAAGTAGGCTAATAAATAGTTAACTAAACGCGTACTATGGAGACATTTTTTATAGGTTTGGTTTATACTATATTTATTGAAAATGTTACACGCGATATGCTTAACTACCCGAACGCTATCGATTGTACGCTATATTCCTGCACGAAACCGTCTACAACGTTGTACAGTTTCGTGAGGACGCACCCATCTACACTCCTATTTGTTAAAATATTTGAAAAATATGCATGATATGCTACGACTATCATATAATGTACAATAACCGTAATAACCACCAAATGCAAACCACCCAGGAATAATAAAAGTTCTATTATCTAACGAACTGGATAACGCCAGTAAGTGATGGCAAGATCACAGAGGTTTTAATTAGCCGTATCATGACCATAAGAAATAAAGAGAAAACATAAGCGCCATCTTATTTGATATTTAAGTCAATGATAGATAAGTGTCGAATAAGGTTAACGTTTACGCCTGCAATACTTGTTGCAGACTCTGACCATATGAGTGCAAAACATTATGTGACATAGGGCTGAGTAGAGAAACATTTTATTGATCAAGACCAGCCATCTAAAAAAGAAAATGACAGAACATAATGGAGACTTTACGACCAGTTATTTACTATTTCTGTTGTGGCCTTTATTTATAAGTGTAGGGTACAATAGCAAACCTCATTGGCTACAACGTAAAACTGTGCCCTAAGTAGTCCAATAAAAATGAAGGAGGCCATCAACTTAAAAAATCAAAATAGGGTAACAGATGTTTTAAGTTTCTCCTGTCTTGAAAGTTTGTAAATATACTAAGTGACATATAAATCCGAACACCCAGTTTAAATGGTTTTATTTTAATAAAATTTTGTACAAGTACTTAATGAAGCATAATAAGTAAATGATAAAAATTTCAAAAGGATTGCACTGCTTTAAAGCCCTTTGACCTTTAATAATGTGTGGATGCACCCTGATGTGCTACGCATTCTCCAACGCGCCTAGGCATGCTTCTGATCAGGTGGTCAATGTCCTCCTGTGGTATCTCATTCCAGGCAGCCACCAACTCCTCTCGAAGTGCTTCTAGAGTCTGAGGAGGACGTTGCAAATTGAGCAATCTCCTACCCATCATATCCCACATGTGCTCAATTGGGGATAAGTCGGGAAATCTTGGTGGCCATGGTAACAATGTGACATCATTATGTTGAAAGAAGTCTATTGTGACTCTTGCAACATGTGGTCGGGCATTATCTTGTTGGAAAGTTGGATCTGCCAGGGTGTCAAGATAGGGTAAAACATGGGGTTGTAGAACTTCGTGGATATAACGCTGCGCGTTCATGTTACCTCTGATGAAGATTAAAGGTGACCTGGAACCATAAGCTATAGCACCCCAAACCGTAACTCCAACAGTGTGATGAACATGTCTTTCAACAAAAAACTGTGGATTCCTCCTTTCACCACGTCGCCTTCTAACCCTGGCACGACCATCGTGCATGCCTAAACAAAATCGAGACTCGTCACTAAAGACAATACTGTTCCATTCCTGATCCCAGAGTGACCGTTGTCTGCACCACTCAAGGTCGGTGTTCTCGAGTTAAAGGGAGGACCCAGTGGGGCCGGTACGAAAACAAGCCAAAACTTCTCATTCATCGGTAAACACTTCACATGCCAATAGGTCTTCCGTGTTCTGCAAACCATTCATTTGCAATGGACCTGGTAGTGGAGAAACGGTCCCTTAAGGCCAATAATCTTAGGCGGCGATCTTCACGGTCTGTTGTTCTATGGCGGCGTCCAGTGCCACTTGCTCTTTGCGTACGGCCTTCTCGAAGCCATGCCTGACAACACCTAACCACAGTGTCTACACTTCTTTGCACTCTAACTGCAATTGCCCGAAAAGAAAGTCCAGCTTCCCGAAGTCCCACTATACGGCCCCTATCAAACTCACTAAGTTGACGAAATCGTACAGGTCTCCGTACTATAGGCATCGTAACCGATCGTAAAGGATGTCAAGAACCAATATCCGCCAACGTTGGTTCTTTACTGCGGCTGAAATATTCATTTTTAGAGCTTTAGTGAATTAAAAAAAAACAGTATAAAAACCGGAATGTCCAACTGATAAGGCTGAAAATTTTTTCATTTGTTATTTACAGTAAGATAAATACATTCACCAACTTTTATTAAAATAAAACCATTTAATCTGGGTGTTCGGATTTATATGTCACTATAAAAAATGATTAAGCATACGAAAAATTGTACGCTCGACGCAAGCAAATATGAACCAAAATATACATAAAATGTAACAATACTTCTAAAAACATCGCTTACCATAAAATTTCAAAAGCTGGAAAGAAGATGAATGGTTAAGTTTCAAAGATTTTTTTTCAAGGATATGCTAAGCGTTTTTAAATTAGGAAAACCTACTAAACGGTAAATCTGACCGACGGTGTTAAGACTAAACTGGAGCTGTTAGTGTAATAGCGAAGTTCATTGGTTAAAATTAAAAAACCTTAATGAAAAAATGTTCTTCAAGTAATATTATTGGCAAAAATTGAGCCTTCCACATATGCGTGAAAAGTAGAAAAGAGGAATTGGGAAAAAATTTATTTACAGCAAGCTGTATCAACTACATAAACTATTAAATAGAAAATAAGCTTACCTTTTGTACCTGCGCATATCAAGATTGCAACTAGTTATGGCAAAATCGGAACGCGTACAGTGAAAAAGGTGGTGTTGTGTTATGTAAGGACAAAAACATTATTTGATAAAGCACAGGAAACATCGATTTCCTGTCATTATTTTCTGTTTTATTGCAGACGAGCTAAAACAAACAGGCGACAGTCATGTTTGGCCTACCACGAAGACAATAACGAACACCGAAAAGTTGCGAAATATCGAAGGATTGTTACGGTAAGAAGTGATTAGAAAGAAAGAAAAACAGGGCAGCAAGTCACAGTCATAATTGGTATTTGCAACGGTAAAATAGGAAATAGATATCAATTTTCCATAAAACAAGGTGATGCTCGTAATACAAATATACAGAATTAACCAAATAACTTAACATTCAAAATTCAAGATGCGAGTACCTGTCTTATAAAAAAAGTTTTTTTTGTAATAATCCTAATAAAGTATAGGTAAGTTGATTTTGTTGAAATTTTCCGCGCAAATAGTCTACATTATTGATCAGAGCTCAACAAACGAGGAATTTTAAATGCATAATACAGAACCAAAATTTTAATGGGCTTAAACCTGGCGACTGGTGGCTCACTGCCAATTTTATTTGATCTTCGGCTCTTACCAATGCGCGTGCCAGATTTCAATAGCTTTTAACGAAATCGGTTTATTTTTTGGAAAAACATTTCCCAAGAGAGTTTTCTGATTGGCTATGAATGCTGTGATTGTCCATAGTCAGGAGGTCTTGGACTGTTGAATGAGGAGGTACCACCCGGCGGATCTCTAGGGTCGGGCCAGAATGAGTGCATGTCGCATGCACACGTCTTCCCTCGCTAGAGTGCGTGTGACATCATGGCCTGTTCCCCTGAACCTCCGCTATAGCCCCATGGTACTCACCAGTGTTTAGGCCCTGAGACTTCGTGGCAGTTCATATTCTTTAGACCAGACGTTAATGAATATTTTAAATTCAACATATCTAACACATTTAACAAAAATATGGTCTTTCCTTGGATGTATGGAGGAGTTTCGAAGTCAGTACTCTCTCATAGATATTGGAGTGTAAACTTTTGTTTAGTGCTACAAATAAAAAATGAGGCACCAAGACCAGATCGTAAATCATATCAAAGGTTCATTCGACCCGACTGGTCAACCAATTATTAACGAGATTAATACGAAAAACAAAATGACGAGCTATGTTTTAGATCTGTTACAGCACCAAAACCAAATTACAAGTTATACCAAAAATCCCTCTACGTTAGAAAACGTTTGGTGAAATTAATGTCAAACTAATCAGTTATTTGGATAATTGGAGATGTCTTACATTATATATATATATATATATATATATATATATATATATATATGTTAGTATGCATGCCACCTCGCTCGACACAAAATGGTGAATCAAGTATTTCGGCAACAGAAAATCAAACTGATCATGCAAATAATTCATTAATAAAGATTTTTTTTAGGTATCTTACATATTTGTGCGAGTGGAGAAGCACAGCACCGGAACCAAACTACTACAAAGACCTAGGGTAGACAGAACATCACTCGATACGAATGGTCAACCACGTATTGAGGAAATACCGCATTAATGCCGCGGCCCCGGCCTGACGCGTCATGAGTGAGCGCAGTATTATTATTGCAACCTGTTGAATTTCAGCAGTCGGTGGTTTGATACGAGTCTAGACGAATAACGCCTACCTTGGACGATGTCGTGTATGATGGAAGCGGCTAGGATGTAACGCCGTCATCAGTTCATAAAAGATTATGCATCACTTATGGCGCTTTGACAGACTTTTGACACTTCGTTAAAGTTCGCTACGTCAGCCGAAACAACAGGAGTTTATACATTGTCGAAATGGTCACCACTTTCAAGTAGTCATTTCAACACCACTACAAAGCCCACCAATATTTTATTAAATAATACCTCCGTATAATTGTATATTTAAATGGATGATACTGATATTATATTTTAATATGCTATTACTTTCAGAAGTGCATAAAACTTAAGGAACCAAAACGTTTGGATAAACTTCCCTTTTATATAATATTGTTCATGCTGTTTTATCACTAAATTTGGGTGGGTGATTCACAAATATTAGGTAAACTTGTTTATGGTTTTGTGGTAATGAGCATAAGCAATGAATTGTTAAAGTCGACCTAAAAACAGTGGTATTTACTTAAATTATATGTAGATTCATTTTTGGGATAGTACAAATCAATTCGCAACAAAGTGTGGTGGTCTAAATTACGTTTTTGAATTATTTCATTTCTTGAAGGTTGATGAGTCTAGTTACTGTATGAATTAGGCTTGTTAAACTAATAAGTGTTTTATTTTCTGCATTCAAATGTCTTTTGAGGGAGTTTGTATGAAATCTCTCATATCTGAGACAATACGTGTGACTTTTTACGACGTAACAGCATGCAATAAACTTCAAGCGTGGAAATATGCAAGATATATACTTCCTGTGCAAGAAGGTGAAAATCTGAAGATCACAGCTTACCAAGAAATTTGCGAATATACTACCATGCTAAGTTTAGAAATGACGTTCTTATTTTGGTTAAAACTTAATTGACGAAACTTGATAAAACAGTTGGAGATTCAACTTAACTTTGAAATTGGTTCTCTCGATTTTTAAGGCTTAATGATTTAGCTCGTGATGTAGCTGGTTTACTGCTGTATAGTGCTGTTTATTCATGATTATAAATAAAGTAACTACTACCAGTAAAATTTGATCACAATAAACGCAAAAGGTGAGGCCACAGTCTCGAAATCTTGCTGACTCGCAAAAACAAAAATGAATGTATTTTGTCTCAAAAGGATACCCATTATTATCTGTTCAATAAAACGATGATGTAACGGTCGGTCTTTTTTTTCTAAACATTCGAGTATATAAATCAAATCACAAAGAAAAATTGTGGGAGTATATCTGCTATTGTTTGAAGATGTAACTCATCGTTATAAATATACATAAACTTGAATCAAATGACGTGAATTACATGCATTTGAATGACTACTTAATAGAGGTTACAGTAGCTCGTTAATTGCAGTTTATTAATTATACTTATTACTCGATATATACATAACGGTCAAAGAATTCCCACAATTAATTGTTTATTTTTCTCGTGATAAAGGAGACTGAAACATTAATGAACTCAAGTAAGGAGCAGAAGAGCTATGATATCAGTAACTTCAAACTTCCACAAAATAGTGAACAATAAAAGTACACAATAAAATTAAGAAATCGAGTAATAATTTTCTGATACACGTTAGAGACCTAAAAATACGCGAATAGTTGACGTTATTGGGAATACCAATAATATCTCTCTAGCCACTTGCGACAATATAAACAAAACAGATTATCGTTAATATATTTATTACCTCATCATAGTCAGAGGTATCGGTAAAATACGTTATACTGGAAATGGAAAAATGGGATTTGTTTCACCGAACAGTTTTTTGGGTGCAAAATTGATGACATTACGTTAAAAAAATAATATCGGTCAAATGTCCACCCCTTAAGTTTATAAAAAATTGTGCTCGTTGGCATTCTGAATTCCTCTCAAACCATCTGGCTCTAAGTTGACGCGTTCCTACCGCATGCCAATACACGATTTTCAATGCTTGCAAGTGGCTTCTTGGAGTAAACCCCATACCTATCTGAAGAAGACCAAAGGAAACAATCTTGGCGTCACCTGATCTGCAGCAACAATTCAAAATGCTGTAAAACAAGCCCATTTCCAAAATAATGGCATTCAAGTTACATTATGACATTACTTTTGTCGCACCTTATATACAGCTAAATATTATTTCTTCAATCACGGTTGATTTATTCAGTAGAATTATTATTCAGCTGAAGTTTTGTTCAGATTTGCATTAATTTTTTAAATAATGGATTGCTAAAGTACCATAGTATCCTTTGCACAATTTTAGTTGTAAGAACTTTATATTTTCCTATTATTTTAGCTGTAAATCATATGCAACAAGTAAATAAAGAAAAACAATATAGTAAAAATAAAAAATAACATACCCATGCTTAAAATTCGGGGGAGCATAAGAGCTAGTCTTATTTGCAAATAAATTTAAAAACGACTTGGTGGAAAACCTAGAAAGAAAAAACATACATAAGCACATGAAAATAAAACAAAACAACTTCAAAACTAAATGACAAAATCAAATGAAGCAGCACATGCAAGTTAAATCAAACAAAAATATAAAGCAATATTTCAACGTTGCGATAATTACAAAATAACAATATTTCAAATACTAGCAAATATTGAAATGAAATGAGTCACAAGGAAAATAATATGAAATTATATTAAATTGATTGGTAAACTGATGTTAAGTGTTTTTAACGGTAATGTCTTCAATACAACTAGACTCGAGAACATGCACAATGCACAAGAATAAGAAAATACAGATCACCAAAGAAAAGACTTTTTTCGAACATAACTGTTTTTGGAAGGAATGCAGCATTGACTACTATTGCTTCTTCTCATAAATTGTTTTTATAGAGATATCGATCAAGGAATATTTTGTGTTGTAATTCATTAGCCTATGAATAGCGGGAATAGCGTTATTTTTTTGTACCACATGTTTCCACATAATGGCCCACAGTAGAGCTTATAGCTGAACTTAGCCCTGAATGGAAGTCGTTTTATTATTAATAAATTTAGTTTCCATTGCAATTATGCATTATACTTAAACTTCACCGCATTTTTTAGCAGATGATTCTAGGAATAGATTAAAAAAAAAATTCAGAAAGAAAAAACTACATTCAGCTAGAATGAAGGACTGCAGTGTGTTATCGAGCCCTTTCAAATACACCAAGGTCACTTAATTAATATATCTAGCCACTTGGTTGACCCGTTATGCTCCTTATACTGATGAGATTTCTAACATAAGTATGCGGACAGTGTTGGGTGAGTCAAAACCTATGGCCTGTATGATATCCATACACTATATTTGCTATGGGGCCATCTAAAAAGCAGGAAAAGTGGAAGTTATGTAAATGAAATAATAGCCGATTGAAGGATTGAAACCTTGGGGTATATCTGGAGCCGTCAGTTTTAGCAATTTTTATAGATCGAGAAGCCTCAAATGTGTTTTTGGCTGCTACAAAATATTATTTCTGATAAAATTTGAAACGGAATGGTTTTTCAGCTATGATTAAAAAACAAAATAGTTGATTGAATGAATCATTCCCTTTTGCTTCATACTTAGGAAACCCCGTGTACAGCTAAAACGCTACAATTGTCTAAGCTTTACCCATGACTTTCTCCCATAATTAATCAAAACTGGACTATAACAAGCAATACAGTATATAACTTACTTGGAATGCATTCCATTGCCAGGAGATCCAGCGTTGGCATGGTTAAAGTCCCCCGTGGAACTCCACCGTTTGTGCAACGTTGAAGAGGAGCCATTGCAAGGGGGCGTGGACGGCGCTTGGACTACGGAGCTGTTACTGGGCCTGCGGGCCCCATTCACGGGCAGCGGAGTCGCTCTTGGGGACGGAGAGGGTATGGGGCTTACGCTGCTGCTACTGTGGCCGTCGCTGTGTAGGCTGCCTGTAACAGAAATGGAAAAATAAAAGCTACTAGATCAGTACTACTAACGTTAGGTAGTACTAAAATCGAATCAAATATCTATATCAAATATGTCTCGTATTTTTTTAGTAGTTGCGGCATCTCGCTACTTAGTGTTTTACCTTCGCGGCTAGTAAAATGTTAGATATTTGATATGAATCCCTAATAACATTACAAATGAGAAAGAGTGGGTGTTCGTCACCCAATCACGTCAAATGGTTGAACGGATCTGGATAAAATATGGTACAGACATAGATTATATTATGAATAAGCACATATGCTCGTTTATCCCGGGAACTAACTTTAAAATATCTATTTCATTTGTTTGGTATTTTGTACTACTTCAAGTTTAATATTGTCGATAAATAGTTATCGGGTTATTTGTCATGCAATCTTTAATGCTGTTGAACGGGTGAGGTACTTTTATCTGTTATCTAGCAAACTGTAATGCTGTGTGGTCTAATATCTTCTTTTCTATATTTATATGGATTGTCTATCCAGTCTGACAGCATCACGTTTGAACCACAATATGGAGAAGTAAAACATTGTACACTAACTAACTGATATCCGAGGGAGGTTATAGGCATGTTTTTTTTTTCACGAACTAATCGTCGAGTTTGCTATCAACTGTTATAGTAAGTATCAAAACCTCCACGTCAGAATCAAGCCTATAACTGCGCGGCCAGTCACCCCCTACTCAACCTGCGACCGTCAAGCGATACATACATTTTACTTTCTACTAGCTATTACCAGCTTGACTTGACTAACAAAAAAAAACGTTTTAGGTAATGCTATCAGCTGGTAAATTCGCGGGGCAGGAAGCTAGCAATCCATAAGTCGGAAAACTTTAGGAAACACGTACGGAGCTGATGTTTTTTGAAAAAAAACTGAATTAAAAGGAACGTTTTCTGCATTCTTGACTCCTCTAAACTATTTTTCTAAGAATGCCTCAGGTGCGAAAAATAACAAAAGCACATGCATATAATTTTGTAGACCAGTTAAATTTCCAACAAAATTGACACCTTATCCATTTCTTCCATTGACAGGTTATACGTGCCTTATATGGTTAAATTGGTTTAACTTAGATACTATAATACATATCTACACTAATAAACCTATGATTCAAAATCAGTTTATATCAATGTTTGACAATAGACGACTCGAGAGTCTATCGCAGATCCGAGGTAGATTTTTTGTCATAATTTTGGGTGGTATCTCAACCACAAAATACTTAGTGAAAATGGTTGATATTAGGATACGTACTATAGTGACCTCTTGAAAGTCAGGTTAAGACGGCAAGACTATTACGTAATGTACGTATTTTAACTCATGAACCCATAGATCCATATGTGCGTTTATTTAGGTAAAATCATTCTCCACAATCCCCTATGTATGGTTTTCGTTATCATTTACAATTTGCAGATCTTTCGTCATTTAAACGTTTTTGTCAATTACCCTGCTCCGACAAAAAAATGTATTTTTAAGATATAACAGCAAAATACATTGTGTTTCAGAAAAAAGTGTCAATGTTTCTAGGGTAGAAAGTTTTTATTCAAAAACAGCTCCCATAAACACAGGTCCTAAAGTATTCCATTGGCCAAATCCAGGGTGTTGTAAATTTCTATGCCACTGATTAAACTGAACAAGGACAAAACATGGACATTATCCATTAACGGTATGGTGAGTTCAGACTACTCTCCTTACAGGGTGCATATAACTTTTAAAATCAAAATTCTCCAACCTCATCTTATTTTCAAAGTAGAACCTCAAATATTCAAACCAGTTTTTCTCCAAAAGGAGTTGTTAGACAAAAATTTGCTTTCAATATCTTCGGATACTTGGGATAAATCAACAGATTGTTCCCAATGGGGCGTGTTCTGCGTATTTCATTTATAGCACCGAGAAAGACGTAAAATAAACGACAAAACGACAATTTGAATAAAGACACCTTTTGTATATTTTAACCACCACGAAGGGTACCGTGGGGCTATAGGGGGATACAGGGGAAAGGGCGGATGCCGCACGGTCTGTAGAGAAGGAAGATGCACACATTCTGGCACCGCATTAGACACCCGCCGGGTGGTACCTCCACGTTCGATAGTCAGCGACCGTTCACCACCTACGGGCTACAACATCCATAGCCAAGAGACAAATTCTGTTGGGAAGGGATTCGAACCCGCGCACCGCACGGCGACTGATTAGTAGACCCATAATGTTGATTTATCCCAAGAATCCGGAGAAACACTGGGATAAAAAAGTAATTTTTTGCAAGAAAAACACTTCTCAATAGAGGAGATGTGAAATTGAATGCCCTACTCTGAAATGCAATAGAAGTCTTAAAAAAGCGATAGCGGTAGAAAATGATGTTCTTTTTTCTTCTGTAAGGACCAAAATTTCCATATTTCTACGCCACTGATGTAGTCTCAGGCACAAATAGTTTTGTATGTATTGTCTATGAGGTCAGTTCTTCGTGTCTTGATTCACTACTGCAAAGATATTTTTTTTCGATTTCGAAATTATAATTTCTACAGCCTGTATCTCTGTTTAAACGCCCATTTTATAAGAACGTGATATATTTTAATCTACTTTATCACATAGAAATATTGACACGTTTTCTGTCTGAATCTGAAAAATATTATACGGCCCCTAGCATATGCTAAAACGTATTGAAACTGCTGCAGCGATTACTGAGAATACACGGTAACAAAAATATAAATAAACAAGCAAACTGTAGAGGTTAGGTGACATACGAGTATTTTCATTATAAATGTCAAACCGCCAAAAAAACGTATATATCGCTATTGCAGGCAGCAGCGGTGGCCGCAGTAGTAGACTCTTCGGTATCCTGATCAGCCGCCGTGCGCTGTGCGGGTACGAGTTCCGTCCCAGGAGAAATTTTTCTGTTGGCTATGGATGTTGTGATTGTCCGTAGGTGGTAGACGGACTCTGACTGTCGAACGCGGAGGTACCACCCGGCGGATCTCGTAGGCGGAGCCAGAATGTGTGCATGTTGCATGCACACGTGTTCCCTCGCCAGAGTCCGTGTGGCGTTCCCCCTTTCCCCTGTATCCCCCTATAGCCCCACGGTACCCAATGGGTGTTTACGCCTTAGGCCTTCGTGGTAGTTGGAGTATAACTTACCTGTGGATTGATAGTGTACAGCTCTTCTTTGGGGTAAAGAAGACCCGTTGCCGCCATAGGCTCTTCTCGTTGGCGTGTGCGTATTGGAGCCTTGATAACTAATAGGCCGCTGTCGTTGGGCTGACAGATGTGAGTCTTTCCCATTGATCTTGACTGGAGTTCCAGAAGAACCGATAGATGACTGAAAAAAGAGTTGGGTTTTAGAAATCGCATTTATAGTCTAGTGTCTAATCAAAAAAATCGCTTTAAGGAAACTACGTCTAAAGGAAGGTCACGTTTCTTCAAAAAAGTGTCTTGAAATTAAATCAAATTTAATAATGCAGTCCACGGAAACAAGTAAAACCAAAACAACATTCTCGATTAATAGGATGAAGAGGTGCAAATCATCTCTCTGTGGGGCCTTTACGAAAAACTTTTTCACTATCACGTTTTTTTAGAATATCAAGCTATATGCTTGACTAAGTAAATAGCTTCGATCGATTGTTAAACATATTACGTGCGTTTTTACATAAACGTTTGATAGCCAATTCTGGCTTCGCGGTACATAATTGAATATAACAAAGAAACTTCAAAAAATCACCTGAACAGTAATATGGTACAAAAGACTAAAAATGTGCGCTCAAGTGAGAAAAAAATGCAACCTCAAACTTCGCTATTTCAAGGGCAAACAGAGTAAAAAGATTTGAAAAACCCATTACAGATTTCATATATCACACCTAAAAACAGTTACGATTGAGTTACGTTAAAAATAAAAATCAGTTAATACTTTTGGGTTTTATGATGCCTCAGACAAGTTTTATGGCCGAGTTTTACAATTAATTATGATATCAGTGACGGCATAAGCTAACGGGGGCCTATAAGTTTTCGCGTGTATTTGCTTAACCATTGGGTGTCTAAATTACATTACATTACACTAGTATACGTATAGCCAAGTTGAAAAACAGAAGATAGGAGCTTAAGCTATCGCACGGATCTATTAACGTAGCGTGCCTTTGAGTTATGCTAGTCCCTTCCGCTTTGGTACTTGAGTATGGCATGGAATAGGCCAAGATCAAATGCTTCTTATTACACTTATTAGGCAGAAGTCCTATAAGATTTACTGTAAACTCACCGCTGAACTCCGGACCCCTTCCAAAGTAGACAGCCTGCGTAAAGCTTCCGCTAAGGTAGCTTTGAGACACACCAACTCATCCCCTTGCTCGAGCACTTTTCGTTCCAGGTCTGCCAACCTGCCGGCCACTGACCGGTGTTCAGCCTCAAGCATCTCATCTGTAACAACGACAATAACAATTAATTTACTTTATAGCAAATTACAATAACTTATTGGAAATGGATGTAGAAGTAAAAATTATTTTCTGTCTTTTCAAAATAAATAATTTGTCGAGATTATCCCTACTTTGCTAATTATAATAACGTTTCGGCTGCCTCAACATGTTGTTCTGATTATTGGCCAGAATAAGCTCGATGGATTAGAAAGACAACCAAAAAAGAAACTGCAGGAATTACAATAATAGAACTGTGTAAAGACGATGCCATACGGAGTAGAGGCATGGTATGAGTATGAAACGATAAGTAAGGAAACAACTGCAAGTGTTGCCAAGAATAAGTGCACACTTATACGTATCTCATGCATGCATCGAATTGCCAAAGCAAATTCATTCTATGAGATCAAAATAAAAAACTGATCAGCACAGTTGACTGTAAATACTGCCTATTGTGATCTCATGATGAAAAACTGTTGATATACCACATTCTTCTTCAGATTATAATGCAAAGTAAAACATCATTTGAAATAGGTCAGATCGTAGGTCAATAATCAAAATGATCCTCAATGTACATTAAAGATATGATACTGGAAGAAGATACAAGAAGTCTTAACGACAGTATTCTATATATCCGAATGTACTTTAAAACTATGTACTCATTTTTAGCAAATTTATCAAGATATACAAGCAAAAACAAATGAAAAATTAAACTCAATCTTACTGCGATAGTACGTCCATCTCTCTTGTACGGCTCCCTGGTCTGGTGGCCTTGCATTAGAACTGAGACAACTAAGGCCAAACTCAATAAAATTCGGCGTTTGGCCTGCATTAGCATTACAAGCGAAGTGCGAACAACGCCATTGAGTGCAATGGAAGCTCTGTTGGATCTCCCACCGTGGGATGTGATGATCCGCGGTGAAGCGAGAGTAGTCGCTCATCGACTGTGGAGTCAGGGCAGCTGGGTTTTCTTGAATCCTGTCTAGGGGCATATTGCCATCTTACTCGAATTACGAAGGGAGAACCCCGTCCTTCTAAGCAAGGGTGATCGTATTACCCCTAAATATCGCTTCAACCATAAGTTTATTGTGGAGTATCCAACGAGGGAGGAGTGGGACGCCGGTAGCCGGAGACTCTCCGGAGTGAGCGGGCAGGTCTGGTACACGGACGGCTCGGTCACCGAAGAGGGCTCAGGTGCTGGGGTCTCTGGGCCTAGAACTAGGCTATCTCCGCCTCTCGGTGGATATACCACTATTTTCCAGGCGAAAATCTTTGCGATTCTGACTTGTGTATCTCACATTCTGGAGGAGGGTGGGCCTAGGAGAAGAATAACAATCTTATCCGACAGCCAGGCTGCAATGAAAGCAATAAGTGCCTGTAAGATTACTTGGAGTCTTGTATTGCAATGCAGGGAGGCTCTGGATTGCCTCGCAGCGAGGCATCCGGTATCGTTAATGTGGGTACCGGGGCACGCTGGGATAAGGGACAATGAGACGGCGGACACTCTGGCGAAGACAGGATCAGCCAGCAAGCTCGTTGGTCCTGAGCCAGCTCTAGGAGTGACCGCGCATAGAGCTAGGAGGAAAATGGAGTCGTGGGTTGCAAGACAACACTCTCAGAAATGGAGAAGTATTTCCAGACATCTCCGCCAGGCACGGGAACTCATTGAAGGGCCCAGTTCTATGGATGGACGTTTCTGCTTATCTCTGGATAGAGCCAACCTAAGGTTGCTGGTCTGACTGTTGTCTGGCCATAACACGTTAAGGCGCCACCTGCACGTGATGGGGGTGGCTGAGTATCCATTGTGTGAACGCTGCGGGGTAGAAGAAGAGACCTCGGCGCACGTTTTGTGTCGCTGTGAAGCTCTGAACTACTATAGGCAGACTATACTGGGGTCCATTACTTTGGACCCTCAGGACGTCAAGGAGCTTGGACTCAAGGCGATTTTCAACTTCGCTAAAAGGGCGAGGCTGCTGATCTAAGGAATGTAGAGGTGCATAAGGGCCCGCTTAAGCGGCCTATGCACTGGCTCCTTATGGTGGCCGGAATGCTTCTAATTTCAATATTCATTCAAACTCAATCTTCCATGAGATTCTTTCGATTGGATTTTTAAAATTCAAAAGGATAAGAATCACATTTTTGTTTTCGTAAAATTAGAACATGATGCTTCATTCAATTTGAAACTTGATGCAGACAGAAATAACAGCATTAAATGAGATTTAAATATTTGAGGAACACAAAAACTGAAGACCATATCCAAAACTTCATATATTAAAAAAAAGAGTTCAAAAATGATTGCGACCAGGACGAGGAAAGCGAAAAATTAGCATTCTTACAGACTATGTATATGAAATTATTTCAATAGTTTTTTAAAATATATCATTTGGAATAGACTGGTACAACTATAAAAAAATTCTCAAAAAACTTAATGTAAAATCGATTCGATGGGTTTGGTTACCTAGTTTAAAAATATAATAAAGGTGTAACAAATCTGGACAAAGTAAAATATATACAAACTATTAGCCACTTTTCTTTCTCGTCTTGAACAAATCGAATTTGAGTTTTGTATGTTTATCTTTTTATAGCTGTGCGTATATTTCTTCAAGATCCGATTTCTTCAAGCTACTCACTAAAAAGGTGAAAAAGAATTAATACTAAATCAGCCAGACTGGATAATGCTAATCGAGGTAAATATAACCTTACTGCTAATTATATTTGTAGCGCTGTACATTCAGATTGTAAAATGTCCATTTTTTATCATCAATCGGATGCAAGAACTATTTCTTCAGATATGCTTTCCATCATTAATAGTATATAAGTAACTGTAAAACATTACTTGTTATATTTTACACTCCCTGCAAGTTTTACTTATTGGAAATGACTTTTTCATCTGGAATATACTGGTATAACTACCCACAAAATTTGTCAGAAAACTTGAAGTAAAACCTATAGCATGGTATAAGAGATAAAATCTATGTATCTTTTTTCGACGGGTCTGGTTATCTAGTTTGAAAATCCAATAAATATAATAATGTATAATAACGATATACCAAAGCTGGCCGATGACAAGTCTAATACAAATAATCGGTCACTGTTCTTTCTCGTCTAGAACAAATTGAAGTTGAATTAGGTATTTTTATCCTTCGACAGTTGAAGTTTTCTTTAAAGCTTGTACGTATCTTTCTGGAAAATTCGATTTTTTATGCTTCTCGCTATGAAGGTTAAAACGAAAAATCACCCAACATGACTGGATAATGTTAATCTAGGTAAATATAATCTTGTTAATGCAAATTATATTTAAATCGCTGTACATTCACCCTGTCAAACTTCCATTTTTATTATCAATCGGATGCAACTATTTCTTTAGACATGTTTTTCATTAATTTATTTCCCGACAAATAACTGCAAAACATTACCTGTTATGGTTTATGTTCCCTGCAACTTTTACTTATGCTAAATTACTTTTTCATTTAAAATGAAACATGTTATGATAACCGATTTGATCTAAAATCTAAGATCTGGAATGTTGTTAATTGCAATGAATCGTAACATGTCTCGTTAAACGAATAATACGTATTGATGTGCATTTTATCGATCTAGGTTAATGTAGTATTAGTAATGGAGAAAGGATTTATCTACATCAATATACATATTTCATGTATGATAATATGATATATCTTTCCACCATTAAATTCAATCATATGCTCTGGGATGTAGCTTTGTTTAACCTGAATGGAATTTGGAAGATTATGAGCAACAATAATTGAGTGTTAATCTAGTTTTTGATGAAGGCATATAACTTTGTATTATAAAACATATACTTAATATTGTAATATCGTTCTAGTAACCAGTACAACGTCACTATTTTTATACCAATGTATGGAATGTAAGGTAGGTATGGAAAGTATGTTTGATCTTTATACTAGATTCCAACAGCTGTTAGGTCTCATCTAAGATGAGGATATTAGAAACACAAACTATAAACGACATCTAGAAAAATGCTTTAAATATAAAATGCAAATGTGAGAATAACGAAACAAACCACATTATGTAAAACTATCAAAAAATGGTAAAATAAAGCTTAGAAATACTTGCGCTTGAAAACTGGTATATTACTTATCCCCATATGGCCATTTTACAGTGTTTTTCTACTGCTAATTTTGGTTCCTGTAAATTTTACTTTGAAAATTTGAACTTCTGCAAATCAGACAAGGTATATAACCTTGAATTAAATATTTGACACCGTTTGACATTACTGTTATGTTTGACAAGAACTGTTTGATATACAAGGTGAAACATGCAGTATCATTTATATTAACGCATTTTAAATGCTGAAGTTAGCTACAACGAGTGAATATGTCAAAAAGTTTAACGCATTTGACATGAGCATAGCTCAAGATATGTTTTGTAACTTGAGTAATATTAATCATGAATAGAAGGAGCCCAAGGATGATCCTTAGTGAGCTCCAAAAATGATATTTTTGAAGTTCGATAGCCTCTCTTGCACTATGCCATCTAAACATGATTTTAAAAATCCAGCATGACTGCCTGCGGGTTCTAATAGCAATTTTGTATCAAATAAAAGTCACTTGCATATCATTTAACATTCAAATGTAATAGTTTCGCTCAAATGATTCAACACACACACACACACATACACACACACACACACACACACAAGGTTAACATTGTTGTTATATTAATGGCACTGTGATGGAGGGAAATGACAATAGGATTGTTTACAATCGACTCAAAAAGAACGTATTGGTGATCGCACTCAAAGCTAACGTTCCCAATGTCCAATCGCAAATGAGGCTTTTGCTGCTCTACAGCTCCAATGTGCAAACACACTCGATAATGCTTCCGGTCGGACCGATGATGAAACACTCACGATGCCAGAGTGACATACTAGTATAACATCATGATATGACACAATGATGTAAAAATTTGTATATGTATCTAGAGCGCAAACTACTTGCGACAAACGTATTTCTTGAGCGGTAAAGCAGCATTTTGCGCTCTCGACACGTCAGTAGCTATTGACAGGTACTCAGCTTAATATTGAGGGTACATTTTCGAATAATATTCTATTCAAATCCTGAGGACGATATGAAGTTATGCGATATGCATAACTTGTGAGTAGCATATACCTGAACATTCGTGATTATAGCATACAATATGAAACTACAAAGGTTAAGTTAACTTACTGTAAACGCTTGCCAAATGCAAATTCTGGATGGCAGTTTTGTAAAGGCTCATTCTGGCTGGTTACATAATCGTTTCGTATAATGAAAGTATGCAATAAAGGAAATGTTGTCACACCGACAGATTAACCGGCGATTTTCGAGACAAAACATGCTGACATGTCTGGTTCAAACGAAATGTATTCAAACTGGTGGATGTGTTAAAACACGCGAGATATTTGGTGTCGAAAATCATCGTGAAATCCAAGATGTGAAATATGATAACAAGGTCGTGATCTGTATGTTTTGTTTTGTAGATACGAGGTGCGGATGATAAATACGCCTCATCCCATTTTCCAGGGTGCCAGGAACACGATACAACACAATGATAAACCTACTCAGAACTGCTCAATAACCTGGATTTCCGAGGATAAAGGAATGCCTATTAAAATATAGCTAAAATGCTTTCTCCGAAAATATGTTGAATTTGTAATTTTATACTCGTATATGCATTTATTTTATCGGCGTTATATATTAGTCGTTTCTTCTGTCATCTGTCTGCTTGTATAGCTCAAACATTCCAAAATACAAACGCGTCGTATACTGTTACTGCTGCTACAGGGATAGAAGAGCTTGAGTTTTTTGTCTACAGCCGGACCGGAACGTGTGCTTTGTGAATAAGCTCACTTTTCAGCCCGCGGGTTTTTTAATGTACTAGGGCGATAAAGTATCTTTAAATTAACCTAAACTCATCCATGATAACTGTCTGTATTTATTTGTTTCTAGGCAACGGCTTAAACAAATGGAACCTTGTAATATACTACGGCCCATTTAATCATTTTAATGTCCGCTTAAATCATGAGTTTCCAACCAGGGGGGCGCACCTCCCAAGGGGGGCATAGAGAGATGTAAAAGGGGGCGGAAAGCGTTTGCATTTTAGAAAGAAAAAACAAAAAAATAAACAAACAACATTAACAAATAACATTACAATGTAATGTTTAATTTACACGCATAAAATTAGAAATTAAATATCATATTCACTTATTCTGTCAACCGCTGTTTCAAAACCCGGCGTCATCAATCGCAGTTTATACAAGTTTCGACAAGTCACAACATGAAATCCGCGCGCACCCCCGCCGCGCCCCGCTTATCATTCATCACTTAGAAAACAATTGTGTACCTACCAGACGCGGATCTGTGACATTCATTCCCACAAACTTGCGAAAAATTTGACGTTTTATTGAGAAAACTGTTTGAGTGTGTCAAATTATTGTGTATCACTGTTAAAAGGTTATTTTGTGTATTTACAAACTTCAGTTACCATTTTTATTTAATTTACTAAATTGTTGATTGAGTGGAGACGCATTTATAGATCGGCCATTGGAACTCTTTTACCACATCACAATCAAACCAACCCGAAATAATTTTGAAATGACGAACTTCAAGTACCTAATATTGATTCTAAATGTATTTAAAATTACTATTATAACGTCAACCATTAAGATAAAATAATGTGCAATAATTAGTTATTACATGTAGGTATTTTGCTTATTTATTACTTATTTGTTTTATTGTTATAGGTGCAAAATGGCAGCGAAAAAAAGAAAGTTTTCCGAAGATTACGCTAAGTTTGGATTTACCTTCATAGAAAAAGACGAGTTACAATTGCCTCAGTGTGTGATATTTATGAAAGTTTTAAGTAATGATAGCATGAGGCCCAATCGCCTTGAAAGGCATTTGAAGCAACAACATCCTACTCTGGTTAGCTTTTATGATAGCAAAGCAAAAGAAACCTTATACTATCGGTGAAGAATTAATAAAACCGTGTGTCCTAAAAGCCACGCAGATAATTTTAGGAGAAGATGCAGAGCAAAAAATGAAGTCTATTTCTCTTTCGAATAACATAGTCAAGCGTAGAATCGATGACATTGCAGCAGTCACAAATAAAATTAATAAAGTAAAATTATCGCCATTTTTTGCCATTAGTTGTGATTAATCCACCGACATCGTTAATTGTGCACAGTTAATAGTTAAGGTTCGTTACATCGGCGGATATATCATTCAAGAAGTGATTTTGTACTCACAATCTCTGACAGCAGCTACTACATCTGTAGATATATTTAATTCAATATCAAATTTTGTTGAAAAAAATGATTTGGATTGGAAGAAACTCATTGGACTTTGCACAGATGGCGCACCTGCAATGATAGGTGTACGATCGGGCTTAGCCAAAAAGCTCAAGGTTAGTACACGTTGTGTTATTCATCGGCAACCTTTGTCTTCCAAAACATTGCTACAGAAATTATGCCAGGCTTTGGACTCGGCTATAACGTTTGTAAACTACATCAAGAGCAGCGCTTTAAACAGTCGGTTATTTACTTTGCGTTGCGAGGATATCGATTCTGAACACAAAGTTCTTCTGTTCCATACAGAAGGACGCTGGCTGTCCAAAGGCAACATGTTGACTCGCCTTCATGAATTGAAAGAAGAGGTAATTCTTTTTTTGAGTTCAAAGAAAAACACGATTTCTTGACAATGTTTAAAAATGACACATTTCAGTGGAGGTTGGCTTATTTAACTGACATATTTGACTCTTTGAATGAGCTAAACTTGAAACTTCAGGGCAGAAACAACACTACAATAAGCAAATATGATTATATTCAGCGGTTCATATCAAAACTAAAACTTTGTTCGAAGCATCAATTCAAAGTCAGCAATATGGCACATGACATGAAATCCATTTGTTGTCGATGTGTTACAATTACCAGAAAAGGTTCAGGAAGAATTTCAAGAAATGAAGGCTGATTCGTCCACGAAAAATGACTTCCATCTTTTAACATTGGAGAAATGTTGGATCAAAAGATTGCCTGTTAATTCGACACTTATGTGAGACAGGCTTTTCTAAAACTGAACAGCGATATCGTCTTGATGTCGATAGCAACCTGATCATAGCTCTGGCAAAAACAGAACCTAGAATCAACCAACTGGTACAGGACCTGACTTCAAGTTTTTCGATAAAAACATTTATTAGTTTATTTAAACTTTTAAAGTTTCTTTATTAGAATTAAAATAAAAGTCTTTGTACTTATATAATGTCCGTTTTTTTTTGTATTTATTAAAAAAGTAAAGGGGGCATGAAAATATAATTTATAGTCCGGGGAGCCTCAACAAAAAAAAGGTTGGGAAACCCTTAGATACTAACCTCATTTTTTACTTGCGCTATGGTAGATCGTAGATGAAACTTTATATGTACCTCGGGCGTAATAAGCTGCGATAGAATTCGCACCTAGGATTCAAAATCTATTTACTCTGATTGAAAATCGGAATTTCCTTAGAAGAAGTTTTTTTTAAGCGCGTGTACAGTTTCATTAAAATATGTTCGACGTTATCGACTTTCAGCCTGTGGAAAACTAAAAGTGGGCGGTATAGAGGGATGTTCTCGATCACACAGACGTAGATCGAATCATTGAAAGATGGCATGCCGAGTAAGTTTTGACATTTCAGTTGATAAAAATGGTATATCCTGATATGGGACATAACACCTCTATCAACTAAATAAGTATCTGCGGATAAGTTAGTTGCTGGTGACATACCACCTATGAGTCTAGTCGGTGTCGAGCAAGTGTAAAGTTGTACTGCTGACATTTCAGCTATTTAGTGCTATAGCATGTAAAAAGAATATGGAGAGTAGAGCTAAAAGAATTCTTAAAATATTGTTTCCCTGCATGCTGCCCACTTATGCAAACCTCCATCCTATAGCCTCCCAGAGGAGTTTTGCAGACAGGTGGTGCACTTCCTCTCTGGCCGTAAGATATCCGTCGTAATAGACAGTTTCTCCTCTTCATCCGACAATGTCAATGCGGATATTCCCCAAGGATCCGCAGCTTTACTAATGACAAGCAGGAATTCAGAGTGACAATCCGATTTCTGCTGGTGAGCTGGAGAAAAGAAAACTAGCAGCGTCTTCTGACGAGAGACCTGGAGGTTATCAATGCTTGGGGGAAGCAACAATCTGGTACAGTATAATGTTTTCAAAACACAGTACTGTACCTTGACTAATAAGAAGCGTCATTGCGTTCATCTGTCATTTTGATGGATAGCCGAGTTCTACCAAGTAGCCGCAGCCGGAGTCCAGATCATCGAGGACTTGATCTGGAACGAACACAACTCGTCGATAGCGGCAGCTGCTGGAGAAAAGCTGGGCTATTTTTTTCGGGCAAAGAAGTACTTTCCTCCAAATGACCTCCTCCCTCTGTACAAGGCCCAGATGAGGCCTAGCTTCGAGTACTGCTCACATGTTTGGGATGCTGCCGCCCTGACTAAATTATCTGCTGTTCAGCGGATCGATGACTCATCTATAACGGGCAGTCCCGGAACCCGTTCGCATCGACGGGCTCTCGGCGATCCAGCTCTCTTCTACCGCTACGCCAACAGCTTGTGCTCCTCAGAGCTGTCCTCCTTCATAGCAGCCACGGGGTACTGGCATTTTAGCTTCTGCCTGTGCGGCTGTTGATTTGTGAAAGACAAATGCAAAAAACCCGGGACTGTCCTCAAATGTCAGCTAACAAGGATAACAGAGAAGTTTGGAGGTTTAACCAAAGAAAAACAACAAAACCTCAAAGATCAAATGAAGTTTGTAAATGAAGACTACAAATGGTATTACAAAGGTATAATACAGCAGAACCAAATCCAAAGAAGGAAAGAATGTGACGCTTCATACACGTACGAGTATATTCTGATATTATACACTTTGTTAATATTATCTGTTTCAAATAAAGTACTTGACACATCTTTCCATGTTATCTGTTATTACACCACAGTTTAATTTTCAGTGGATAAAGGAGTTATGTAACATTTTTTTGTATTTTCTCTAATAAACTAATGATTTTTCGGTAAACTAAATCCAATGCAATAAAAATACTGAACTTCAACATATCTAACAAGAACCGTAAAAGAACGGAAAAAGTTCCAAATCAAATCACACTGTTCTGAATAACGCTGAACTTGCATTTTGTGACCTTTATCCACTTATGTCTTCAGTTGTTTCTCTAAAATTCTGAATTGTGGCAAATGCGAGTTGTGGGAGCCATCGAGAAGATCGAGGTTGCTGCGTGGTGTGCATAGCAAACGAAAAGCCGTAAAAACCTTTACGATGTAATCCGTAACAGAAGCCAATTACGGTAACGAAGAGTAATTCCTTTTTTGTGGAAAATAAAAAAGTAGTTTGTAGTTGTACAGAATGTGAGCTGTTCAACAATTAAAATAAGACGAACATTAAAAGCCTGTGATGTTCAAACTGCAAGATGATACTTATAGCCTAGTAAATAGTGGATTCAACAAGTTACATTCAGAAATTAGGTACTGTTAGACGAAAAATAAGTTTGGATGATACTTATTCCCCATACATTTCACACATGACTGATTTCCCCGCACATCTATCTGCTTCTGCTGATTGAGATCACCGGCGAGCCTGCTGGTCTCAGTAAGTGTTCTGGCCTTACTTCCAGATGGATTATCGGTACGGTAGGGAAAGTATGTCTATGGACTAACTGTGTGGGCCTGTTTGACTACTTGATTCGTTTAATTTCTCTGTTATACTCGTACATGTTCATAACTAATTTTTGTCTCGGAGGGTCTAACTTATGCAGAAGGCAATGCTTTATGAGCTAATGATGGTATTGCGTGGAAGTGCTGTCATCTAGTTGACGACATTTTCCCCTCTTGCTGTTAAAACGTATCATAATGAATAATAGATAAAACATTGGAAGCATTAAAGCAAAATAACTCAATCCTCAAGAAGTGTATACCTGTCATCAAATATCACAATATAGCCGTTTCTAAACAGCTTAATAAATTATGAGATAATTACAATTTATTTAAATAAAACTCGTAAAGGCATGTACTCACGCCAAGCATTGTATGTATTGACGAAGTTTGGACTCTCAGCATCTGCACTGTGGTTGTTCAAAGATAAATCTTCAGACTTCGAGAGATCATCACAGCTATCACTCATATTTGAACGATACACACATTTGAAGATCACAAAATGGTCCACTAGGTATCACAGAACAAACCAGTCTCGTCTCAAATTCACGAATAACTAAAGTATGTTCGTTTGTAACACAAACTAAACACTTATATCTTTATTACTTTTTTACGGCAGTGTGAAATGTTTGTGTATTGCTGTTTAGTAGCTCAATTTCTCGAGAAGCTGCAAGGTATATTCAAGATTGTACTGAATTGGAACAAATAATATAATTATTGGACGTATCATTATTACCAGATAACCAATTTTTTATGCTTATTACTGATTGTAAATTGTGTAGGTTCAAAGTTGAACACAACAAAGAAGAGGAGTCTAAATGAAGTTTGATCATCCCGAAAAATAGTTGTCTATTTTCTTAGCCACGTATACTGCATGATTTTGCCTAAAGATATTATTTAAAAATCGGCTAGGTCTTGATATATAGGTTATAAGTACAAGTAGTGTACAAGATAGTCAAAACTCATTTTAATCAGCTCCAACAATTTCAAATGCCGGTGAAGAATTACCAATATTTTTTCAAGAGATAACATAAAAGGTGACAAAAATAACCAGCTTAACTCGTGATTTTTTTATAAATAAAGTGAGCAAAGTGCCAGTTCTCACCACACTGACGCATACAGACATTTTTGCTACAGGTTCAATAGAAACGTCATTATAAGTTGGAATCCACTAAACTTGATATTTTCTCTTCAATCTGGATGATTCCGTAATAAATAATTATAACTTATCATGACAGCAGAAAAAAATTATTTCCGTCCAATAACAAAAAGCACAAAGAGCCATTGCGATTAGTGCGGTTTACCAACAAACATAAAAGAGCGAAAGTCACCGATAGCCGACAGAACACCAAATACTCAAGAACACCACTTCAACACCAAACCAGTCCACATTTAATTGAAATTTAATTTGTTGTTCAATTGTAGAGAACCGAATACAGAATGAAATGGAATGAGAACGGGCGCAGCATAGTCTAGTTAAGCGTGTAATGTTTGATTTAGATTTAGTTTAACAGTTGGTACATTAGGTTGCTTGGTTACAGCACACAATAGAAGTTTCTTGTTTTGCGATTTAAAAATATTCTTTATATGTACTCGAGATAGGGCTTGTTGTTTTTTGAAGAGGGTGAAAGATAAGACGTAAATATTATGAATAATGAAATAAAATAAAGCTTGGAAATTCTCATACCCAGATAAGAAGACCTAGACGTTGCTCCAACATCCTGCTCTGGTACGTTTCTAACCATCAAAGTCCAAAATCTTGAACTTGGGCCAATCAAATTAGATATCATAGATACAGAAAAGTAAACGTGCAAATCTGTATTCAACATGTTCAAGAGAAGTCGGTAGTTTTCAAGTCCTCGTTGTATTGGTAACTTCTTAATAAGTCCGTGCATTTTATTTATGTTTTAACTTCCATCATGAAAATTACATTAAATACTGTTAAGAATAAATAATTACCGGTGGAGGATTAAATACAAGTATCAGCATCTAGACGTGCTTGTTACCCTATTCAAATGTCCAAAGTTGTTGAATACCCTGCCCCATTTGCATCCCTTAACAAAGACATTTCGTGTCTGTCAAACTACTAGAGCCCGAACATACGCCTATAGTATCAATAAATCAAGGATGCCTGGTCGATGAATTCATCTTATATTACAAATAAACTAATAAATTCTGATCCAGCTCAGTGTAACAGTTTGCTACATAAAGGTTGTATAAAGGTCAGCAAGGACAAAATGCTAGAAATACTAAAAAGTAGCATATTTTCAAAGGTCAGAACATGTAGCATGAGATCGCTATTTAAATAAGTTTATTTTACAAGACTAAAACATTTGAAATTGTATCTTTCCAAAACTATAACTATGTATGCTTCCAGGGCAAAGGCTTAGATCTGACTGACTGGAATATGTGGTGAGAACAATAAAGTAAACAGAAGGTCTTCTGGGAAATCAGTGGCATGGTCAGCATTATTCCTGGCATATCAGCAGGAACGGCTGATATAACTTAATATCGCATGATCAATTCAAATTATGTGTTGGTAAAGTCAGGTGTCTGCAAAGATTGCGGGAAACTATTTCAGAAGAAAATCGGAACAGCATATGAAAAAATGTCATATGAAATGTTAACAATACAATGGATGTGTGATGATTGGATTAAGGATCATACCAACATCTTTTTTTTTTTTTTTTTTTTTTTTTTTGGCTTTAGGACTAAGCCATGCAGCCAGAAACTAGGTTGTATATAGAATATATCTAATTATGTACAAACACACGACGTCACAACATCCATGGCGAAGGCGAGATTCGAACTCGCGACCCGGCCGGCCGGCTGATCAGTAGCACGACACTCTGACCCACGCGGCCAACCGCGGTCCCGACCAACATCTTTGTTTGAGTCTTTGTTCCAAGGCATTTTAAGCCATACTACAACAAAATCAAAAATCATTTCTGATGATTTTATTATTATATGGATATTTAGTGCAAAGCAACAAGACAAAGGAATTTTATCAGTAGACAATCAGGCTTAACCTTGCACGGCTGCTAACTGCAAATAAAGTACTGAGAATTGCAAAATGGGTTAAGTATGACCAACAATATTTCAGGAATAAAGGGCAACGTACCAGCACAGGAACGGTCAATAAAATTTTAAGTCACGTATTGATTATACACGTAGAAGTGACAATAAATAATAGCAATCGATATACTCATTACAATTAAAACAATAACATAACAATTATAACAAAATTATAAAATCATCAAGAAGCCACGCAATATGTACGTTGATCATCATTGCTAATATAATAACGCAACAACGGGTTCAGTTAATAATGTTTTCCACAAAACATGCGATTATGCTTCAGAAGGTTGTTTTGAACATGCTGTAAATGCCATTTAATGGGTTTGTTTCAACAAGAATACAAAGCATACAGGGTGTCCAATATTCCGTGAACAGAAGTACCACGTATTTTCTGACTCAAAATAAGTCGTTTGGAGATGATTTATCTCTATGCAAAAGTGCTTCCTTTGTCCGTTAGAGGGTGTCAAAGTTTAATTTTTAAAACAAATCTTTCGAGATATTTTTGGAACCGATAGTCCGATTTGAATGAAATTTGGAACACGTGTGCTAATATTTGACTTTCACTAGACGGTTTGAGGAGGGTGAAAACTACCCTACATAAGTTATAGCAGATTTTTTTCGCAACTCTCCTAACTACTTAATTTTTCTATTTACTTAATTTTTTTTGTCTCTAATAAAAACCAGCCATCTCGCATAGTTTCCGACAAAAAAAATCTTTTTCAGAGATTGTTTCTAGAAAAATACATTACATAGAGTGTTAAAATATAGTAAGCATCTAGTTGGGGGAAATGTGAGATGTTATCTCAGTGACAGATTATTTTTGACAACAAAGTTTGAATGAATAAGTATTGTTTGCGTTTATTTTTGATTGTTGATTTAATGTTTCATAAATTTTAAATTAATTAATATGGAATATTATTTTGACGAACAGGCTAATATGTTGTAAGTACTTGGTTTCTGTGACGGTAATCGCAAACTCTAATTAATTTAAAACTTATGTCCAAGACTTATTTTGAGTCTGAAAATACATGGTACTTCTATGTCGACTGAATATTGTCCCTAAATCTTAAGTGCGTTTATTTTATTGTGCCAGAGTAAGCTTATCGAAATCAATGAGAGAGTGACTAGAGTTTGTAATTTGAAGGGCTATCTCAACACTAAAAATATAAAATACATCTTAAGATAAGTGAGCTTATTTTACAGAATCGGAGCCAGAAAGTGTAAGTCTATGACCATAACGAAATATGCTGCTGTTATGTACCCAATTTAATGATCTTTACATGTCAAAAATAAGGCTGTAAAATATACAATTATTTTTCTTATATTTTAAGTAAGTTTATCTCAAAAAATAGACAAATTGATCGATGGTAATTTACTAGGTTTGTTGAAAAAGCTAAAATATATAATCATTTTTTCTACATTTTAAGTTAACTGCATTCATTTTATTGCAAGCCAGAAAAAAGTTATGGCAAGGTTTATTGTAATAAATGAAGGTGCTACTGGTTCCCAACTGGAGTTCAGGAGCCTCACCTAATCAAACTTAATAATTACAACTTCAGAAAAATTATTATGACTGTGGCATCTCAACCAGAATGCTGTATTTTTTTCATAAAAGATTCCTCTAGTTATTGAACAGCATCTACAGAAACATTTCTTCTTCTAAAGAACGACAAAAAAATCAGGAAAGGTAACCAAAACATTTCTACAGACTCAACAATACATGCTCAATTAAGTGATCAGCTGTTCGAGATCGAGACCTCTGTCAACTGGCGAAAGCAAACATGAATATTCCGCGCTTCACTTGTCACACACACACTCAGTCACTGGAAACACAAAAACCGAACTCACTTGATTGCCACACCGCTAACGTGTATCTGAAAAAAGTGCATATTGTGGACGGAACAGGGAAATGGAAACGAATGGGACGGAACGATCCAGTTGGCGCCACATTTGTGTGATAGACAGCGCAACACCAGACGGTGTCTCCAGCACCGCAATCAATACTGATAACTACATGAGTTACAGACAGGTTTTCAACAACTGAACTTATTTACATGTGAAATTCATTGTCGATAAATAATATTTGTTTGTTGCGGAATTATATACTATTTCAATATGCAAGACCCCTATCACAGACCAAGTCAAAATATAAGAGCTGCAATAGTCGGCAGATACATGATTGATCAAACTATTGTGTCAACGATACTTGCACTGCCGCCTAAGTACAAATGCCGTGGCTGCCAAATTATATTTAACATGGGTTAATTTGTACATGGCGGTCGATAACAGTTACCCCAGGGCATAGCAGAGTTCGTGGGCTGAGAAGTGGTACGCCCGAAAAACCTATTCATAAAATGCACTTTTCCATCAATTATTTATTTACACATGGGAACCTAAGGTTATTAAAGAGCCTGGTATTTATTAAGCGCTTTATAGCTTTAGAGTGACAAAGATGTCAGTCTCAATCTACCGTGATATAGCTACGTAGCTATCAAGAAGGCAATGTTAGAGGCAACGGAAATTATAAATATGAAGTGTTAGAACACGCCAGATATTCCGTATTTTTTTTACTATTCCAACTGACTATCTCCAAAATTAGGCTCTGTGATCAGTTTTTGGAAAGACAAGCCGTCTACTCCTGTCTCCAACAGAAGTTAAATGTGCGTGCCGAACTGTGGGTAATAAAAACGTACTTTTCCAGTTATAGAAAAATTTATAATTTTATTTATATGCCATTATTTTTATACAAATTCGTGTGTCCGTTGTTTATTATGTTGAGAATATTGTATACACTGTCTGTAACTTACTTGGCCAATATTGATAGCAACTTATCTAATTTATCCTTTGTGTGGGAAGCGACACAATAAGTGCACGATTCAACCAATTTATGCAAATTTTATTGGATATATCATTCCATGTAAAATTATGGATATAAATTATTCGAGCTTCGTTCATATTTCTGAAGCAAGTCATTGACATGAAGGTAGGACATAATCACGAATATTATTTTTTTAAAGACCTACTGAGCAACAACTACATGTATATCGAGATCCAGCACCTGATATAAAGAGGTCTGTAAATTAAGTCAAGATAATGATTTTTTTTATTTGTCTATTCAAAGTGTGGAATAGCCTTCAGTTGTTTGGTTACAGCTGTTTGAATGTTTTCGGCTGTCCCTTGAGGTGATTTTTCAACTTCGGGAAGTGAAAAAAGTCAGACGGACTCAAGTCAGGCAAATGGGGAGGCTAAGGAGCCTCGGGATTGTTTTCACTGGGCAAAAAATGGTTATTGACATTGCTATCTGACAAGGGGCATTATCGTGATGCAATACCCAGTTGTTATAGGCATCCATTTCAGGTGGGAGTGGGGAATCATGGGCGAGTGAAATTTAAAGAGCAGAGAGGGGGAGGGCAGTCGGCGCCTGCATTAGTGCTTCTGGAAGCTCTTCTGACAGTTGTGAAGAAAGGAGGCGGGCGGTCAAAAACATATTTATTAGCATCCTCTGAATAAGACCTTACGTTGAGTCAATCTAAGATCTAATCTATTTATCATTTTCTGAGTCAACGTCTTCTATCAAGGCTTAAATTACAGTTACGCGTATCGAAGTAGTTGTTGCGGCCACTATGGGGTAGCTGCATGTAAAAACCCTACAATTAGTCGAGTTTCAAATTAGAACGTCTCTGGCGTAAGTCACTGATAGCCTTGATTCTAGTCAAATTATACCGGGTATGCTTGGATTTTTAGTTTTTCTTCTCTTTGTTGATCAGCCTTAGGATGTAATCTAAAAAACCTTACAGTAATTATTTGTATCTGTTATAAAAGTGGAACTAAACGAATCTGAAGAAAGTATAAGGCCCATCTACTTGACTTCATATTTTACACCAAATCTTACCTCCCTTAGTTTCTTGGAGCATCTGCATAATTCACACAATTGTACAGTAGTAACGGTTTTTAATAGCTATGATTACGCAAACATGGCGACTAAACAACAATCCGTGTCACTTTTAATTTTTTTCACACTGACTGAACGTGGCCTTAAATTAAGCATTTACTTTAATATATCGTATTGTTCGTTATACATGCGGTACGCCGGTACGCACTGTACCTCAATGACAGCTCAGTAATTTGTTACTGTCACGCAACGTTACCCGACCGGTCTGTGAGAACATTCTGTGTGTAGCAACGGCAACATGTATGTACTGAACGCCAGGTTTGCAATTTGTGGGGACGGCACTATCCAGGAAATAAATATTACGCTCAGCTTTGCCTTCGAAAAAATATAGAGGAATGTGTCCGAAACCGTACCCCTACCCTAAAATGGATCACTGGTCATATAAGCACTTTAGTCTAAATAGCAGCTTATTTATCTAACACGTGTTGCAAATTAGTATTGTTTGAAAATGTTGTTTTGAAAGTTCACAGGGTCTCACAGACTCATAAGTAGGAACCAAGACCCTATACTGGGTTCGACTTCTTTATGAAATTGGTTCATATAGTTGGATGAAACTTTTTTAGAGCGAAGGCCCTTGTGACAATTGAAGATCGGGGAATGGAATACGGTAATTTTTGCACCAAGATGCAACATTATGTAACATTTTATTGGAAAAAAAATGGTAGACTTGGGGCACCCACCGCGCTTCCCGCCAATTGGTATTCGCTACCGACCTCCTGCTTCAGAAAAATCAACTGTACATCTTTTTCCAGCCATTTTAACTTCCCACGCCTGCTGGCGAGGAAGTATTGTAATCGCAGATTTCGAAAATAAGATATTGTTTTCGGATGTACACCACGAAAAACTGTCTAACCGCTAATGCTTGGTCCGTCTATAACTTGGTAGGTACCGCTCGGATTTTGATGAAATTTTCACACAAGGTTCCTACTATGCCAATGACGGAAGAGCGTTTGGGAATCCGTCCAGTCGGGACCGAGCTAGGGGCAAAATCACGAAAAAAAAACTTCGCTTTTTCGTTCGAAAGCTCCTAACTGAAAAAAATCTGTAAGGGTTAAAAATTGGCGATTGAAGGGCTACGAGAGGGTATAACTCAATTTCTGGATGTTAGTGTATTTACACGTTCCGAACCTCAGTAATTATATGCCATCTACTGGGCATATTTCACACATCAAAGATTTCCCCCTACATATGTACAGCAGCTACATTGCCAGATGGACGGTACTACCGATAAGGCAGAGAAATATTGTCTATGGACTAATTGTATGGGCCTATTTGACTGACTTGGCCCAATTAGTTTCTCTGTTGTACATGTGCGTAACTAACTTGTGCTGAACATAATTCTATATAAACTGATGACGGCATTGTATGGAAGTACAGAGTCAACCCACTTGACGCCATTTTTTATTTTTGCCCAATTGCATTTAGTATGTTTCCTGCAACATTATGTTCACGTTTTTCTTTCAAGGTTTGTTAGTTTTAAAGTAATCTAAGGATACACTAAGTGCGTACACTTACCATCAACCAGATTAGTTAACGGTATTAACAAAAAAAAATTGTACAAAAACCTCACTGTACGCTCTTTTTCAGTAATCAGATAAGCAAAGCAGCCATGTAGTCAGCCTTTTTGTCGGTAGCGTAAACGTAAAACGTTTTACATTTCCAGAGTGTGCAACTGTGTGCGAGGATTCACGGTTGAGGGAACTGATCACATTATGGAACAGATGTCTGTCGGTCTGTCGTGTCCTGTTGGTGTTGGTTGCCAAGGGCTTCAAGTGCGCGTTTCACTTGCACCGAACACCAGCGGCTCGTGTCTGTCCTGGGTGGAGGCCACCTGCTCAAAACGTATCGGTACAATTCACAGAATACGTTGCATGATTATAAAATTTCGCCTGGCTCCACTAATAACCTCCATTTTTTATATGTTTTGATCGATACAAAATATTGTATATTAATCCGCGCGATCTCACCAACCACTCCTTGAAGAAATTTGAGGAGCCATATTGATATATCGTCATAATCATAATGTTGTTCCGCTTTTGAAAATTGGTGCAATGATCTAATATAATAAAAATGTTTCTCGACTTTTTGGCTATACTTGTGAGCAGGAATAGTCCATTAAATTGCAAATATTGTAGCTGTAGGCCACCCTTTTTAGTGTAAAAGTCGAATATCTCTGTTGATATGAGGAGAATTTAAAACGTTTTATATGCAATTATATACTTTTCGCACTTGCAAACCCTGAAAATACTTTCCTCTGTACACAGGGTGTCGAAAATAAAAAGTAGTATCATGATCAAACTGGAGAAAATGGTAAGAATGTTAAAAATCTGGTTTCGTGGCAACTTTGATATGTTACTAGTGTATATATATTTAACATTATTGTAATATGTACAGGGTGTATCATATTTTCATGCCATTTCAAACAAGTACTTTATTAAATAGAATACTCTACATTTTATTGCATACTTGTATAGTTTTACTAGGAAAAACTTACAACATCCAAGGACATGAAACACAGTATATTAAGCGAGCCGTTTAAGCGGATGTCTAGACAAACCCTTTTAGACGTGTACAATAATTTCAACTGGCGTCTGGCCTTGTGTGCTTTGCACATATTTGCGCATATTCGAACATTAACGATTGGATTGGAATAGAAGATTTGATTTCATGTACCTGTATAAGTACAAGATGTAACTGTTTTTTCTTGAAATTAATAGCAATAACTCAAAAACGTTTTTAAAAACGTTGTATAAACCTCATATCAAAGAAATTTTTGAGAAAAGGTACATTTTGTGTTTTGAGATAATCTGTATAAATAGAAAGGTGTTTCAGCACGTTTTCCAGCTCAGCTTAAAATCGATAACAATAAAATTTAGTGGCTGTTCAATTTCATAGATCCTCCACATTTGTCACTGTAGTTACGTAAGGGCTCGCGCAGACAGACAAGCGTTCAGCGTTTGGCGTTCAAACCGAGTTCGTCCGGTCAATTCCGGTCATGAACACAGCGTTCCATTTTACGAAGATGACTTCTAGGTGAAAAATGTATTTCGATAGTTCGTATTCAGAAGACGAAGCATTGCTTTTGTGGAGTTGGAAGAGTCTATTAAGAAAAAAGATATTGGGTGCATACGATTAATTGTGATAGAGATGAGAGTTCAGTGACTTTTTCCTGCATCGCTTGAAGATGAAGGATGATTTTTTATTTACTTCCGAATGTCATTACGTAGTAGTAATTTTTTTAATTGTATGATTATATTAAAAAGGAAAACAGAAACAAGACACCAAATCTAGAAAGGCTATCTCTTCAAAAGAAAGATTGGCAGTGTTCTCCCATTTCCGTGTCTATTTCCTGTTGCATTTTTTTAAAGCTACCTTTATATTCTGCGTTACCAAGATCAATTAATTTTTCTATGGAAGCCGGTTTGACAATAAAACGCAAGAACGCGAGCTTCTACACTGACGGGCGCGGTCTGACTGCCGCTGTGTCTGCGCGACTCTGTAGAGATCTCTTGATTACAGAACGCGGAAATCGGAACGCTTGAAGTCTGCGCGAGCCCTAACAGATTTAGACGGTATCTTATATCAAGCAGGCCATAAGTGACGTCCTCCTAAATCCACCCAACAGTCTTCATTTGTTTCTAATGAAACTGGTGGATATGGTAGAATAAGCGGTTTTGTAGTTTGTGACGGGAATGTTGAACTCTGGATATATCTAGTATTTTTGAACAATTTTCTATAGGTTAATCATCTTGGCACGTTACTTTGCTAATAAAATAAAATTTGATTGTCATGTATCTTCGAAAGAAAGCGGTTCCTGGAAGTCGACAAAGAACAAAATAATTTTGCCAAAGCCCCTTTTAATGTTTGCTTTGTGTTTTGGAACCATCCTAAATACAGTCTGAATGCACTGTAAGCGAAAAGAATAATCTCAAAGTTGCCGCCTACGAACGAGTCAATCCTTCTGCGTTTTGTTAGACTTTTGGGAAGCAGTACCGTATGGACCATTTTGTATGCGCGTTATTAGTGGATAAGATGTGTAATAAGTGTGCACATATCTTCATTCTTCAGTACAGTGGCTGCCTGCCTTTATTTTGAAGGTCACTCAAGGAGGACGATGGTAGAGTTGGCGTCAATGGTCTTGGCGAGTATACTTTTGCCTCAGTCTTGGTGAAGATTACAATCAAGAATAAAAATGTTCGTATGTTTAGCCAGCTTCCACAGAGACCTACTGACATTGGGGTGTGACGGGCGGTACCCTGTGCTTAACTTTCGCATCATGCTGGTCTTTGGCTTTATCATTACGGATAGCTTCGTTCAGTAGTGAGAATTTCTACTGTCCGATGTACCATTTTAATGTCATGAAACAATGATGATAGAATCTTGAGATGATTGAATAGAATTTTCTAAAAAAATCTTCAAATCAGCATGAATTAATGACAGCTACATCAAAATGCATAGAGTCAAGCAAGAATCCGGCCGGTAGCTAAAAGTAATGCAGATAGATTTCAACGCCCAGTATTAATTTCTAATTACATAATCAGTTTTGACATATTAGTACTTCCTTTTCCTCTAACTAAATGTAAATGTATTCCCCGCTTGTAAACTTATAACACCTGACTATTTTGTTTGTTAATTAGTAGAAGTCGCGCACTCATGCAAGGACATTATGCTTGCTAACCGGTTATGAAAAAATGTAATTATTATTGTATTAGCAGTAAGATTTTTTAATTTAATGATGTAATGGAATGATGAGTATATTCCGATGTTTCTGACTGTATGATGGTATCAAAGCTATTGACTGGAGTAGGCTACCTGATGTGCAAGATAAAGTTTTGGCAATACTACAGATCTAGCCAACAAGTAAAATCATAGATGATAGAATACCGATTTACAGACATTCTGTTACTATGGGATTCTTTTTCAAAGTACAAATGCAAAATAAAAAGTGATTTTTTGATGATGCTAAACAAATTTTACTCTTTTGGGATCCGAGGCGTTAGTCATTTATTGATAATATAGACATAGATTTATTTATTTGGTCTGGAGGGGAAACAAATCCCTACTAATGTTATAAATGCTAAACTGTGTATGTATCAGGTAACCAAATAGGTTCGTGCGGTTTTTAGTAGAAAAATATACATTTTTATTGAAAAAAAATAAGACACTATTTATTCGTCGAAAAAGTTCATGTGGGACCCATTTGCTTAACTTCCACGTCTTTCCTAGCTGATTAAGATGCAAACGAATAGTTTCAGGACTCACTCTGAACATTTCTGCAAGTTCTTGGCACGTTGTCATGGAATTTCATCCAGTATACAACTTCTTCCCCTCCAAGTGATTGTACACGCGTTAAGGAATACCTCAGTACCGACTGCCGGGTGGCGGTACAAGTCCGCCAACGGGCCACTTTAGGTCTATTTAATATCACTAACACGTAAAAAGAAGGTGGTAGACAAGGACAGTCGACCGAGGCGGTACCACCCGCTAGCTTTTCCCAGGATGTCTTATAAATGTCCACATGTTTCCACACCTAAGCTATGCAGTCGGTTAACTTCCAAAACAAAGAAATTAATGATGATGGATCCCTCGAGCACTAAGAAATCCGGACGTAAACTCACTCCACTCTCGGAATGTCCGGGTGGAGGATGAGCTCGAGGGAACAACATCGATAAAATTTGTTTCTCGAACATCTGCGGGATTAACAGCAACATTGATGCTGTTCATCGCTTCCTGCAATCCAATCGTCCCGCCGTGCTTTTCTTGAAAAATCTCAGAGACTGCACCGATTAAGCATCTCAACTTCCCAAACTACGAGGTGCACTCCAATCTGAGAAAAAACGGGGGAGTTGTGGCTTTTGTCCGCAGCAGTCTTTCCTGCTCCAGGGATCTTTCTTTGGAATCAGACCGGAAGGACATTCTGTGGCTTCGCCTCAACTCCAAAACATCACCCACATTCATTTGCTGCCTTTATCGCTCTCCCTCGAACCATAACTGGGATAACCTACTCGAATACCTCGCCGTCCAGATCGACTTCCTGAACATCAATCACCCCGCCTCAGAGGTAGTTCTTCTCGGTGATTTCAATGCCCATAATGAGCTTTGGGTGGGCTCAAATAAGACCGATGCAGCAGGCCGTGCAGTCGAGGCGTTCGCTGTTACTCAAGGGCTGACCCAGCTGGTGATGAGCCCTACTTTTTTCCCCCGCGTCTCGTCACACGCCAGTAGCCTGCTGGATCTCTTTCTGACCACGCATCCTGTCCCTTACAGCACTGCTGTCCTGTCCCCCCTGGGTAACTCAGACCACGGTCTTGTGGAGGTTAGGTTTCGGTCAGAAGAAGCTGTGGCAGCAGAAACTCGTACAGGCCGCAAAACTTGGCATTACGGACATGCCGACTGGGAGTGGCTCAGAGACTTCTTCTCTAGCTTTCCTTGGAGAGATGTCTGTTTCACTGACGCGGATGCGTCGACTGTCTGTTCTTCGATAACCGAAATTATTCACGTCAGAATGGAGGAATACATCCCTCACACAGTGAAAGTTCCTAAACCAGGGTCCAACGGCTGGTTCAACAAATCGTGTGACACTGCTGGCCAGCAGAAGATCAAGGCACACAGAACCTTCTTGCAAAACCCCACTGTAGAGAACAGACAAGCCGACGTCGAGTCCAGAAACAAATATAACGAAGCGGTTCGCAATGCCAAAAATCAGCACGATATAAAAGTTAGGCACAGGGTAATGTCGCAGCGCAATGGCAGTCGGTCTTTCTGGACGCTGGCCAAGCAGATTGAAAAGAACTTCTCACACAGCAGCCTTCCACCACTTACGTGTCAGGATGGAACTATTGTATTCG